TCTGTAAGCTTGGCTGAGTTGGTAGGTCATGACAAGCTTAAACTGGCCGAGGACTCGACCAAGTGCCCTGACTGTACCAAGTCCGCAAGGCCGGCCGAGTCTCCAGACTCAACCAAGTCCGTGAGCTCGATCAAGGCCTCAAGCCCGACAAACCCCTCAACAGGCGCCTCGAATCCAACTCCCGTGTCGCTTACCAGTATGACCGAGTCCCTCCACTCTGTGCCTTCTACTCAGGCCAAAGCGGCCCATTCACCCGTGCCTACACTCCCCGGACTTTTCAGATCTCATCCCACGGACTCGACAGGACTCGCCAGTAGCACGGGTCACTCTTGGAGTCACAAAGCGTCCTTAAGCATTGCGTCTCACTCTACTCGCACCTCTGGCGTTCTTCCCCCCCCACACTCTCATAGTTCCGCACCACTTTCTGCCTCAGATAGCCTCACCAGTTCGATCAGAAGGCCCTTACCCTCGGCCTTCATCTCTGCGTTTTCTCAGACCCCTCTGTCCCTCAAGACCGCGTCGCCTTCCAGAATTATCTCTCAATCTGCAGCTTCTGGCGCTACCTCTAGTTTGGGGTTCTCAAGCTCATCATCAACTTTTATCCCTCCTAAATTTTCTCCCAGCCCGATCATGGATCCCCTTCTCTCGACCGACAATCCGAAGTTTGTTGACCCCAGCCAGTCAAAGGCTCTTCCGGCCTCGTCCAGTGACTCAAATTCAACGAGCGAGGGTATATCCGCAAGCCTTAGCTCCTCCTCACAGCCTACGTCTTTCTCTTCCGCGAAAGATTTCACCAGCACTACCCTTGACCCTTCATCTCTAACTGCTGGCTTCGGGCTAACCGCCTCTCCACTGCCCTCCAGTACAAACAATCTAAGCAGTTCAACTCCGCGAACAGTGTCCTCGATTCATCCCTTGAAGCCCATGAGCTCGTCACGGGTTTCTGCCCCCAGCGCGATCATTGCCCCGACCACAAAATCATTGCTTTCAAAAACCGGCTTCGAGGCCCGCTTCACGGATACTCCATGTCATGAATGCATCCATTCGAACGATCCTTCTCTTTCATCTGCCCTTCTTGGATCCACTCAACCATCACGATCGGTCATCTCCAACCCTCCTAGCCGTTCACCCACGCCGTCAATATCCTCGACTAGGAAGTTGAGCACTAGCTCGCCACAACCTCCCACTTCTAGGACGGCCACTGTCTCGACTGCGGAATCTATGCTCTCAAGCTTAGGGCTTGGAGCTTCAAGCTCGACAAAGACTCCGACTTCGACTCCACGTCCCGGCCATTCAGAAAAGCTCTCGTCCTCGACCGCGACCCTGAAGTCTCCTAGCACCACCAGGTCATTTGCATCTGATATTCTTGCTAGCTCAATGCCAATGAAGCCCACGTCTATAGGCAGCTATCAGTCCCCCGCTAGCCTGACCAACCCTTCTGCCTTGACGAACCGTGCCAGTCAGACGTCGCCTACATCTACACTTCGGGCGGCCAACGGCGGAAGTTTTGACGCTGATAGCATTCTTGTGTCCAAGCCCGCCGATGACAGCAAGGCACTCAAAACTATCCCGACTCACTTGGCCAAGATAAGCTCTTCCCTTGGAAGATCCATGCACATATTAAGCTCTGCCACCGACCTTTTCTCCAGCCCTGCATATTCCAACTCAGAGACCGAGCCCTTGATAACGGCGGTTCCCATGCGAGCATCCACGAAGACGAACAAACCAAGTCTACCTCGGCCCACCAGCTCCAAGCGGGGGAGTCCAGTCAAGTCTTCTACGCCAAACGCTCCTCTTAACGCGACAGTACAAGCTTTGGCTGCTCAATCGTCTCTGCCAGCCAGCAGCAACGTCGTTGCTGGCGTCGTCAGTTCCTCTGTGCCAGACAGAAGCGCCGATGCCATAATGATTGCCGCTCTGCCGACTGGAACTGGAAGATCTCGCATCGCCGGCTACAATGCTGTCGTTGAAGACGAATCGTCCTCCTTCCCTACCAATAGCGAGGCTACTACCACCACCTTCCAATCGACCGGGGCGAGAGGCACTCATGTTACCAACCACAGCACCAGTTCCGAGATAGAATCGGCTGTTCCTCGCGAGAGCACCGAAGCCACGACAATCAGGATTTCAGTAACCGGGACGAAAGCTATCCACCTCACCAGCTCTAGCGCCTTTCCTAAGGTGGAGTCATTCTCTACTATTTTGTCTGATGAAGGCATTCGGGCTACGAGACCCACGACTCGGTTCCTTAGAACAGGAAACCCTCCCGTTTTGAGCTCCAGCGCCATCTCTACAGTAGAGCCAATCTCTGTTTCTGTGTCCGAGGAGAACAGAGAGCCCTTGACAACCGCCTCCAAGATAGATTCACTCTCCGTCCCTGTGCCTACTAGCAAGCTGGCTAGCTCCTCGGCCAGAGCCGTGCTGTCCTTGTTATCGCCCACGACGTCGTCCGTCACATACACCAGCTCAGTTCGCGACGTGCCATCGTGTCCGTCCGGTGCTCAATGCCCACAAGACAGCTCCAGGGACTCGGAAACAGTTTCGCTGCACACGGTTGATGTGGCAACCCAGAGGGCCGAGAATATTTTCTCCAAGACCTTGGTCAAGACAACCCAGACGCGCGACTCTATCCAGGCTTCGAGGACAAAGGCGATCAGTCACGCCACCGCTACTGCCGACAACGTCTCGCCTGGACCCTCTCCGGTGTCCAGTCAAACACTAGAGACTGACGATTTGGAAACAGACACCAGCACCGCGACAATTACCAGGACTTACACAATCACCAGCTGCGCACCCACTGTTACGAACTGCCCCATTGGAAAAGTCGCGACGGAGGTCATCGTCACCCACTCCATCATCGACAACTCCATTGCAGTTGCGCTGCGCACCTCACGGAAGCCGGATAAGTCGAGTCAAATCTACCGCGTTGAAAAGGAGGTGATTGCAGCGGCGGACAAGACAGATTCTCCTGTGAGCTGTGCACCCGGCATGGAAGGTTGCTCTTTTGGCGAGGCTTCCGTCGAGCCTGATGGGAGCACGCCGAGCTCGTCATCGACGCCTTTTGAGTCGCCGTCCATCCCTAGCTTCAGCAAGGAGACCGTCACCGCCACAGTGCCCAGGACTGACACCATCACCGGGTGCGCTGCTGCAGTGACTAGCTTCTCTATGAGCATGGTTACGAGTCGGGTCATCATCACGACCCATTGCCCCAGCGATGTGGCCGGTGCCCCAAGCAGTCTAATAACCAGCCCCGGATCGGCTTCCAGTGAGCTTCAAGCCAAGCCGACAGCCATTGAGGACCGACCTCTACAAAATCCGCACCGCCTTGGCACCACTGGTGATAGCCCCGACAGCTCAGTACATGTTAATAAGCCCGGATCTGTCTCGTCTCGTCCGAGCTATGTACACAATGCCCCTAATAGCCTGGCAATCACCCCCGAATCAGTCATTGCTCCGCTCCCTGCCACTCCGGTAGCTGTTGAGCCCCTGTCTCTGGCTAACCCCAGCATTACAACTGGCATCCCTGAGAACGTCCCAAAGATCAGCTCCGTATCGGTCTTCAGTTCGCTCCCGGCCACGCCGGTAGCTGACAAGGACCTACCTGGCCAGCCTTTTGACAGCTCCGGCAACATAAGTAGCACCACTGAGAACGTCCCGACAACCAGCTCCGCTTCGGGTTTCAGTCCACTCCTGCCCACGCCGGTGGGTGCCAAGGACCTACTTAGTCGGCCCCCGTCCCGCCCTGGCTATGGGAGTGATAACCCACCAATTGCGTCCGGATCGGACTTTGGAGAATTGGCAGCCACGCCGACTGCTATAGAGAATCTGGCTAGTGGGCCTCTTCTGTCCAACGCGGGCGACATGGTCGATACCCCTGAGAGTCCGGCAAGCGGTTCCAAATCGGTCTCCAGCCCATTCACAACCACATCGATGGCCGTCAAAAACTTGCCTAAGCGGCCTGTATCTCGCCCTGTCAAGGCCGTCGATACCCCTAGAGGCCCGGCAATCAGCCCCATACCGTCCGTCATTCAGCTTCCCGCCACGCCTACAAGAGCCACAGTCGTGCTTGGCCAGCCCCTGTCGCGCCCCGGCGTCATCATGACCGATGTCCCCGACAGCCTGACAACCAGTCCTGGATCGTGCTTCAGTGGACTGTGCGCCAAGCCGGCAGCCATCGAGGACATCTCTAGTCAACACCCGCCTCGCCCCTTCAATGGAAGCAATACCTCACACAAATCGGCGGATACCTCCGTATCAGTCTGCGACCAGCTTCCAGCCTCGCCAAAAACGGCCGAGGACCCAAGAAGCAGACCTGCATCCCGCCCCCATCCGTCGGCCATCTCCAGTCAACCTCGAACTGAGCGCTCGCGGCCCGCTGGCGCAAAGATCTCGCCTGCCCACATGTCCCTGCGCACCACTATGCTCGCCCAACTCTCCACCGGCGCCTCCGCTCCCCCGACCCTGGGTACCGGCTCTCCGCGACCAAGCAGCAATGCCTCCGTCATGGTCGGCGATAAGCCCCGAGTTGACGCCAACCCCGGCGACAATATCTGCGCCGGCGAGCACTGCTCCCCGCCCCCGGTAATCGCGAGCAGCGCGACTAAGACAAGATACAACACGTGGACACTCGCCGGCTTCGTAGTTGTTCTCTTATTATAATGACTTGGGATTGTCATGGTGTCATGGTGTCATGGTTACTTCTCCTTCTTCGTCTGCTTCTGCCTTTTTCAACAAAGCCCCATCGAGGTTTAATGTCCTGGAACTGTGTAAAATGATTTGCTTGACTGTTACTATTCGATTTGATCCTGTACATGCCGCATTACCACCATGGTCTGGATATATTGGCATGGGGACAAATACTTGTTTGCATGTTTCAGAGCGGACTTGTAAGGCTGGAAAAGTTTTGTTAGTAGCATAATTCGTGATGTCTGTATAATTCAAGACTGGGGTGTGGGTATCATTCAGCGCCGTCCTGTGCCCGTCACACCCTGTTCTGCTCCTCATTCCGACAATCGTGTCCGTATCCACTCTACCCACTTGCAGAGGTCCTCCATGTGCTCCAACGCCCGGCCCAGGTTCTCCTTGGTAATTGCTCTCTTCTTGCCTTTGTTGGTCCCATCCTCATCCTGGGCAAGTATGTTGTCATCCACCACCTCCACAGTGCCGCCCTCCAGTACTTTGAGGGTGATGTTGGCCGTTGCGTTGCCCATTGGAAACACTATTTGCAGATGCGGTAGTGGATGAACCCAAAGTATCACATCCATACTCGTCTTCTGTTCTGATGTCATGTCAGCTCGCTTGCCTGACTCCGCTTTTCCCATAAACCCCGCGAGCTGATCCTTGGTTGTCGTGGTCTGCGACTTGGGGGTGTGCAGTTTCGTGCCCTGACTCGGATCTTCCGTTTGTGTTGTCGATAGACTGTCCGAGGTTTTAGAACCGAAGCTGTTTTCAAGCAATGTCGATAAGAAAGCGTACTGCCGCAAAAGTGGCAGCATGTCGACGAGCTGCCGGGGATGAGAAAATGCCATCTCCGACACCACTTGCGAGTAAATGGGCTTGTAGATGAAGAGCGTATTGTGGTGCTGGCTAATGACTGGCTTTTGGTCCTCGGTATACACGCGCACCCGACGTTCACGCGAGATGGCTCTCGGCTCACTTGGATCGACCCTGACGCCGGACGGAATCGGGAACAGCAGACTGTCGTAGGTTGGCGGCGAGCCTCTGTGGCTTAGCTCAATGTTGGGCGGGTTGACATTGGCGTACATGTAGAGGCGCGACCAGTCGTTTTGGGGGAGGGCAACGGGCGGGTCGAAGGCCACGGTGAACATGACCCTGGGAACCCTCGTCGTGGATAGATCTGGCTGAAGCAGGTCCATGCCGGCATCCTTGTTGTCGTCTGATTGCGGTAGGGAGACGTTTTCTGGTTCCTGCCAGTCCAAGGCGATGCGGCCGGGCCCGATGGAGGCGTCGTCTTTGACAATGTTTTTGGAGATCCAGTTTTCCGAAACCCTGACTGGGGGCAGGCCGAGGTTCTCTATGGGAGCGCAACCGACAAGCATAGACCAGACTTTTTCGTGCTTTTCAGCAAAACCAGCCAGTGTGTCGGACGGCGGCGGTACGAAGCGCAGCTCCTTCCAGTACTGCAAAGCCAGTCCGACCTTTCCTCGGGCGTGCATGACTGGAACGCCGTGTTGGGCACACATGGCCACGGCGTTCAAGTAGTCGTCTGGCTTTGTCGCCATGGCCGGGTCTTGTCGCAGCTTGGATAGGTCCCACTCATGTAGCCTCTCGAGGCTGGCGTAAATGCCGGCCAGGGCCTCGTGGCAGTCGAGCCCCGGGGAAATGCTAAGTTTGTCTAGCACTGCCAACCGCTCAAAGTTGGAGGCGAAGTTGGCCAGGGACTTGGTCAGGGGGCTTTGATGGGGGAGGAGCTGTAGGTCTTGGAGAAGTATCCGGCTGGCCGCGTCCATATGCCGAGAGACGGACGAAGCATTGCCGTGATAGGTCAACGAGGTGCTCTGGACGATGTTATTGTCCAAGACTATGTCGAGAGCAATGGCCGAGCCAGCGATGGCCAGAGTCCTCGTCTTTCGTCCGCCCGGCGTCGTCTGTTCCTCGGATAACAGCTCGAGGCCGATGCGCTGGGCGAGGCGCTCCAAGCCGGCTTCGCTAACGAGTCCTGTTTTCTCCTGCATTCATATCAGGACCAGACTTGCGACGGGCCAGCATGACGGGGATATGCTAACACTCAAGAGCTTCAAAATGGTATCCAAGCGCTTCAGCTTGTCGTCCTCGCCACCCAGGGCGGCGCCAAGACTATCGAGACCTCCGACAGCGACGTTGTCGAGACCCATGTCAAAGCCGCCGCCGATGCCCAAGGCGCCCATGGCTGCGGCGGTGGAGGGGCTGTCGAAGTTGAAGGCGCCCATGGAGGTCTGGCCCAGCATAACCGAGGTGGCAGGCGACTTCTTGACCTGCTGGGGCGACGACTTGGGGCCGCGGGGGGAGAAGGCAGCGTGGGCAGGGTTGGAGAAGGGCGTGGAGACGGGAGGCGTGGCGGCGGCGACGAGCTGCGAGGGGGTGCGACCCTGCTGCGAGGGCGCGTGCTTCATGGGCGTCGGAGTCGCCATTGTGACGGCGGCAAGCTGTCGAGGAGAGTCGATGGAGGTCGGTGGCGAGCGGGCCGGAGAGGATCGCGAGAACGCCGTCTAGTGGCGGGGCGGATGCCGAGGACAGGACATGAGGTCCTCGGCCTTGGCGCACGGGGGTTCTGGACGTGGTGCTGGCAAGGCTGGAAGAAATATGTGATGGATGATGAATCGTGAGCCAGAGTTGACGAGAATACGAAAGTACCGAAGTAGCCTCGCTGCCATGCATCAGCCAATCAGAGGACGCAATGCCAGCTCTTGACTGGCGAATGGGGGGTACGTACCGGTACGAAGCACATCCTGACGCTGCAGAAGCGTCGAAAGGGAGACGAATTACAATGAAAACGATGATGTCCAACCCGTAGGCGTCTCTTGTCGCCACTACCTACCATGAAGGATCAATCGAGCAGAAGATTCTTATGTGACGATACGGATACTGTGCCCTGCCTTGACTGGGGCTTTGATTTACCGGGTACTTTGTACCTTGTACCTTTGGTAGATTGACGCCAGCCTCGGATAAATGATGCCTCGTCGAGAACTCTTCTTCGCAAAGCAACTTTACAGCCTCAACCAGCCATCTTGTGAGGGCGACACAGTCGCAGCTGAGTCCTCTCGACTTCGCCACCCTCTCTCACCATGGCCGCCAGCGCAAGCCAGGCGCTGAGGTCTATGCGCGAGCGGTCCATTCGGGTCCTCGTCACGCCGACGCCCTTGACCTTTGCTGAGCGACGCTCCGTCCTGCAGGTGCTCGAACAGCATGGGCCTGTCGAGGTCTTCAAGATGACGCCGGTACGATCAGCTTCCTGGGAACAATCCCCCGCCCGAGAGCTAATAATGACCCCAGGGCTTCAACGCCAACTTTATGTCCGTCACCAAGCACTCAGCCACGGCGAGTCGGCTCGTGGCCAGCAGCCCGCTCACCTACAGCATCCCCGTCCCCCGCGAAACCACCGAGGTGTCCCTCGCCGGCATAGACGAGCCTGCACCCTTTGACGCGCATCCTCCTCTAACAAGCGGGGCGGCCGCATCGGACCGCGACTCGGTCCCGGACAGCCAGTACAAGGAATTCAAGCTCAACGTCTTCCCAGAGCCAGACTACCAGCACCGATTCGCCATGGCGCCCTCCCCGCTTTGTCAACCCTGGCCACCAGTGTACGAGCAAGACCGGTCCTTCATGGCGGCGGTCCTGAAGCAGTCCCTGCCTCGCACCATTGCCGCAAAGGGCCTGGCACACTGGTTCCTGGATTTCAACAAACCTGCCCAGTCGTATAAAGCAAGGCGCCTGCAGTTGAAGAGCTGGCTCCCGAGCAAAATGAAGGGTTGAGGCAGGGCGTGCGGGGCCGCAATCAAACTCGAGTTGCTGTCTTTATGCGGCGCCCCTTGGCCCTGAGCCCACGGTCGAGCCGACTCTGAGCGTCAGGAAAAGAAAGCGCCGGTCAGCAGAGACTGGTGAAGCCAAAGACAAAACGGGCATCTGTTATTCACATGCCACTCTTTCTCTTGCCCACTGAGAGCGGCACTGCGTACCGAAGCAGCCCCGATGCGGCGGTCAGCCAATGGGACTTGCTGGCGCTAGCCACAGCGTCAGCGAAACAGACCTTGGCCTTGCTGCCCCAGCTTTTCAGCTCAGCAGCGTCGGCTGAGACCAGGATCCGCCTTTTGGGGTGCCGTCCAATCCCTGGTACTGTCCCACATCCACGCCCACCCATCCAGTCAGGCGAGGGCCCTGCACGGAGACTGCCGACACGCATGGACGTGTCTAATCTGGGCAGAGCCAGATGGCGCTGTCCATGATACGTCATCCTTGCTAGCTCCCCGGAACCTCTTGCGGTCTCTTCCAGGTCATGGAGGAGCGCCAAGTCCCAGCCATTCTTGGTCGGCGTCGCCTCTGGCTGTCGTGGCAGCAACCAAATGACGTGGGACAGTCTAGACGCAGGGGGGCCTCCCGCGAGACACGTCCCATGGCTCTATATATGCCAAGGCCCCTCTCCCTCCAAAAGGGAATGTGTTTAGTCCCCTTTCCCCCTGGTCTCTGACTACTCTCTCTCTCTCTCACTGCAAGACTTAAAACCCCTCCGAGCCCTTGAGCTTGACTGAATCGCGAGCGCGTCCCCGACCGAGGTGCGCCAACAATAAGCAGCATATACAACTTGGACAACGCCGACAACGGTCATTATCCACAATGGGCTTTGGCACCTTTGTTCACCACATCGGCACGGTGCTGCTGCTCGTTGCCACGGCGTTGCTCATTGTCGTCTCCGTCACGGCACCCGCCGTCAACTCGCTCGCCATTTTGCGAGTAGAACTTGGGGGTGGCGTTCAAGGGAACGAGGTCACATTTGGATCATTCGGATACTGCCATCGTGGCGTCCTGTAAGGATCCCGCGTCGCCTGCAATGCCTGCTTCCTTGACTAACACGCGCATGCCCAGGGACACGGACCAATGCTCCCGCTCTCACATCGGCTACAACCCGGCCGACGTCATTTCCGACATTGACGACACAGACTTTGGCACAGCCGCCGAAAACACATCCAAGGGCCTCACTCGCGTCATGATCCTGCACCCCATCGCCGCAGCGCTTTGCTTCATCGCCTTTCTGCTCTGCCTGGGCACGGGCATCGTCGGCTCCCTGGGCGCCGTCTTTTTTGCCCTCGTGTCCTTCATCGTCACCATTGTCGCCATGGCGTGTGACTTTGCCGCCTTTAGCATCATCCGGAGCCACGTCAACGACAACGGCCGCAGCACAGCCCGCTGGGGTTCCGGCATCTGGTGCATCCTGGCCGCCGCCATCTGCACCCTCTTCGCCGCCGCCGTCGTCATGCTCACCTGCTGCGCCGGCCGAGCCAAGAAGCGCCGCCAGGAAGGTCGATCCAAGGAGGCTGATCATGTCAGCGGAGAAGCCGCCGCTCGGCGACCTTTCTGGAAGCGCGGCTAGATTAGGGCCGGTGGTGGGCCGACGCATTCCAGCGGACTGTGTAGGAATCGCTAATCATGGTACTCGCGAGACATGCACAAGGAGTGGGTGGAGGCTGGCGAGAGGTATAAAAGGAAAAGGCACCCTTAATGACGTTGAGGAGGGGGGCTTCGGGAGCTTGGCATGTGTGGCTGGCCGTGCTGAAAGGACCCCGTGCTCCTTGGAAGAAGCGAGACATGATATCCCCGGTGTAGTCTCTTTGGTATCTCGCTCCCTTCCCTTGTTTTAGTCTATACCCGTTCGTGCACTAGACAAGCCAATACTTGCTTTCATACCCAGATGACGTCCACGGCCAACATCAGTTCTCCTAGGCCACGGTGTAACCTGAGTACATGCCGGTGCTTCACCCCACGCTTCCCTGTGTCTTTGAAAGACATGTCTTGGCGGAAAGGTGGCCGAGGAACGCGCCAGTCGGCGACATGTTCAGTCGGCGACATTTTCATGTTGGCGATCGATAAGTGTGCGCACGGATACGGGATGATCCTGGCCAGTTCCGTTCAACCAAATAGCTGTTGATATATCTTACCTGCCCATCGGCAGACTACCAGAGGCATGGGGATGTCGATTACGGCTTATTATCCCACCGAGGCGCCGGGAGGTTTGCAAACAAATCACAAACGCAGACAACTTGAGTCGTGTATTCCCCCCGTCTGTCTCGTAGCCGGCATCAGGGCCGCCGGCGGGCATTTTCCTTCGTTCATGATGGCTTGGACACTGGATTTTCCCCTCTCTGCTTTACACCGCTTACACGAGTGGAACGATGAGGAACAGGGGGGGGGCAGATACCTAGAGGAGAAGGCAATAGAAGTATCATTCTTCCGTATGAGCTCTATGTCCTCCCCATCGCCCATGTTGGCAAAATGTGTGATGCCGGCACCCCCACTCCGTCGGGTTCCTGTATATCTATCTACCTTGCCTCCGCTGGCCCCCGTCCGGGCTGCCGGCTTCGGCTCCGAACCCCCCCTTCCCCACAAATGTCTGACGTCCGGCTCCGCGCCGCCAAACAAAGATGAGAATGGTGGTCCGCGTCCCGGCCGGCATCGCACACGTCCTCGCAACGAAAAGATCCCTGAAACCTACCGGAGCCGTCACTACTGCAACAACACAACTCGGATCCCCAACAAAAAGGTCGGCGCCAAATGAATGTTATTATTGCCTAATGAGCCGACACGACATGCGACAGCCTGTATAGTAGTATCAACATCAAACCCCAGACAAGAAACCATCCGAGACCGTCCATTTCTTGCTACTGCCCATTTTGAACGCCGCCGTTTTTCAGCCCACAGCATATTATTAGTTTCCTCCCATTATTCACCTGTAAATCTTTCCCCTTTTCCCATCCTTTCGACGCTTGTTGATTAGCCTCCGACTTGGCTGACGCTCAGAAGAGGAGGAAGCCGGCGATGGCGGCTGCGGCCACGAGACCAGTGCCGGCCGCGGTGCCCTTAGTAGCAGCGTTGACGACAGTGGCGGGCTTCTCGGGCTCAGGGAGAGCGGCTGGGGCCGAGTCCTGAGCAGGACCCTGGGAAGGAGCCTGAGCAGGGGTCTGGTCGGCAGACTTGTCCGAGCCCTGGGAGGGAGCCTGAGCAGGGGCCTGGTCGGCAGACTTGTCCGAGCCCTGGGAGGGAGCCTGAGCAGGGGCCTGGTCGGCAGACTTGTCCGAGCCCTGAGCGGGAGCCTGAGCAGAGGCCTTGTCGGCAGACTTGTCCGAGTCCTGGGCAGGGGCCTGAGCAGAAGCCTTGTCGGCGTACTTGTCCGAGCCCTGGGCAGGAGCTTGAGCAGGGGTCTGATCGGCAGACTTGTCCGAACCCTTGGCAGGAGCCTGAGCAGGAGCCTTATCGGTGGACTTGTCCGAGCCCTGGGCAGGAGCCTGAGCAGGAGCCTTATCGGTGGACTTGTCCGAGCCCTGGGCAGGAGCCTGAGCAGGAGCCTGAACAGAGGCCTTGTCGGCAGACTTGGCAGGAGCTAGGGCAGGAGCCGGAGTCGAAGCTTGGGTGGCAGACTTGGCCGGAGCCTGGGCAGGGCCTTGGGCAGGAGCTTGAGCCTGAGCAGGGCCTTGGGCGGGAGCCTGGGCCTGGGCCGGACCTTGGGCAGGAGCTTGAGCCTGGGCAGGGCCTTGGGCAGGAGCCTGGGCAGGAGACTGAGCCTGAGCCGGAGACTGAGCCTGAGCCGGAGCAGGACCTTGGGCGGGAGCCTGGGCAGGGCGTTGAGCAGCACCCTGAGCGGGACCCTGAGCGGAAGACCTGGCCGGACCTTGGGCAGAGCCCTCGACAGAAGACTTGGCCGAACCCTTGTCCGAGCCAGAGCCAACGGGCTTGTGCGGGGAGACATAGCCGGACTTGCCACGGAGGGCGTCGATGGGGAAAGAGCCCTTGTAGTCGTAGGATCCCTTGTACTCGTGGTAGCCCTTGAACTCGTGGTGGCCCTTGTGGCCCTTGTGGTGGTGGTGGTGTCCCTTGTAGCCCTTGTGGCAGTGGTGACCCTCCTTATACTCGTGGCCCTCTTTGCAGTGGTGGCCCTTGTACTCGTGGTGGCCCTTGTGGCAGTGGTGGCCCTCCTTGCAGTGGTGGTGGTGGTCCTTGTCGTGGTGGTGGTGGTGGTCCTTGTCGTGGTGATGGTGATGGTGTCCCTTGTGGCAGTGGTGACCTTCCTTGTAGTAGTGGCCCTCCTTGCAGTGATGGTTGTGTCCCTTGTGGCAATGGTGGCCCTCCTTGCAGTGGTGATGGTGGCCCTTGTGGTGGTGGTGTCTGTGGCAACGGCCCTCGCGGCAGTAGTGGCCCTCCCTGCAGCCGCGGTCACCGCACTGCTGGTGCTGGTGCTGGTGAATGTCAATGCCAATGATGGTCCCGTTGTTGCCGCCGGGGAAAGTGGACGTGAACGGCGCCCCGGGCTGCTGAGGCTGCTGGGGCTGGAAACCGCCGGGCTGCTGGGGCTGGAGACCGCCGGGCTGCTGGGGCTGGAGACCGCCGGGCTGCTGGGGCTGGAAACCCCCGGGCTGCTGAGGCTGGAACCCGCCGGGTTGCTGGGGCTGGAAACCCCCGGGCTGCTGAGGCTGGTTCTGGTTCAGGCAACGTCCGATGGTCACCAAGTTGTTGTTCTGATCCCGGACCGTCCTGCAGACGGAGCCAGGCTTGTGGCAATTGCAGCAGCCCTCCTCGCGGCATCCGCACTTGTCGCAGCCGTGGTGGCCGTGGTGGCGGTCATCGTAGCGATCCCAGTCACGACGGGCCAGGGAATCGCCAACCTTGGCGGGCTCACCCGCCGCCGTGGGACGCACAGCAGCGGCCGTCGGCTTGGCCGTGGGGACGACCGCGATGACCGTTGGGATAGCCGTGACGGTGACGGTCTTGGACTTGACCATGGCGGATGCCTGGGCGGCACCGCTGAGGACAGCCAAGACGGCAAAGGTTTTGGCTTGCATGGTGGAGAAAAGAAGTCAACGAAGTGAGCGTTTCAAACAAAGATGTAGCGAGCGACTGTGATCAAGGACCAAGCTGACGGAGAACGTCGAGTTGCCGGATTGCTGGCCTGTGGATGAGAGAACAGAAGAAGAATCCCCAAGTCAGGCCGGACCAAGCCGGTGATTTATACCCTGAGACGTGTGCCATTTCTCCAGGAGAAACATAATGCAAGCATACACGAGCAACAGAGTTGGCTGTGATTTTCGGTTGAAGGCGACAGGATGATCTCATGAATTGGCCATGTTGAGCCGGCAGTCGGCGTTGAGGACGCGTCCGCGCGCAAAGTGATGATGAGCAGCCGACTCGGATGGCCATTCATGCCAGCTGGCTAGCGAGGGCCTGGAAGCTGCTCGTCGTGCTCGATGAACTCATCTGCAGAGCCACACGAAGCCATCGGCACGCCACTGCATGAAAAAGGGGGGCAGACGCAGGTTATCAAACCCTCGCCCTGACTAGTAGATGACGACTCGCCTGTTTGTTGTCAGCCAAGAGCGCTCAAGCATGCATGAAAAGAGTGACCTCGCGGCAGAGACGGGAGATCAAGGAGAGAAGACAGGCGCTGCAGAAGTTCAGATCCAATTCCCTGTCCTCGGAAGCTACCCGCTAATCGCCAAACCTTTTGACGGCCGGAGCCGCGTACCAAATTATGCTCGCTGTGAAATGAAATCCCTCGCAAGTGGTGATGATGGTTGCCCCCCCACGCCCTCCCTGACCAAACTCAAACATTGATAAGCACCTCCCAACGCCGCCGCCAGCCACTCGCGCCGCGTTAATCCCCCGGTGGGCCTGAGAAGAGGCCAAATCGCATACGGTGGCTCTGCAGCGGCATTAGCCTCTCTGAATACGGGACGCACGATATTGGGGGGCGTGGGGGGACGGTTTGGCGACGCACGAATGGAAGTTTTGGAATCACGACGCCCAGGACGGCCAGGAAATTGATGATGAAGTAGGCCAGGTCGTAGTGGGTGTAGTGAGTGCTCAGGAGAAAGAGGACGATGGGGACACTGAGGAGGAACTTCTTTGTGGGCGTGTACTGAGCTCCGTTATCGATTTGCTCCCACATGTTTAAGTTGTCAAAGGCTCCGCTGTTGAACTCGAAGGGGACGCCACGGACGTAGTGGAACATGAGATACGAGCCAAACATGTAGGTCATGTTTGTAAGTGTCCACGAAGTTTCCTGCGAGACGCCGGGGATCACGTCGTAGAAGATTTTGAGACAAGCTATCAGGACAATGTGGATGGTCCAAGCTCCTGCAGCGCGGCATCCGCGTTAGCGACTTTTACAGCGAAGCCACAAAGGCAAAGCAGACCTTTTGCATTTGTCCAGTTGGCATTGAGGTTGGGCAATGCAGCCTGGTCGCTGATTTGTTCGAGCGTCTCGGGGGGCTCGTGGTAGACTTGAAGGATGCTGCTAGATCTCCTCCGGCGAGCGCCGTTGTCGCGGTCGGCCATGTCGAGGTAGATGCTTCCACGGCGCGGAGGTTTGGTGCCCGCGTCGTAGGAGACGGTTCGCTGGAGAAGGATTGGGGGAGACAGCTTGGCGGTATTGGCCCGGTCGAGTCAGGGGGGTTTCTCGAGGCGAACAGGGCGTGGCGGAACTGGACTTGACCGGGGCGAGACAAGCACGGCGAGGACCAGACGGTGCACGCTCGGGTCAAGCCGTCGTCGACGATGGCCACGCGTGGGCTTGGGCGTGGGCCGAGATGGGCGGCGGACGAGGCGGGGAGCAGAGCGTAATGGATACACCGACCTGGAGACGGGCGTGGGTGGCAGAGAGGGGACGAGAGCAGAATGGATGGATGATCTGGGGAGAAGAAACGGAGGAAAGCAGTCAGCGGCGGCAGGAGAGCACGTCGGAAAGGGACTGTCGATGATGACCTGTGAAATGGCAAGATCGGGTTGGTTGGCAAAGGACGAGGCCACCTTAACTGAACTTTTGGCCTCGAAGCCGTACTTGGTACCTCCTTGGCGACTGTTACAGCGGGCAGGTACCTGAGCTGGGTACCTGCTTGAGTGGGTCAGGGCTGGCGCTAGGGGGGTGGCAAAATCCTCCTTACTGGAGCCGCCTCTGAAGCTCAACCAGTTCCTCAATTCAGCCAACCTAGAATTGGGTGTTGATGTCGATGGGAGAGGGGTCCAAAAGCCAATTGAGCTTCATTTCCAGGCGCCATGGCCATTGTCGGATAGAAAAAAGTCGGAACAAGAAGAGGCCAAGACAAGAAAGAGGTCCGGCACAGAGATTGGGCCAATGTCTAATCTGTAGGTACTGTACAGATTCTCGCCTGGCTAAGTGTGCGAGCCGCTACGCCTGTATGGGTGTCCTACAGTGCGGATTAAGCATTATGCAGTCGATACTACTGTAGGTTGCTATTTTTGCATCGTTGGCGGTGGGAACCGTCATTATTACGGAAATACGGAGTACTCGCACATGAAATGCAGATACGTATGCCGTTCTGCAATTACAGTACCTGCCCTTTTGATTGCCCAGCAATTCTCACAATGTTGTCTGCCAACAGCTCAAAAGTGCAAAGACAAGCACTTGCTCCAAGACCCGTCATCGCAGTCGCTGGCCTGGATTCCATTATTCTGTCCTCGCAGACTCAGACTAATATCAGCATAGCTAGGGCGGGCGAGCCGAGCTGTGCATTCCGACATGCGCCGCCTAGGCTGAAGATGCAGTGCAGAGCAGAAATGCTGGCCCGTTTCACGTTTACCCACGGTCAGGTGACTTGGCCCCTGGTTAATCCTCGGCCCAGCCAGATGCTCTATGCCGCTGGCGGCACACTGCTGTGGAAACGCACCAGGCGAGCGCTCTCGTGATTCGCCCCTGCCCTTTGTCCCTTCAAAATTTACCCCGACTCTCATCTCATAACAAACGCGAAGCCTCTCATCTCATCAGCCGCGAGAGGCCCCTTCATCTGGCTTGTCGCCATTCACTTCCTGTTCTTCCTGGCGCTGTGCATGAGTTGCGGCGTTTTCTCGACTTCATCGGCTATCCCCACGCTATCCGAGTCTTTGTACTCCAAAGATCAACTTCCTTGGATCAAGCTTGCCTTTGCAACGAGCCTCCGCCTGCGGGCTCAAAAACTCAATTCACAAAAAAACTCACGGCCGGCATGATCAAGGCAGGTGAGCAGTTGAGCGGAAACTTCAAGGCCCATCTAAGCGTCGTTTGCCAATACCTCTGAGCCTTTTCGCCCCTTGCTACATTCGCCACATCCGCCCTGTTTTCGGCTGCAAAATGGCCTCGCAGATCCCAGGCGACATTATCGTCATCGATGACTCGAGTGATGCAGATGCCCCCGGGCCTGGGCGGAAGCGCTCTCGTTCCGAGCATGCCAAAAACGCAAAGTCCACTCCGTTTTCCGGCTCCTCGTCAAACCCCAAAAAGGCACGAGTGAGCACTGCTACAGGGCAGGTCTCAACCTCGCACGGCTCTGAAGATGGGGAGATTGACGAGTCCGAAGACCAGTCTCGTGGCAGCGAAGCCGCCAAGACCGACAAGAATGAACCGGTAAAGCCGAAGCTGCCAAAGCTGCCGAAGCTGCCTGGACAAGAGTCTCGCCAGAGTCTCTCTGCCGCGGCAACATCGGCCGACGCCACTCCAAGCGTCATCATGCCTCTTGATCCTCCCATGTGGTCCAAAGGCCCCCATTCGTTCAAGCTGCCCGCCTTTTCCACCCAGAGAGAGGGCTCGTGGCTCGCGAGGTTCAACGACTGGGTTCACCTCTTCTACCACAACAACCTCCATCACGGCATCGCCGTCACGTCTTCTATAGTCCTGGCGGGCTACACTTACTACCTAGACAATGTCAGCGGCCTCAAGTCGGGCAAGCGCAAGAGCGGCAAAAAGGCAGCCCATGCAGCCGACAAATCCGGCGTGCTGGCCAAAAACCTCAAGAAGCTACGTGCCGCAGCTCCTCGTGCCCAGGCGGCCAGACCCAGTGCACCCCTGGCAAGCGGTGCATCGCGGCGAACCAAGGGAGCGCCGAACCCCCCTCGGCCGAAGCAAGCGCTTGAGGACAGTGAGCCAAAGTGGGAAGCGGCGGAAAGCGGGCAACCGGACTTGAATGGTGACGAGCAACCCCCAAATGGCACCAGTGACGAGAAACTCGAGCTCACAAATGGCGAGGGGGCAGACTGTTTCCTCTGCGGCTCGACAGACCCAGGGCATGTGGAGGATGATTGCAGAGACCACTGGGCACAAGTCTACCCACCCGACGACATGCTCAAAAAGGTTGTCGATCTCCCAATTACTTGCGCAATCTGCGCTTCCCGGGAGCACTTCCTGTCTGAATGCAGTGAGCGAGTGCACCCGCCAAACCCGACGTGGTCTTTGGCCAACCGCAGTCGGTTCATCGACCCCGACTGCGGCGTCCTGTGCATAGAAGACGCGATGAAGCAAAGAGAAAGCCTGGCAAGGGTGCCTGTTGCACAGTCAACGATGCGCGGGCCCATGGCTCGGACCTCCAACGTCCACTACTCTGAAAGCGACGACACGGACATTGAATTTCTTGGCAATAGAATTGTCAACCAAGTCGGCCAGATGCGCATCTCGACCAACGTCCTGACTCGCAGCGCAAGCCGTCTGACCCAATCGGCTACCGTTCAATCTACCCAGCCCACCGGCCCGCCACCATCGGGGCCGGCGCGAGGCCAGCTGCCGGTGGGGAGTCGAGGACAGCGGCGCCCGAACCCTCAGCCACGTGCACCAGGTGCCTCTCTCCCGGCTAAGCCTCCACCTCCTAGCCGGGGCTACCACGGCGTAGCACCTCCGCCTGTGTTGTCCGGATCTCGCGGACAGGACGGCACCAACAGCGGAAATGGACGGGGGGGGAACGGGAAGCGTGCCGGGCAAAGCGGAAGGGGCAGGAGCAAGGGAAGGGATAGAGGTCGTGGGAAGTAGAGGGCCCCGTGGCAAAGTCGCCCACGCGCAAGGAGACGGGGCGAACCCGAGTTTTTGGCAGCGGTGGACTTCGGAGATGCGGCGTCGACGGAGGCAGAAGGCTTTTTGCGATTGCATATGTGATACCCATGTTTCGATCTGTAAGAGTAGCCCGTGTTTGAAATAGGAGGCTCTCGAATGACGAGACTTGAGCCAGATGGCGCTGCCACCTACCACATGAGCTATCAGTCGGCACAACGACATGCAAGCAACTGGTCGAGAAGCTCGCCATGGAGCCTCGACGTCTCGAGCATGCTCCATGCGAGTTTGGCGTGCTGCAGCTGCGCGAAGCGAGGCAGACACACAAGAAAGTCGTTTTGTGCAACGACACGCTCCTTCTCTGCCCGTTGTGAAAACGCGTAGGGAAAGGGGCGTTTCGGCGCGTGCAGCGCGTTGCCCAATCCATAGGCTGGCTTGGGACGCCGGGGAAGGTTGCGTGCAGGTCCGGATCGATGCATGCCAACGAACGCCGACTGGACTGCAGGGCAGAGGGCTGGGAGATGCAGGTAGGCCTTGTCTCTCGCCATTGCACGACGATGGGCTCGAGGGTTCTGCAGTAAGGACTGGCCGGAGACGCGAGGGTTGGAGACGCGCGACCTAGGCAGCCGTCTCTGGGATGGGATGAGACGTAGCGTTGAATATATTCAACTCGTTTTTCTTTATATTTCCTCGTTTAGCAATCAGATGTGACGCTTTTCTCCGGTTACATGGACTGGTGCAGAGCAGGTAGAGCCAATGTTGAAGATGCTCTAGGAAGGCATGGCTGGTAAAGTCCAAATGGCCACTCGAAGTCGCGCTTAGTCACGACGAGAGGCTCCATCCGCGATCAGCTCGCGGCCGCGGCGCGTGGGTTGCGTTTCCGTACCGGCTTCTGATTGGCACATGATACCCCGCGCTGCGATACGGCAACCGCTATCGATTAACCCCGCCACGCGCTGCAGGACAACCGACGTGATCCAAGAAGTCCTGCCAGAAAAACACGTCTTGTCGCCTCCTACTGGCCAGGAACCCCCCCGGACTCGACGCAGCGCTGCAGCCACCTGCAGCCGTCTGGCCAACGGGCTCGTCCGGCGCGGGAACCGACGCGGTCGCGAGGCTACAAAACTCGCCTTTGTTCCTGCAGCTGCTGGGCCAGTCAATGGCGCTGTGAGCAGGAGAGGTTACCATGGCAGATCAAGAGAGGGGACAGGATCGGCGGGCGGAGAGGCGAGGGGACGAGCTACGGGATATATACGACGGCCCTTGACGGCTCCTGCGAATAAGGTGTTTATGTCTTGACAAAACTGAGAGCGCGAGCTTGCTCGTCCTGGCTGGCGACTGAGCGAGCCAACTTCGACTTTGTCCTCCAACAGTGGCCAAGAGTTCATCGTCGTTGACCCAACGCAGTTGTCAGCATCCTCAGAAGCTTCACTCCTGGCAGTTCTTTGCTTTTGTCTTTACCGAGTTCCAAGACCAATTACAGCTTGACCGACAACCATCACGGCTTATTCTCCTCAGCTCTCGAGACATGAGACAGCCATGACGGCCTCCGAGCAGCTCTTCGTCACTCTCCTCAGGAGCCAGACCGTCCAGGACAGACTCTTCGTCCATCTCTCCAACGCAGATATCGGCGCCGTGCGCGCAGCCTCGTCTGCTTGCTGCAACCTCGTCACAAAGACCCTCTTCACCCGCATCCACGTCACTTTTACCGCCGCCACTTTTACCAAGCCTAGCCGCGTCGCCGCCCTGGGCCGCATCGGCCATCATGTCGAGCATCTGACCTTTCACGTCCCGCACTCGCACGCCACCTTCCTGCCTCCCCTGATCCATCCCCTGACGGGCCAGGAGATTTGCTTCCTCTACTCGCCGCACACGAGCATGAGCTCCGTCATGACTAGGCCAAAGTACGCCAACACGGAGCTCGGCGAGATCCTGACGCAGCAGTATCCGCCCTTGTTCCATGCGGCTACAAACGTCCCCAGCTTCATCCACGCTCTCCAGATGGTGCCCAACATGAGGCATCTGACCATTTACTGTCCGGGCCAGGATCCCGCAGAGAGGTACAGGCGCAGCGTCGTCGACTATGCCCTCATCAGCATGCGCATCGCCGTCGAGCGCGCCCCATTGACAAAGCTGAACAAGCTGTCGCTCTCCTTCCTTCATCCTGCAGCTTTCACCTATTTGCGCCACGCTCAGGGTTTCGGCTGCGTGCCCTCGGCTGCGCGCAGGTGGAGGCAGATCAAGAAGCTGCAAATTTCCGTCGAGGCCTGGGATTTTTACGGCCCGTCGCCCGGCCTCGACCTCCTCAAGACCATGGACGATTACATCCGCTACTTTGCGCCCACCCTGGAAAAGTTTACCTTTGCTTGGGTCGGTTCCAAGGGGCCTTGCCCTGTTGCCCTTTCCGCCGATCCTCTCTTTGCTCCTCCACGCTCCTCCAAAAAGCTCTTTCATGAGGTCACGTCTCCCATGTCTCCTCTGCCGACCCGGCCGTCCCGCTCGCCCATTCACTTCCCCGTGCTGCGTTATCTTGAGATCCGCAAGGCCACCATGAACGCGCCACAGCTAAGTGCCTTGATCAACTCGCACAGAGAGACGGTCAAGGAATTCGACTTCAGGAATGTCGTCCTCATCAACCGTGGCAGTTGGGATGAGGCGCTGGCGCCTCTCAGCGGAGACAGGTCGTGGTCCCGAACCAGCCTCGTGGCAGCGTCCGAGTGCACTATCGTGAGCGATGACAGCTTTGACGACTTGCCGAGCCCGAGCGCCGCGGCTGCGGCGGCGAGCAAGGAGCTCTTAGATGTGGATTTGGGCGGTCTCGCTATCAGCGACGAGGAGAGCGAGGTCATCGAGGCAGCCTGCGAATCGGTAGCGGCGGCAGAGGACGATGACCTGAGCATCAGTACCAAGCTCAAGAAAAAGCGTGTCCGCCGGCGCCGACACGGCCGAAGCCACCATGACAAGGACCAAGACCGCCGAACCTCCGAGCCCCGCCCTTCGATGTCGTCGTCGTCTTCGTCCTTTCGCCTCCGCAGTCCTTTCCGGCCGAGATCCAAGCCCTCGTTCGAGTCTGAGCCTCCTCCCCCTCCAACCCCCATCCCCAAGTCCATCATCACGGCTCCCATGCTGGCGTCCGACCCGCGGCCCGTCCTTCTACAGCCAACCGTATACAATCCCTCGGCCCTGTCCGCGCCTGACGAGGGCATCTCGAGCGTGCAGCGCAACATTGAACGGGAGGAGGCGCACCGGCGCCTGGCCGAGGACGCCGTCGCGCGCGTCCGCGCCCTGCAGCGAGCCAAGGAGGCGGTGCTGTCCAAGCTCAGCAGGGAGTTTTGCAGCAAGCGAAATGGCGGCGGCGGCGTGTCGGCGTGTCGGCTCGTGGCTGGGGCGCAGGCTGGGGGCGGCGGCGGCGATGGGCACGGCCGGGAGGTGCTGATGGACGATAGGGGGTCGCTGGAGAGCCGGAGTACGCTAGTGCCTCTGTTCTTCAGTCGATCTTGAGAGGGAGAGGGTGCCGGGGCGGAAGCCGAATTAGTTGACGGGCGGTTATGACTTGTAATGAAGGCACGACGATACGATTCCACGTCATTCTTTTTGCATGTAAATACACTCTCACTTGACGACTTTGTTCTATGATCAATATAGCCCCGACGGTATATGTCCGACATGAAATTCATTTGTCCAAGCATCAGTCTAGCCTGCTAGAATGAAGCACGTTTCTTGAGGTATCAAGTCATCCACCAGGAAGCTCATATGCTATTCTACAAGAACGTCAATGCTAGGCCGGTTCTGTGGTGACGGAGGGGTATCTCGAACGTGCACATTAACCTTGCTAGTCAAATGTCATCTTAGTGCCGGTGTGCTTGACCAAGGCGCCCGTCAGCTTGGCGACCCGGATATCCGAGGCTTCCTTGACAGGCGCGGGCCCCTTGTCCGGCTGCTCGCCAGCGGTCCGATGCTTGCCGTCGCGGGACGACGATGCCCTGGGGACTCCGTCGCGCTTCGGCGCATCTTTACCAAACCGCTTCTTATAGCGCGTCTGGTCGTCCTCGGCGAGCTCCAGCTTCAGCTGTCTCCCCAGCAGCCTGTTGACCCACCACTTCCTCGTCTTGACCTGCTTCTGCCGCTGCTTATCCTCGCTGTCGCTTCCGCCGTCGCTGTCGACGTCGTCGTTGTCCCCGTCGCTCTTGAAGTCGTCCTCCGTCTCAATATCCTCCTTGATCTTGACGAAGCCCTTGACGGCCCACGCGGCGCTCTCGGGCTCTTTGAACTTGACCCATCCGAAGCCCTTGCACTTGCCCGTGTCCTCGAAGGTAGCCACCTTGACCCACTCGATCTCGCCGCACTTTTCAAAGTTTCGGGCCAGGTCCTCGTCGGTCGTCTTGAAGCTCATGTTGCCGACAAAGATCTTGCGGCTCGCGTTGGCGTCCTTGTTGGCCCCGGCCCCGGCGTGCTCCGCGGCAACATCCGCCGCCGGCTCCTTTTCCCTCTTGGGCCGGCCTTCAAAGGACTTGGCGTCCTTGATCAGAAGTCTGCGGCCCTGGAAGTCGGACTCGGACAGCGCGACGGCGGCGACCTTGGGGCCAATGTCGGCAAAGTCGACGAAGGCGAAGCCCTTGTTCGCCGGCGCCTTGGTCTTGTCGCGGCCGGGCTCCTTGACCGTGGGGAGCTTGATACGCGTAATGGAGTCTTCGGTGATGACCTGGCCCGAGTTGTCGACGAGCCACCTGCGCAGAAGGGCAGCTGTGGCCGTGAAGGGTAGGTTGCCGACCCAGATTGCATGTTCCGAGCGGGCCTTGTCCTTTTTCTCGGCGTCCGAGTCGTCCTTTTCGGCGTCGCTGGCCGGCTTCGTCGGGAGGGCCTTGCCCTTTTTCAGCGCACGGCGGGCTCGCTTGGAGGGGGGTTCTGGCGCGGATAGGTCGACCTCGATCTCTTGTTGGCTGGTCGACTTGCGTTTGGCTGATGTGGTGGTGTCGGCGACGTCTGCCGGGGCAGAGCTTTCGGCCTTGGTTGCCATTGGCCGCTCAGACGTGTGAATTCGGGGAAATGATCAAGCGAAGCTTATTTGATCGGGGGCAGTGAGAGGTGAGGGTGAGGCTGTGATCGAGGCGTCGGCTGGAGAGTCGGTCGTCAACTTTTTTTTTTCCTCCCCTAAAACCGGAGCTAGAGCGATATGTGATAAGCTGCCGAGCGGCAAAATGCGGGCTTGGCCGCGTCGGCCTACCTACCCTATAGCCAGCTTCCATTGTCCGCTCTTCAGGGTCCGATTCGGATTTTTTGAGATATTGTTGTAACCGAATGCACCCTCTATCAGAATAACGTAAATATGCGTTTAATGAGGCGTTACGTATCTCCACTCGCCCACAGCAATATCTGTCCCTCTCTCGTAGCAACGCCCGGATCAATTAATGGGCCGGCTGCGCTATGCGCACATCTCGCGAGAGCCTCAAAGGTGCATTTTTGAGCGATTTGAGGGCCGAGAGCGCTGTGTGTGGGCTGTATTTGTGAGTGCAAATAGTAGACTCTAAAAATAGGGTGTGTGTACGAATAATAATTCCCGTACTGTAGAATGAAGATATATTTTACTACGGGTCAGCCGAGACCTCCTAATGTCATGACCAAATCTGACTGCCTATCTGATTGAATGTATTTGCGCTTTTTCGGACGGCATTTTAGTTAGGTGCGGTGCGCTCAAGTGCGATCGCACAGCGGTGGTAATTTCTTCCGACGGCGAAGGCCAAAGCTTTCCATCCGTCCCTTTTCTTGGGGCGCATGCAATCTTTCTTTTAGACCTTCCTATCGATGTTCTCTCTCCTCGCAGGGACGGTATAACGCAGACGGTTCCCTGTCGGAAGTCTGGAAACTTTAATTCTACTTTAACTGGCTATTTATTGACATCGTTATCTGGCGATTAAGATAGAAATCTACTAGAAAAGCCTAGCATTTATTGAGAAAGATAGTAATCTCGAATTTGCATTTACGAAACTAATCATCCGTAGACAAGATCACTAATATTTCTATGCTACTACTAAGGATCGCTTTTGGTGCGTTCTCTCTAGCCGACTTAGATCGACTCTATAAATCTCAATCCCGACTGATAATATTTAGCCGTTTTTCTCGGCTCAATTCTTACGAGCTCCTAAACCTTTGCCCTTAGAATTCTTCGTCAAGGAGCCGAGTTTGTTAGATTATGGCGATGCTCCGGCGTCTCTATAGCCAAGCAGTCTTATTTTGCAAGAAGTCGAAATTTGCGAAATTCTAAAGAAACGTCTATAACCTAACATTACTACCTATATAGGCTATATTATAACTGCTAATCGAATTAAGGGACTCTACTTTATTAGATATAAAATGACTCTTTAAGAGATTGGGAATTGTCGCACCCTTTAATAAGGACCTTAATCTCCGTGGCATTGAGCAAGGGATCCAGCATTTACATTCCTTAGGCCTCGTCTATAATAACATTAACCCAATAAACATTATAGTTTATGGGATAGATCATGCCATCATTATCGATTTTAATTATTGTTCATAAGAAGGATATAAACTTGGCCTTAAGGCCGGTACACGCGATTAGTCAATAGAAGATCGGAATACGCGAGGTTCGAGAATGATGCCTTTGGTCTCTCAAAGCTGCGAGACCTTATGCTTACGTGCTCTAAAGGTTGAGCTGCTGTGGCTTCCTGCAGATGTCATACCATCGTTGTGGTATAAGCAGACAGTGTCAGCAGCTGTCAACCTAGTCATAGACTCGTAGCTAGGGGTGTCGAGAGACCATGAAGCAGTAATAATCTGATCATTACAAAAGGACACAATCATCCTGCGATTTACATTCAGTAACCAGAAACCCTCTATATCTAAGTGCCCTTAGTGCCTTTCTCGTCTAGATATTGTGTGATAATTGATTTCACATGCGTCAGGAGAAGCGATTATCAACGAATATAAATTTCGTCAATAGAATTAGAAGTAAAAGAATAAGTGCATAGGACCATGCAGTTCTATGTACAGGAACGAAAGCACGTTGTTTGTTCAAACAGTAGCTGTTCCCCAGTCAAGGCGATGTGAAGCGCATGCAAGCCATGGTGCATAAACCAGGATGCATGCACTGTTAAATGGCCTCGTAATTGGGGGCTGACCGCATTTGCCGGCTAAAGACGTGCCGGTCCTCCCACCCTACTCTTTCTAGGCCTGTTTAATATGCAGAAAGCTCACCTGCCTCGATACGTAAATGATTATATTATTTATAGCCTAATCTCAAGGTAATAATGATGCAACCTTACCATGCACGAAGCTACCCATCACCTCCTCCCTATAGGTATACCCAGCCGTTTGTAAAGCGACCGGACAATATTCTCTGGTTCTTACTTCATCTATGCATCGCTGCTATGAAACAAACGTTCGCAATCATGGTCTTCGGGAATGACTTGAACGTTTGTATAAAGCACATCTCGTTTAAGGCAAGCAGGGCCTTTTACACTTTGAGTCCGCATCCTGCTCTTCCTATAATTAAAGTTACCGCATTTCGGCCTGCAGGACGAGATTACCATGGGAGAGGTTACCGAGGCAGGTGCCATGTTCACGATAACCTCGGCCTTTATCGCCCCTTACCTATAATAGATAATTAAAGTCGAGCCACGAGAGGCCTTGCGTAGGCGAACTTAGGCGTTTATCTTTACTGCCTGCCTCTTTTGGCTATCGGACTAATATTCGCCGCCTTGTTTAGCAGTGCAAGAAATACACCCATACTAGGCGTCCTTGCCTACTCTTTTTACGGCATAGAAAGGAGTGACCTTACTATAGGCCGATATCATCGAGGCACTTCCTATTTAGGCACTTCAGTTTTAGATCTTTCGCCCAGTCCTCCAAAGGCAGCCTAAAGCGCTTTTCTTCAACTGCCAGGAAACCAGTGGACTCTATCCAATGCTGAAATGAGGGCGCCGAGTCTGTCAGAGCTTCTAATAGTTTAACCGGCCCGTCTTAAAGCCTCAAGCCGCCTTAATAGTCCGTTCGACTTGACCAAACCGGACCGGCGGTTTTAGGTCCTGCCCCAGACTGGACTAGTAGTCCAATGCCTAACAGACATCTAGTCTCCTGGGTTTCCTTATATAGAGTTGCAGACCGACCTAGACCCTTGTAAGGGCGCAATTGCTATCAATCTTCATTGACAACATGCTGTTAACTGGTGCGCACAAGTTTTGCATGGCCGGATCCATTCCCTTCATCTGCTGTTGGAACTCAGTCAGCGGGTACCTTTTGGGGATTGTAGCAGTCCCATGGTTTGATAAGGGGGTGTGGGTGCTCGCTCCCAGGCCCTAAAACCCCAAGACCATTCCTCTCTGGGCCGATACTTCGACAGACGAGCCTTGGGTGAGCTGACCTGCTCGAGATGTGAGATGCTGCTAGCCCACTGGTATCATGTGATTACAATGTAAATCAGGCCACTCGATCGACTATTCCAAGCCTTGTATGCACATTGATCGTTCGTTACAGGCGGCCTGGGGGTGGCGCGGCTAGGCTGAATTTCCATTATGTGCTGGTTGCACACACTTGCCTTTTTGAGTCATTAGGCTCGGCCAAATACAGGCAAAGTGCTTGTTGTTGCGTGATTGCTGGACCAAGCTTTCTCATGTGTGGTCAATTGACAAAGCTGTCGCTTAGTTAATTCGGTATCCTTTACTGCATCTTTCTGAAGTGACTTGAGGGGGTCTAATAATAGTAGCCCACCGAGCCAAGACCCTTACACCAAGCTACCTTCCTCCACTTCACGCGATTGGCTGGACAGGGCTTGGGCGAGGCTACCTGTGTACTCTACGCGATGGGTTCACTCAGTGAGACGTGCGAACAGCCTCCTGGACAGTGAGTCAACTCTACCTTTTTACTTGTTCTACGTGGCAGGCCCCAGATCCAAGGATCTACGGGTTAAGAATCATATAAGTTATAACCCGTGGATGAGAAATGAGTGGCGCTCCGGAAGCAAAACGACAAGAAGCAAGGGAGGCAGTCTCCACGGGCCCATGTCTTGGTCTTTCGGTTGTGTCTTACACCTGGCTCCGGCGATGCGGCGGAGCAGAGGAGCCGCGTGGGAGACACACATTCCCGGTTGTGCTCACCTCTCGGAGCCTCGAGCCACGGGCCCAAACCAGACCCCAGGCAGTCGTTGCTGTTTCTTCACCCGGTACGATGGTTGTTGCCTTTGTAGCTTGTCCACCCGCATCATCGAGCGACATGTCCTAGGGCAGTACAGTACAGTACACGATGCGCATCGTGTCTGATGAATGTCCGATGGATCTGTCCGATGGATCTGTCCGATGGATCTGTCCGATGGATCTGTCCGATGGATCTCTCCGATGGATCTCTCCGATGGATCTGTCTGATGGATCTAGACCGGTAGACCCCACCACCCAGCTTGTCCCACGTCCGTCCAGCACTTGTGGAGGAGCATGGTTGGTGCGACGTTGGCAGAGCGAGTTAGTGCCTGCCGCTGTCCAATCAGGCTGCAATGGCAGCTCCGCACGGAAAAACAGACGCCTCCTGTGGCGCGGCTGAGGGGAGAGAGCTCGGAGGTTGCTTCAAAGTACCGCTTGGCGGACAATCCTGCCGTAAATGTACTGCCTTCAGATTAGGTAGTACTTTGGTGGCGAGTATACAAGGGCCGCGTGATGGTACAGTTTACCTGACCAAACCAAACTGGGTTCGCGTGCTTCGTCCAGGCTCCTCGCCTTCATCATGTACCATGAGTAAGCCAACCACAGTGTCCCGTACCTGCAAGCTACACGGGGCATGAGTAGTCCCCATCACGTGTGCAGTAAGGCGCCCCCTCCCCCAGAACGGCCGCGAATCAACCACTTCTCTCCCTCTCTGACTCTGCGTCTCTCTCCCTCGCCCGACCACATCGCAGTGCTGCTGCTGCATGCAACACAAGACTGGAACACAACCGACGACCAACCCCAACCTTCGCATCCACCCCGGCCGGCAACGCTCTGCCTCTGCCTCGATGCAGCGCAAGTTTCTTGTCCCCCTCGCGTACCTCGACGTCTGCCACCCAACTCGCCGTTGACCGCCTCCTCCCGTGATTGCAGGCAGCCTGCAGGAGCAACTTCTCTCCTTCACCATCGCCGCCGCTTCTCTTCCCTCTTTCATCTGTCCGCCGGATTCTCGCTCCCTTGGCCACCGTGCTTTGTCTTTTTCTCCTCACCATCGTCCCCACCCTTGATTTTACACTCTCGTGCCACCCTCTCGGAAACGATACCTCGTCTTCACGATGAATCTGCTGCTATCGCCTCAGCCGCCCGTTTTCCCTCATCAGCGCGATAATCACCATCTTTCTACTCCACGATCAGGTGCGTTGGCCGCTCTTTGTGCATGCATAAACTCCCGGCACAACCTCTGTGTTGGCTCCACTGTCATGGTCGAAAAAAAAAACACCTAAACACAAATACAGGCGCAGGCGCACGCCATATGCAACTCTGCTGACTCCAAATGCGCAGTCTCCCCTCTTCCCAGCATGACCAGCCGAAAACGAAAAGCCGACGAAGATGGCGACGAGACTATGTCCCCTTCGAGTTCTCCGGCCGTCCCGTCAAGAACACTCGTCCGTCCATCGAAAAAAATCCGAGCGAATGACATGGTTGGCAGACCGTTGAATCTCCCTCGACTCCTCGAAACGCTCGACGTTGGCCAACTGCGAACCGTGCTCGAACGCATCTGCGAACGACACCCGGACATCGGCCACGAGGTCGTCACCGGGGCTCCGCGCCCCTCGGCCGCGTCCGCTCTCCAGGTTCTGCAAGGCTACCAAGACAAGTTGAAGGCGGCCATCCCCTATGGCGATTCGAGCCCTGAGTACACATACTGCCGCATCAAGGAGCCCATGGTTGCCCTCATCGACGCCCTGTCAGACTTTACGCCCCAGTTTCTCCCTCCGATCGAACTGCAACCCACGAAGTCGCTGCAATATCTCGACGGGGCCACCAAGCTCATCCACGAGCTGCCCAACTGGCAAGCACACGCGTATCGTCACCACAAAGAAAACGCCTACGAGGAAATTTCGAGGGCGTGGGCTCTGGTCATCAACGAAGCAGGAAAGCGAGGCGGGGGCATCAACCTGCACTCGGGCGGTTGGGACCAGACCCTCTTCCGACACAACGAGCAGTCTGGCGGGCGCCTCGGCTCGGCAATGTCTGCCATGGGAAGCAGTGTCGGCTGGATGGCGTCGAATCAGCCACCATCCTCGGACCAAACCTCGATTCTTAACCAGCTCATGGCGGGAACCTACGGATTACCTGTGCGGGTTGGACCGTGGTGAGGCCTGGAAACGGCATCAAGGGGCTGCCGAGGTGTTTGCAGAAATATGACGACGCACTTGACCCAACCTTTTCTTTCTCTGGCATCAACGGCAGCATAGACTTTGGCGCGCATTGTTCTTCACTCATGCGCAGCTGGATGGGACGGCGTTTTTTCCCGATTGTGGCTGTTGATATCCCTTGACCGGCATTCGCAAGCGAAGGGGACCCAAATCACTGATAACTCTTCTCTCGTATGTATATAGCTCGGCATGTGTTGCGTGGAACGCTCGCCTTGGTAATGGGAGGATTTGTGTCGTTGCTTTGCTTTGATGGATGCATGCCGGCGAGCAGGTAGAGCTCGAGTGAACCAGAGATACCGGGCATACGGCCCGGATCGAGCCTTGCAATTGTGTATGTACATGTTGAACAGGCCTCAACTCCTTGAAACGCTCCTCATGAGCCTCTCAATCTCGTGAGGCGAAATTGCGGCCAGAAGAGGCCCGGGCAAGCGGGGCGGTCACGGGCACTCCCGTTTTACCTGCATTGGGAAAAGCACCAAGTGCAGCACTGTGCGCGCGAGTGGCCATCACGTGATAACCTGTCACTCTGTATCTCCCAACGCGCTTCAACCCTTTCCAGCCGACGCGTGTCGAACCAGGCCGTCCGCCAAAGGTGCCCTTTTGCTCCAGACTGCCTGTTCCGCCATTGTCAGCGGACGCGAATGCACGGATAACTTCATCCGTCGCTTGTCATGCCCGCGTAAGCCCTTCCCTGTTGCGCCGGCCCCTCATGTGCTAACGAGGCGCTCCAGCCCAGGCGACCAGCACAAGGCGTGGGTCAACCCCTTCGAAGAGGCGCGCCCCCGTGTGTCGGAATGGACGGCCAAGGAGATTGCCACCATCGCGTCTAAGCTCGACAAGCAGCTCGGGCCTGAGTACATATCCTCACGGTCGGGACCCGGCGGCTCTCGGGTGCACTATCTCACCGCTGAAAAGTGCATCGGCCTCGCAAACGAAGTCTTTGGCTTCAACGGATGGTCATCGTCCATCCAGAACATCCAGGTCGACTTCGCCGACGAGAATCCGCAGTCCCAGCGCGTCAGCATCGGCCTCTCCGTCATTGTCCGCATCACCCTTCGCGACGGCACATATCACGAAGACATTGGCTACGGCTCCATCGAAAATGCCAGAGGCAAAGCCATGGCATTTGAAAAGGCCAAGAAAGAGGGCACGACGGACGGGATGAAGCGAGCGTTGAGGAGCTTTGGCAACGTGCTAGGCAACTGCATCTATGACCAAGAATACGTCAAGCTCGTTACAAAGGTCAAGGCCCAACCCGTAAAGAAGTTTGATCAAGACAACCTGCACCGCCACGCAGATTTCGTGAGGAAGGACCCGGAGAAGGCCGAGGCTACAGGCAACGCGGCTCTCGTCCCTTTCAAGATGGAATCCGCAGAATCGTTTGAGGACTTAATCGGAGGTATGCTCTCGTCCGACGCCTTCGAGGAGATCGACGCTGAATACCCGTAGAACTCGACGAGGCCGACTTTTGCGTCCCAGGAGAGGGCCACCCGGACGAGATTGTCCTGCCCTCTGTCCCGATCCAGGCACAAGGATCCAACGAGAAACCCGCTACGAATCCACCGCCTCAGCAGCCACCCACGCGGGCCCTTTCTGGAACCGCCTCGGGGCCAAGCAATGGTCGTCCGCCACAGACACCGAAGCCGGCTACCCGGAGCTCCACGACACATTACGAGGGACCCCAGAATCAGAATCGCCCCATGCCGGCAGCCCGTGGCCGAGATACTATCAACAATGCTGTCCACCCCCCGCAGCGGCCAGCGCCTCAACCGGCTGGCGGTTCGTCAGAACCGGTTGCGTTCTTTTCCGCCAGGTCTGTGATCCCGAATTCTGACGCGAGCGTTCCCGGACAGACCGGCAACGTGAATGCCGGCCCTCCAAAACAGCTTTTCAACCCCAAGGCCGAGAGCCCGTCTATCCGGAAGACGCCTGGAATCGACCATTCCGCGTCGAGACCGGTGGCCAGGAACGGGCAGCACGTTCCGCCCACCAGCAGTCAGGCCCCGGGGCGACAATCGGTGAATGGCACTCGAGGCAACGTAGTGAATCCATCACTTGACCAGACCGGGCGGATAGGTGCGCCCGGCGGCCCGGGCAGCCCACTGGCGAACAGGGGATCTTACAAGCCGCCAACGATGAAGCGACCACTGCCGGGGGACGGAAACGCCACGACCGCAGCGCGCTCACCGCTGGTTGACATCGCGGCTAATACGAGCGGCCAGGGCAACGCAACAGCGGCAGATGGTGTCGATACGAAACGGCAAAAGTTTGTCTAACGGTAGTGATTTTTCCTTTTCGAGCTGGGCGTACGGAGTTATTCTCTGGGGGGTCCCGCAACCAGATTCCAGTCGGTTGCTCTTCGAATAAAGCGAGGCAGGCCTGGGACGAACTCTGGGACCTGTGAGAAGGCTGATTCTGCCGAAGGAACTTTTTGCGCCTGCACCAATGTCATGAGCGGCGTCTATGGTCGTTTGAGCGACCTCCGCTAAGCTCCCGTCTTGCAACATGATGTTCTATCCAAGATGCCCGAGGCGAACCGGCCTCGTTGATTCTCCGGCTGATGCCATCTATGACCAAACAAGATCTTTGCACCGATTTCTCCCTTGAAGCAAAAACCAATAACACTGCCCTCTCCGTGTGCCTCATTCCGACGTGTCACGTTGGGCATCCGCTCCTAATGAGACAGGATACATTTTTTTTTCCTTCCCTCCTTTTGGCAAGCATCGCGCTACATGTGATGGGAGAAGCTAGCCATGTCCATAGAAAGGTGAAACTCGCCCGTCACGTCAGGCGCCTCCTCGACGACAGCAGCAGCTGGCGCGTCAAAGGCTCCTGCGGCAGTCATGGCGACCAGGCCGTGCTGCTGCTGCGACAGTGGTGATGATTGACTCCCGCTGGTGTCGCTATGTTGCTCGGCACGCAGCCTTGCGCACTCGGCCTTCAGGGTCACGAAGGCCTGGCTGATGGACTGCTCGCGCTGAGTGGATTCCCGAAGGAGCTCCTCCAAGTCGCGGATGCGCTGTTCCTTGCGCTCGCGGTAGGCACGCTGGGAGGCGCGGTTCTGGGCTCTGCGGCGCTGAGAAGGGGGGGAGGGTGTGTTAGCTGGGCGATGGGATGAGAGGCTCAGGGATAACGCGAAGAAACAAGAAGACTTGGGGGAAACACACGACGCGAAGAAGCAACCGAATTCGGGGGGAACACGAGGGGAAGACAAAGAGACACACAAAAAAAGGAAGAGGACACGGAGAGAAGGAGACTGGGGGCTCCTTACAGATAGAACGCCCGGGGGAGCGTTGCGGTAGCGGTTCTCACGGCGCCGTCGAGGGGCCTCGGGAGATTCTTCCTGAAGCAGTGGCTGGGTCGGGATGATGGGATCGCTGACGGTGCTGCGAGGGCTGGTGTAGCTGTAAGAGAAGTTGTTCGGGTCTGGTGTCGTGGACGAATCGGTGTTCTTGACGAGGCCATGTCAGCTCAGCAACACCAACAGGCGAAATCGGGGGGAAAGGGAGGGGGATCAGAGGAGCCCCAAGAGCAGGGATCAAGTATGGGGGTCCGAAGAGACGGAAAACAGGTAAAGAAGAACCGGTCGAAGAGCGGCGGGAACTTGGGGACGGGGGAGAGAAGATTCTACCTACAATGGTGTAGTACTGATTCAGCCCAAAATGTTGTACATGAGGGGGGTCCATGTACTGGCTCTGGCTGTCGGTGAATAAGCCGAGAGGCTGAGGCTGATGGTGCGGATGCGGATGCTGATGCTGGTGCTGGTGCTGATGCTGATGCTGATGCTGATGCTGATGCTGATGGTGCTGATGGTGCTGCTGCTGATGATGATGGAGGAGAAGGCCGGGGTGATACGGCTCGTGGTTCACCGGTGGCTGAGTCAGTGCCGAAGGCGGCGGCGGCGGCAGGTGGCTATGAGACAGTTCATGGATCGAGGGTCTCCTGCTGCTGTTGCAGCTGCTGGCGGCACTGTGGTCCGGCCGAAGCTGTTGCTGTTGCTGCTGCGGCTGGTGGTGGTGAGGATGCTGGTGAGGGAGAGGGTGGTGGCTCAGGTCACCCCTTGACGGATCCATGTTTTCCCACGTGGCGACGGACTCGGGACTCGGAAGAGAGGGGCAGGCAGGGCAGGCCCAAGGCCAAGGCGATGGGGATGTCTATTAAAGGGGGGGAGGCGGTTGGAATGGAGGGGACGAGATGGACGAGCCAGCAAGACAAGCGAGGGGAGTTGAAGGCAGAGCAAACCAGGGGATGGAGGAGAAGAAGATGAAGAAGAAGGCCAAGATGACGAAGATGAAGAAGAGGGTCGAGAAGGATATGGAGAAGCCGAACCGGGAGGAGGGATCTTTTGTCACAAGAGCTTGTCCGTCGTCATCCCATCTCTCCAGCGAGGTTTCTTATCCCATTATACTTCCAGTCGTCGTCGTCGCTCCCATCCGATCCGTCCGGCCGTCCGTCTCGCGGCGTCCGAAGGAGGGAAAGGACGGGAGAAGCAGAAGGGGGTTGATGAGAAGAAAAAGGCCGAGAAGGAAAAAAATTAAGAAGACCAAGTGCAAATAAAAAAACGACGGGCCGTCTTCTCTTATTCTACAGCAAGAGAAAAAAGAGGGCCACAAGGTAAGCATCCGCACGCACACCGCTCACTTATAGCCTTTGCCCATCTCGTCGGCTCGAGACGCGCGCGCCATCGCAGCGGCCGCGGCCCAACAGCGACAAGAAAAACGCTGCCTGCCCCCTCCTGCCTGCTCGTCGTCTTGCTGCCCTCGCTGCTGGCTACTGCCTCTCTCCGCTTCTCTGGCTTGGTCTCCTCTACGGCCCCCCCCCCTTCCCCTGACCGACTTGATCTTGGTCCCGACCCCCAGGCTCTGGCCCCTCCCTCCTCTTCACCTCAAGTCGAGTCGAGTCGTTTCTGAGGGCACACACATGCACAGCCAAGAAAGCAACAAGGGCAAGAAAATTGATAAAAATAATTGAAGAGAATCTGGAACACACACATAGACACTTTGGGCTCCACGATGAACCTGCTACGCCGAGTGACGACGAAGAGCCCGCGGTTGGTGGCAATCTCGTCTCCGCCTACCACCATGAGCGATATCTCTGTCTCTATTTCTCTCAGGCTGCCTCCTCTTCTATTACTTTGCCCTCTCCCACTCTTGTTTTTCCCCCTCTGTCTCTTGCGTGGGCAAGGCCCAACAAGCCGGGCCCCGTGCGTTGGCAGCGTGCATTCGCGTCGTGACACATGGGCCACCGGGTGGTTGGCGCGGGAAAGGGCCTGTTGCCCACATAGAGAGCAGATATGGGATGCCGTGGGTTGTGCGCGAGCTTGGCTTGGCTTTCATTTTTATTTCGATGGTTATTTATTTATTTCAATTCTCGAGCTTTACCTCGTTCTTGTGCGGGTCGTTCGTGGCCGAGGAGGTGGCTTGCCCTCTTTCTCGCCTTTCCTTTGCTCTTACCGTTTGTGGAACAACTGGGAGGCAGACAAGAGATCAAGGGAGACAGAGAAATACGCCGCATGACGTTTCCGCAGCTTCAGATGCAAGGCAGCGGCGGCGGCTGGGCCCGCTCTTCGTCATCCACACGCCGCCCTCCCTCTGCGCCGGCTTCTCTGCCTCTGTTTCCTTCACCTCGCTTTCCCGAGGGCGCGCGGACATCGTGCCAGCCGTTTGTCGCACGTGGCGCAGCGCTGACAAGGCCGTGGCCTGACTGGGCGTGCACAGTATGTTGCGAGGACCCAGAGTAGGAAGAACATGCATACACACCAGGAGAAGGCGTTTATTGTTCAAAGCCTATCTCCCTTTTACCCCCACTCTTGGCAAAAGACGGTCACAAGACACAAGTCATATTTGAAACGAAAGAAGAAATAGGCACTGGCAGCATCTGGGTTGAAAGATGTGGGGGAGAGACGAGGAGGTGTGGGGGACCCTGAGAGGGAGCAAGGGTAAAGAGTAGACGAAGAGGCAGACACATAGGTATACCTACAGGGAACAGGGAAGTTTCACGTATATCATGCCATTGCTTCAGCTAGCGAACAGGCAAGAGAAAGGAAGGGGGGGGGGGGGCAAGGGCTTGATGGCGTGGCCGGGGTGCGTCGGCCGCAGGACGGTGATTGCGCACTTGAGAGCACCGCCGAAAGGAGAAAGGAAAAAGGAAACAGTAAAGGCGAGGCCGAAGTCGATGACAGAGTCGGCGCAGAGGCCTATCTGGCTCGTCATTATGGGTTGGATTCGTAGGCGAGCGAGACGGAGCCCATCCCGTTCACGTTTTCCTTTTAAATCAATATACATTATTCTGAATATTGCCCCTCGGACGAATGAAAAAACAACAGCAGAGGATTAAAGAAGAAGGCGTAAAATAAAAATATTCAAGTGGTCAGGGCGTCAAGCGGGCGTTGGCATCATGTCCAACAGCACTGGGGTGGGGGACCACCTCCCCCCCCCCCTTTTCTCTCTCCAATGGAAGACAGGAGGGACACCGACGATTTGAGCGTGGCACATGCGTCCGTGCCAGGGTCCACGATGAGCTATAAGCGAGGAAACTTCGATATTTAAAGTTTGCCGGTTCGACTGGGGATGGGCGAGATGGTATAAGTGTAGGGCTGCGCGTGTGAAATGGCCCCCTCCTGTGTCGGGCGTAGTGGCCCCGACTCCCGATTCCGGTGGGGCCGGCCCGGCGTTTCGGAACCGGGGGTTCGGCAGTGGGAGCCGGGCGGCGGCAGGGTTGGGACAGCCAACACAAAAAGGAAGGACAAAAAAGAAGGGAAATTGATTCTTGAGCCTGAGAGGAAATGAGTTTCTTATCAGTGCTCGGCAGAAATAAGATGAAGAGGATGATGCACTACAGTATGAAGGGGGCCTGGCCACGACGGCCGAGCAGACACCACAGCCTCTCCCGTTTCTGCTCGGGCGTCGACACAAGGCGGAAACTCACATCCACATATGCACAAGCCCAAGAGGGCCAAGAGAACGGGGAGCCGAGAGTGACACGCTTCCCGTCAAGACCAGCAGGCCAGAACGATTGAGGTAGGTTAAAAAAAGGAGCAACGTAGAAGCATCACGGAAATAGCAATGGACGAATGGCGGTGTCGGGTGACAGGCTAGCATCGGCTTGACGCGAAAGCTGGATGGCCACTGCGCATGCACATCCCGGGCTTCGATGCCAGGAGGCCCCCCGAGTTCAGACGCACACAGCAGCACATCGATCTTACCCGCTTCTACATACCCGCATGGCAGATGACAAGGAAGACGAGCCACGGAAAGGGGGGCCCAAGGCCGTGACCGATCTTTGAGGCCTGGCTCCTCACGGATCGCTCTCGTACAGCATCGGCTCCCCTCTTTTACCACCTTGCGGAAAGGGGGGGGAGGGGCGGAGGGAGAACGCATGGGCCAGCAAGCGCTCGCCTGCCATAGCCCGTTCCATCACCGCTGGAGAGGTGCCCTAGAATGCTTGATATGCGGTCAAGCCGTGCCTGCTGTGCGGTCAACTCCGACCGTTACCTTGAAGGACCTCAGAGAGGGAAAAGGGGGGGGCGGGGAGGGGCATGTCCCCCCCCCCCCCCCCTTTTCGCAGAAAATAAACCACAAAAAGGGGGTCGTTGCGCGACTGTCTCGTCAGGCTGGCCGCCGATCTCCCTTTTTTCTTCGCGTCATTGCTCAAAGCTTTCCCCTTCCGCTTCCTTGGCAAAAGGAGTTTTGCGAGCAATGTTTTAAAAGAAGACAGATAAATGACAGAATCGAGCGAGACCTTGCGCGGACACCCTCCACCCCCCACCCCCCAGGACGTCATGCCTTGCTTGGGCGGTGAAGAGGCCGTGTGTCAAAGCCGTCGGCAGCCAAGCTTCTTGTGCGGCCCAGGCTGGTTTCGAGGCCGCCTGCCATCTGTGCCTGCCCGCTCCATTGGGAGAGGCTCGCTCTGCCATTCACTCACTCCTGGGTCTCCCTGCCCGCCTCCTCTTTTCTCTGGACGGCCTTTTTGAGTCACGGCCCACCATGACCACGTCTCGGGATACCGTCTGTCCCGGCTCTCTCTCTGCCTAGACTGGGTGTGCAAAACGGGCCAACAGCTAACGACAGTGCCTCCTCCGGGTGGGGGGAGGACAAAAAACAAGGGAGCAGGGGCAGCAGGCGTTTCGTACCGCACCGCCAAGGCGATGGCGAGCATGTGTCGCGGATCGAAAGTCGGGGGAGGCGGCCACGCCACGTCTCCCCTTTCTCGTGGAAACCACGCGCTCCCGGCTTCACGTCAACAAAGCCACCTTCCCAGACCCCCTCCCGAGTTCCGTGTCCAGGGGGGAGCACCAAAGGGCGGGAGGGACGTCGCACGACACCCGGGTGGCGCCTCTCGCGAGCCATTGACAGGAGCCATCACGGCAGCGAGGAAGAGAGACAAGGAAAAAGAAACGAAGCAGCAGCAACCAAAACACAGACCTCGTCTTCCGGCGCGCCTCGACGTACGGCTCGCACCGCAGCCGTCGAAGCCTGGCGATGCAGACGATTTCGCCAAGCAGCCAGACACGAGGCGTCTGCTGGTTGGCCGTGCCGTTGTTTGCCACTTGCTTCCCGCGCCCAGCTAACAACATATAACCTCCTCTCCCACCTCTTATCGTGCCGCAAGCCAGCCACACACTGGCTCAAGTACCGCCGACAAGAGCCTTCCTCCCTTCCTCCCTCCACCCCCCACGTCCCCATCTCTCCCAGCTCTCTCATAACCCGTTCCTCCGACCCCTTCCTTACTCATTCGCCCCCCCCTTCACCCCCTTTCTCCCTCTCATTTCTCCCCCACCGTGGAATAAAGTTTCCGCAGAGGACTCTGACACAGGACCGAAAGAAAGAATGGGTCTTGGGCGAAGGAGAGAAAAGGACCGCAGAATAAGGCTGCGGAGCCAAGGTGAGGACCGGTTGGCTCACCAACGTTTACTAAGCTGCCTACCTCATCCCTTTCCTACCCAGGTTAACGTCTTCTCCTGCTCACCCCTGAAGAGGCAAGGAAGACAGGTTCGAAGCGAGGAGTCGGATCTGATCTTCTCCCAAGGCGTTCAGTCAGGAGCACGCCGCCCCTGAGAAGTCGTCTCGATGCGGACGCAAAGCCAATTTGCCAACCATCCCATCAGGTATTGCCGCCATTGTAATCCGCCCGTGCCGCTGATGCCGTCATCTCGGCCGACCTCATTGCCAAGTCTGGCGGAGCATTGTAAACACTCTTCTCCATAGCCCTGTGCTTATTGAGACACCGCTGTTGAGCCGCAGCAACGCTCTGCGCGCCCAGATGCCCATGGCTGCCATGCAAAGCTATTTGCCGCAAAGCCTAGGTGGTGGGCCGCAGGTAAAGAGTCCAGGGGAACCGTGTCCATGAGCTAGACACCATTTACGAATACAGGTGCATCATGTGAATGCCCAGGAATCAACGTTGCCGGCAGCGGAAAGGTCCCGCGCCAACAGCATGTTACGGAAAACGATACGTCGAGTGCGTTGAAATCGTCCTACATACATCACTTTGACAGCCTCCAACAGCAGTCCCGGGTGGCGGGCAGCAGTGTGCGCGAGGGTGGGGGGAGTCCAACGTGCTGGCGCCGACAGTCGTGAGCCGAGTGAGTAGAGTCAATTGTTGTCAGGCATCAACCTATGCATACTTCTATTCGGGGGAGGGGATCGTAGCACGACAGCTACCATGTCTCATGTGGGGGTGGAACCAATGTAACCCTGAACAAGGGGGAGAAGAGAGTCTCATCATACTCGCCTCAAGGGCACGGCAGGAATCGGAAGGCGTTGGCCCTCAAGAGCAGCAAAGAGCGTTCCGGTACCAACACGGCTGCTCAAGGGGGCCATCCAGGGCGGAGGAAATCTCTTCAACTGGCAAAAACACTCTGTGATGAGCCTTATTGCTCGGGGCTCGCTTCCAGGGTCACGGCATCGGACTCGGCCGAACCCGTTCGTCCAGCACGGGGAATCTTCTGCCCCTGCTCGTCCATCCTTGTAGGCGTTGCTATGAGAGACCAGTAGGGCAGCAAAAGGCCTTCTATGGTCACGGACAAGCCAGAGACCCGTTGAGCAGGGATGTGGGGATCGAATGAGTCCCAGGCCGCGTCGAGGAGCCCAAGGCATCACCAAAGGCCATTGGGCTCGTCCGAAAAGCGCCGGAAGGACGAGAACGTTCCAAGCTGCGAGATCGACTGGCCAGGGGGGCGATAGATCCACCAAACCTCATCAGGCTAGAAACCGTTGTCTAGTTCGTGGGGACCTCGTCCTAGACCCCTTGTCCATGGAGACAGAGGTCCACCACACCGGTTCCATGCAAGGATCAAACACTTTGAAGTGCGGCACCCAGGGGACTCGAGAGCCAATGGCGGCAGTTTCATGGCCAGAAGAGCACATGCCATGCAGGTTGGGTTGACACCGCAGCGGCTAAGGCCAGGCGCGCCAACGCTGCCTGCTCTGGCCATCAACCAAGAGCCACTTTTGGACACGTAGCGCAATTCCTTGACTCCCCGGCACGAACGCTTCCATGAGGCCCCTGTCAGTGGGTTTGGTCAGGGCCTGCATGCGGCATATTCCATTGCATCTCAGATGCGGCTGGACGAGGTTGACGTCAGCTTGGCTAGACCCTCCTGGGCCTGCTTCAAGCCCTGTGGAAACTCCATCTGGCGACTCATGTCGATGCACTCCTTGTACTTGGCCCGCGCCACATCCGCCTTGCCCAGCATGGCTGCCACGTCACCCCAGTTACACAGCGCTACCGCGCAGGCCTCATCGCATTCGGGCGTCCTGGTATCGCCCTTGACGTCCTGGGCGTGACTGTATGCGTTGCGCGCCCAGTTGAGTGCCGCGTCGAGGCACTCGTTGCGTGTCTTGGGCGTGGCCGGGTCGACGACGTCTTGCAGAGTCTTGGAGACGCCGAGCTGAGGGGGAGTGTAGATGGGATGCTGGGCGAAGGCAGCGGATATGTTGTTCATGATGACGGCCCGGTGACAGGGACTTTCGCACAGTCGGAGGGCCTGGAAGAAGAGGGGTATTGCGAGCTGGAACTGGGACTTGCGCTCGTAGTCTCGCCCGAGCGACTCCATGGACCCGCCGAGCTCCTCCGGGGTGAGCCAGTCTTGCTCCCCAGACTTGAGCCCCTGGGACTTGCGTCGTTGGAACTCGCGGAGCGCCGTCTCAACGGCCCATAACAGGTGAGTGTGGGATTTGTCGGGATCGAGCACGTGCTCGTCCGAGTAGAGCTCCCCCAGCTTGACACTGGTGCCGATGGCCTTGGCCAAGAGCCGCTGGCGCTTCCGCCATAGGGTTTCGGGTTCAGCGTGCGGGACATTGAGGGCAGCCTCGTCGGGCTGCGTGGCGGGGGACGATTCCGGGGACGATTCAGGGGACGCTTGAGGTGGTTCTTGGGGGGACGCTTCGGGGGCGGCTTCGGGAGCCGCCCGGTATCGGCCTGCGTCGTCGACCTTGCCGTCCTTGGCGGACTGCTCCATGACGTCGACCCATTTCCGGCAGTCCCCCAGGATGGACTCAAGAACGTTGATGGCCGACTTGTGGCTGTTGATCTTCTGTAGCCAAAACGAGACCTGGATGCGGATGCCGAGCACCTCGTCGGAAAAGGGGTCGAGGCCGAGCTCTGCGCTCTGCTCCATGGCTTTTCTGTAGAAGCGCAAGGCGAGCTCGGGGTCGGGCTTGATATTGGTGTAGTAGATTGCGCGGCGCAGCGTGTTGGCGATGGGCTTGGGGTATCTGCTGTAGTCGGAGTTGTAAAAGGCATGGATGAAGGACCTCAGGGCGATGACGGAGAGGCCAAAAGTGAAGATGAGACTTGGTATCCGAGTCAGCACGCCACGCCTTGCGACGCGCAGGGGATGCCTGGAAACTCACAGTGCCACGATGGTGGCGATGAGAGCAGGAGAGTCGCGGTAGGCGGCGCGGATGCCGCGAGGGCTCAGAGCGACGGCCAGATTCCTCAAGCTGGCGCCGAGAGCGTGCCTGACGAAGTGTGTGAAGCTCATGGGAGGTTTGCTGGGCTTTGGCGGCTCAGGCTCGCGGCTCGAGCCCGACTGGTGGCGCCTCTGTTGCGGCGCGAGAGCTATCACGGCGTGGATGCTGAAGCGGACAGACGGCGACCTGACGTGGAGAGATAGCAGGCCGCTCGAGGCGTGCCGCAGACATTGGCGCTGGAGCGGCCGCAGAGAGGCCATGGCCGAGACGGACATGTTGTGCTTGACGTTTGCGTGGAGCGATGTCGGTGGTTGGAGCTTGGAGTGTTGGCGTCAGGGAAAATCAAATCGTGAGCTGGTCTGTGCGCTTCCGGGGATCGGCGAGGCTAAAAGTGGGGCGGAAAGTCGGCCCTCAAAACACCTCGAGGCCATATCCGTACATACTACATAGTAGTATTAGTATGATGCCATTTCGTCAACACGAGCAGCAATCATGACCGGAAAATTCGAGCCCAAAGTCCCCGTCAACCTGGATCCTCCCAAGGACGATCCCATCTCTCCGGATGAGCTGGCCAAGGCAAACGGTACGAGCTCCCTCGCCTCTTGCGTGTGCCTCGGCTACAAGGACGTATGATCTCGGACTTCTGCTGGCATCGCCAAGACGGAGCCTCAATGGAACCCCTGGGCCCCTACAGCCTTCTCCTCTCGGCTGACATCATCTCTCGGCGACAGGCATCGACGGCGGCAGGTGCTACGTGGCAATCAAGGCATGTCTCCATGTCCCGTCTGCTGCCTTCGCGGGACGCGCCACTCACAAGAGCCTCACAGGGCAAGGTCTACGATGTGACTGGCAACAAGGCATACCAGCCCGGTGGCTCATACCATAGTACGTTGTCGCCGCCGCCACAAGCACCTTGAATATCTCGCAGGTGCAGCCAAGTCGCTACCCCCTGCGCAACTACCTGTCCAAGTCCAGAGACTAACCCTCGACATGGCAAAAAAAGTCTTTGCTGGAAAAGACGCGTCCAGAGCGCTGGGAAAGACCTCCACCAAGCCCGAGGACGTCCAGGCCGACTGGCACGATCTCGAGGACAAGGAGAAGAGCACCCTCGACGACTGGGTCACCTTCTTCTCAAAGCGCTACAACATCGTGGGAGTGGTCGAGGGGGCAACCAACATGGAATGAGTAGCGCCGCAATGAGCACCTTCTTGGTGCCTGCATCTGCCTGTCTTGAGTCTCCTGTCGAGAGCTTTTACTGCCGGCTTGGCCTCGGTCGTCCTGGAGCTTTCCTGGTGCCGCGTGACCTATGCGAAGCCCCTGCCGCCACTGCCGTCCCCGTGTGAGCTCAAGACCCCCTTGTCTACCGACTGTGAAAGCCTCGAATATCCGGTCAGAGCAGCGAACCCCCAATGCTGTTTCGTGTCGGGTATTATCCGCTGTGGCACGACTGTCTGTCTTGCGAGACGCGTCTGGAAGCACCTTCGCAGTTTCTCAAGGGTTCCAGAAGCTGCTTCCCGCCTCACCGCACCCAACCCCCCGCAAGGGACCGAGATACTCCACTGCCCAGTTGAAGCTTGAGGACCGTCTTTCACGTCGTGCACACGCACTTCCACGCGAGCATTCCGTAATATCCAGACGTGGGAGCCAACCGCCGTGCACGGAGCCTCGCATCATCGAGCAACCGCTCCCTGTCACCACAACCCTGGCGGCTGTTTGCATGAGCAAACCTCGCCCGGAGACCTACATGCAACGCCCTTGTCAAGTGGAATCCTGTTCACAAGACAGTCCATCAAGACATACTTGTAGAACAAGACAGCAAAATCTGCCGATGCCAGGGTTCCTGTCTCCTCCGCCCCAATCGTCTTGTCTCGGCAGCCGTCTCACGTTGAACGGCGCAGTCGCACCATCAAAGACTCTCCTGTTCTAGAAATAGTCCTGGTGCTCAATGACGCCACCCGACATCGCCTGCCGGTGCGGATCCGGGCCCATCATACTTTGGCCCGTTTGCTTGTCGGCGTCGCCGGTTTTCCGGGCGAAGGAGCCAACTGGCATGTTGACAGGCACGAGATGACATTGAGTATGTACACGCCTAGTCTAACTTCCAGCTTTTTCGATGAGCCTTGGCTCGGTTAATAGCAGGCTGAGAGCTAGCCATGCTTCGCCGCCCCTGGACTTTCAAGCACAGCCCTCATGCGTCCTCCCTTTAGGGATGCCCTGATGCCCCTTTCTGCGCGGATCGTGGAACGGAGCTACAGGCACACCAAGACTTGACCGCCTTATTCCCAAAAAAATGCAGGGTCTTCAGACACGCACAACCCAGATCCACTGAATCTCCGATTCTACAAACCGGTCTTTTTCGAACCCCCTCGGCCTTTCGTCCCCGCAGCTCGACATTCCGCCGCGCACTTTTCGCATAGTACACTCTGCTTCCACGAGCTGCGCAGAACTTTGACGCCGAAACACTGGTGGTGTGCATCATTCCGAGCAAAATGGCAGTAGGATTTGAGCCGAATGATAGAGTGGTTGCAGGCGAAGAGGAACTCCTCCCAGTCGCACATGATGTATATCGGATTCGGGGGTTTCAAACGTTGTCTAACCGCCCAATGCTCGTTAGTCCGTCGATTTATTATCCAAGTATTGACGGGGAGAAGACTCGACCTTGGACGCAAGATGTTTTGAGGAGTTTTTTGGTACCTGCTGTAGGAAGCTACAAGAAACAACACCAGCGTTTCCCTGCAGTGAGTATTGAGATGGCGAGATGATTGAAGGAGTGGAAAAAGGTGAGATGGGCCGGGATCCGTGTCCTCACGCTCGGGATCCCGTCCTAGACTTATATACATGACTTCAATAGCTCATGGCCAGCCTCCCCTCTCGACACAGGTGGAGATAACAACCAGGGAAAACGGCAACTGGTCCAAATAACCAGCTTCTCTCTGGACGTACAGTGCACGGAGCCCAATAGCAAATAAGGATGTCTTCAAGCAAGCGAGAAGTCCGGGCGTGGCTTAGACCAACCGGCAGCCGCGAAGGCGTCTGAGCGTACGTTTGACGCAGTCCTGCAAAACGACAAGTCCGATTGACGAGACCGAGTCGGCCGGCTATGCTGCCCAACACGGACGGGCAACGTGGATTCGACTGGTCCTAGCAGGCCTTGACGATGCTTTCAACATGGATTCGGGAAACGAACCCGCAGATGCCAAACGAGAGGGCTGGCTCGACTTGCACAAGTAAGCGTGATCGTGGCGTGTGTGTCATTTGACGAACAGGTAAGAAGCTGCCCATATAGGAAGCAAGCTCGGTACAGCATGTATATAACGCAGATTAGTGCGCGTTTAGTTGACAGACGCTGTTAAGATTTGCTCATGTGGACGGGTACGGTCCTTACCCCTGGTTGGCCGGCCCCCTTTGCTCGCGGGCCCTTGAACCTCAGGAAATAAAGTTGAAGGGGGATTAAAGGGACAGAGACGAGACGCCGGCTGCCGCTCCGCATCTGGTGGAAGCATTTCCCGCAAAGAGTTTGTATGGCCAGGGGTGGGCAGGGGCAGGGGCTCAGTGCGAACCTCGCTTGCAGACAAGTCGAGATGAGCCAGCGGGAACAAACGTTGATTACTGTTGGCGGCTACAAGCAACAAGGCCAATGATTTTGCGTATTGAACCGGGCAAGCGAAGTCGCTGATGAAGAGATGGATATGTGTTGACGGCAAGAATTTGACAACTTGTCTGAATGTGGATGCTGTGAGAAGCACCAAGAAACAAGAAATCAACAGCCGTCGACGCAGACGACTTGCCATGCGACAGAAACAGTCACGAGGTATTACAGGCTGGTCTGGAACATGAATAGAGCCAGCCGGCCATCTGAGGCTTTGACATACATGACTGTGCGTAGGACGGGTTCCGCGTCCACGGCTCACTTGAGAAATGAAGGCCTCCATGGCCAAGCCGCGGCGAATAGGCCCGGAGCACGCAGACTGAGCCCCTATTGAGAGCATCGCACCTCTATACGGTTCGGAAGCTGCGGCATTGTCAAGTCAGAGCAGAACCCCACGGGCATGATGGGGGATTGAACTCTGGGTCGAGTTGCAAGCACGGTCGTAGATGGGCGCCGCCTCATGTCTGCCATAGGCGAGCGTCAACTTGATGTGGCAGGAAGGCCGCGTGGTGAAAGGCGTTAGCAGGGAGAGAGCAGGTCGAAAGGGGCTCAAGCTTTCCTGTCTGCAGCCATCTGACCGGGAGATGGGGGCCCAACGTCGGGCGGCACGAGTCGTGTGACGGCGGCCAGACAGACAGCTTGGTGCACACAGCACATGTGCTTCCCTGCTGCATGAGTTGGGCAGAAGGAGGGCATGCAGGCATCCGGAGTGCTCGTGCCCTCGCCTAGGTCGGTTTCCAAGGGGTTTGCACGCCGGGAGGGGCCTCGCCGAAGAAGGGGAGAGGACGCTGACAGGGAATTAGGGGGCGAGCTGGTACACAACGCTTACAATGATGGCAGAAGGGGTCATTGATCGAGGCCCTGAAGCGAATAGGTGACCAAGTCATGACAACTTGGTTTCCCTTCTTGTTCATCATGGCAGTCGTTGATGGGCCGCTGTGTTGTAACAGCTGAGGCTCGGGCTAAGCTTTCGGGTAAAGAGAAAATGACTCGGCGGATAAGCCGACCCAGCATCAGGTTCCTGGCTCATCAACACGTAGTAGTGGCGATGCCGGAGAGAAGAAGGACGTGGTGGAGAGATGTTTTGGAGGCTGGGCAAGTCGCTTGTACTTGGTTGACCCGTGAGCACCAGGACTAAGACGGGGTAGAGAGCACCTACACACGGCTAACAGAAGCCGGGTTGTGCGGGTGCCTTGTCAAACGCCAAACCTTGTGCGAGTTGAGACGTCACCTTTGCTCCGCCCGAGTACGAGAATGGCTGGCTGCTGCGCACTCGCAGAACTCGGGACTGTACAGTGACGCCTTGCACGGTACAGTGCTGGCCAATGTCCAGCTGTAGTACAGTGTGCATCAAACTGACATTTGATTGGCTTGGGCAGTTTGCCTTGCGGCTGCCTTGCGAGGAAACTTGTTACCGACCCTTGCGCGCGCGGAAAGAGGGTCTGATTGGCCGGGGACGACACCGAAGGAAGGGAAAGTGAGGCGAACCACTCGATGCGAACCACCAGCCGCTGGACGTGTACTGAACTATCAGAGCTCAGGTACTCGACAGGTATCTGTTGCCGTGTTCTCCCGACGAGCGCGCACATTCACGCAAGACACTCGAAGCGATTCACCCAAGCACTTGGTAGAGACGTCGAAGCTTCTTTCATCAAGGCTGCAAATGCCGCCGTCAATCGATCGATTCCTCGCTCTTTAACTTACCTCCCGGCCCCTTGCAGCACTACTTACTGCCTGTTCATCCCTGCAGTGCCCGCATATATTGGTACTTTACAAATACTGCCGCCATCTTATTGTCCATGGCACCAAAGGTCCCTTGACCTCACTGGCCTGCCGCCTAGGACTCGCACTGGCTTACAGCGCAACAAGTTGGACAAAGCCTCTCCCTCTGCCTTGTAATATTGGCGCTGCATGCCGACCGCGTGGCCTTGCATCAGCAGCCTGCCTTCGTTTCTTCATCACTCACCGTCACCACAGATTCTCTGCTTGATGCACGACCCCCCGTGATCTTTCGCCCCAAGGCACTGCCGACTGTTACCTCTCTCCATGGCCTGCATCGAGTGAGTCGAATGCAGACTTCAGACAGACCAGCTCGATCGGCATAGGTTTCTCCGCATCGCTCCCTCTTCCGTTCCATCCCACCCACAACAGGTCGCGACATACACTCTCCGACCTCAAGTCCATCACAGGCAGCCCTGACCATCGGCAACGCACTAGAATCGCGCTTCATCATCCCAAGCTCGCCTTCTACATTATTCTGTCATGGATCCGCAGTATGACGACGCATCTCGCCCACTGGCGGATACGCAGCAACCATGGAACATTCTCAACTTCTACGCCACGCCTGCCAAGAACGATCCTTGGGTCCCCCGCGGCGTCATCCAGACTGGCCATCAGTCCACCGACGCCCTGCCCTCGCCCCGTCATCTTGTGCCCCAGACAAAGTTCTTAGATTTCGAGAGCACCACGTCGCCGTCTGACTGCGCAACCTTGCCTGGTGATTCCGGCTACGGGAGCAGCCGCCAAGCGTACAGTACTGCGAGCGCTTCCGTCCATGGCGGAGATGACTTGGCCCTCGATTCGCACATGGGCCAGGTCATGAGCGAATGCCGCATCAACCCGGAAGCAGCACCGGCCGAGCCGCCCACTCGCCTCGCGGCGTCCGGCAAATACCGCTGCGACGAGTGCAAGGCTTTCGTCAGGAGTCAAGGCGAGCTCAAGTAAGTTCCGTGGCGTCTCTTCGATACATGGATCAAGATGCTAACCACGGGCGGCCCAAAAGAAAGCACAAGCAGCGCCATCTCAAGTCCCACAAATGCCCCTATGCCGGCTGCATCAAAGGCCAGAGGGGCTTCAGCACCTCAAATGACCTCGTACGCCACAAGAGATCTGTCCATGGCGAGCACGGTCTCCCGGGCCGGTCGTTTGTTTGCCCCCATTGTGCTCCAGGCACCACGGGCCCCAAGGTCTGGCCCAGGGCGGACAACTTTCGCTCTCACTTACTTCGCTCTCATCACGTCAAGCTCAACTCGGACGATGACCACAAGGAATACATATACCAGTACGTTGGATCTCTTTCGCCCCACCATTACATGGCTCTGACACATCCGCAGGCCTTCGGCGCGGAGACACGATCTCAAAGGAGTGGGGGATTCCCTCGAATATGTAGATTCTGAAACCCGACCCATGTGCCTCCACGACTCTCCGGTCCTGTCGGGAGGACAGCAATCGGGCGCCGAGCCTCATTTTCCCGAGAGCCAATTTGCACATGCCCACGAGATGATGGTGGAGTCAATAGGCATCGATCCAGCAATTTTCAATCCTTCGCCCATGAACGCCGGCCAGACAAGTGCAACGGCTCCATCTTCAACAGGTGGGGAGACGCCATACATACACCCGGGCATCTTGAGCCGGCCCGTTGGCTCTATAGATGCCATGGGAGATTCGGCCACGACGTTCACAATGCAGCATCAATCAGATTACACACTGAATCACCCGAGTTTCTCGCATCAGCCATTTTCATACGATGAGGACGATGATTCTGGGCCAAGCCTGTCTGCTTCCACGCCCAGAGATATCACACCTGTCGTGCATCCACCGGCGGCAGCCGGCCGCGAGAGCTGGAAGCGAGATAGTTCCGCTTTCAGTGAGTCCACCCCAGAGGGACTTGATGATTTTGGAGCCGACACGGCGAGTACACGGCAGTGCCGACGCGTACCCTACAGCCGCCTCTCCTTGGGCATATTGAGAGAAAGCATCGCCAACGTGAAATCGGATCGCTCCGAAATCGTCAATTATCTCAAAAGGTTCCCCAAGGAGTTTCTTCAGAGCGCACTTAGAGGGGAGGACGGGCAGGACACGGAGCCCGAGAGCCCCTCAGAAGATGAATCCAACCCAAGAATCCAGCTGGGGTGCCCTGACCCGTACTGTGACAAGAACTTCAGCCGTCCGTGCGAGCTCAAGTAGGCAAGCCCTGCTACCCGTCTCTGCCTAACCGGCGCCTTGCCGCTTACAGAGTCCCGCAGGAAACACATGAAGAGGCATGAAAAGCCCTATGGATGCACCTTCAAGAGCTGTTCGAAAAGATTTGGAAGCAAGAACGACTGGAAGAGACACGAGAGCAGCCAGCACTTCATGCTCGAGAAGTGGGACTGTGATGAGCCTAATTGCACCAAGATTTGCCAGCGGCGGGAGAGCTTCAAGAATCACCTGCAAAAGGACCACGACATGAACGACGCAGAGCTGATTGACGACAAGCTGGAGTCATGCCGGCTCGGACGCCACTGTGACCCGCGCTTCTGGTGCGGATTCTGCGTCCGGGTCATCCAGATTGACGTCAATGAGCGAGGCGGCAATTCGTGGACCAAGCGGTGCGATCACATCGACAACCACTTGTTTGGAAAAGAAGGGCTCCAGAAAAAGGTCATGAAGGAGTGGAAACATCAAGAGGATCAACAGAGGGACACGGAATTGGCGAGCGAGGGCATGTCAACTGACGCCTCCGGGGTCTTGTCCCGCAACCCAATCCGCGTGGGAGGGGTCGAGGCCCACGAGAGAAAGCGAAGAAGTAGCTCGGAGACAAGCTTCCGACCTCGCAAGAAAGCCAGCAGGACACAGACTTACATGTGGATATGCGTAAGTCTTCTTTGACCTATGAATCCTCGTCTACTGCCCCTGCCGAGTGCCTCCACCCAGCGCATATGGTTGCGTTTGGTCCCCACAGTAGAGCAGAGCAGGCGGCTAACTTGAACCATAGTGCATGTGTTTCACGACAATGAACCTCAAAACTTCATCTTGCTGCTTCGAGTGTCATCACGCGAGGTGTCTGGCGAACTGCGCGATAGAATCTGTTTCTGCTCAAGAGAACGATGAAAACTGGGATGAAGAGATGCAGGCAATGACTTTGCCCATGGAACTGGACACGGCGGACACGTCACGGCAACTGAAACTACAAGAGGAGGCACAGTGACACCTGTTGTCTTTCTGTGCTCTAGTTCTGCCTTAGGGACAAGACGGGTGACTCGCTGAGAGCCGGAGCTTGCTTGGCTGCTCACGCTCCGGCGCATAGCTTGCCTTATGCAACTACTATCGACACAGGGACTAGGGAGAATGTACATGCGCAGTGGACAGCAAAAAACTGTTACTCCGGTCAATCCCGTAGAGAAAGCGCTGTAAAGGGGGCCGGTGCTAGCCCACGAGCGAGACGCCGGCCGGAAGCAGCCGCTCCTTCGCGAGGCAAGCGCCCATGAATAACTGCCCATGGAAAATATCAATAGGTCATCCGCGCAGTCGCTTGCTTTTTGTGTTGGCCTTGCTTAGTATAACCAGAGGTGCAAGGAGAGGCCTGGAAACGATGGCTGACCAGACTTGAAAGCTGGGAGCCAAGCTGATGCGGTGTACCAAGTACGACAGCAGACATCTGCGCGCTTCTGCCGCTCCTTGCATCGCCTGTCCCAATGGACTGGCAGTTCTGTCGCACGTCCGAGAAGCCGAGCGGATAGGCCGATACAGGGAACCCCATGCCATGGACCGGGACAAAGAAGCGGACGGGGAGATGTCTGCCGCACGCCCCGATGTCGACGAGACAGGAACGCGCATTCATTACCGACAGCCATTGGCGCATTCTCGACACCCGCATGCGTGTCCTCGGTTAACACATCACACGGCGCGCGGGGCTCAGATGCATTTTGCTTACTCGCCCGTGCTGGACACCATGGCGGCCAGCAGGTTGGTACTCGTGTGGAGGTACGAAGTGCGGAACACGAATTCCCCGTCTGAAGCAGCCTTGTGCAACCTCAGCTTGCAGGGTCGACAAGGTCCCTGGGCTTGACGTGTTGGCCCCGAGAGAAGGATGATATGGATCGCCGCATGGGACGCACGAGCGGCGAGAGTGGAGAAAAGAAGAAGGGCCCCCCCTGACTTGACAGGGGCATGGAGTCAGTGATAAGGTCACCGTGTGTTACTATGTAGGATGTAGGTGTCCTAGAGTGCTCTGGGGGCGGAGAATAGCCGCTTCAGGAGAGGTCGATGACATCCAGCCTCATGGTGATAGCTCATCGATCGTTCGTTTTGACACGATGGGCCGGTCCCGAGACGCCGCGTCCCGAGCTAGGAGGATCCCTGGCAGCTCGTCTTACACAGAATTAGTGCATGCGCCCGTTGACAAACTTGGCTTCACACGGTCGGTGACCAGGAACCGACGGACATCTGGAAGCTTGAAGGGGATAGTGTTGTTAATTGACATGGAGTGAAGGTCGACGAGACGAAGCAAGTGGCGGATTTTTAAGATTGGTGGCTCGCCAGGCGCAATTTCAGAGCAGCAAGCAGGACACCCCGAGGATCATGCTTTGGACACAGGAAAGTGCAAGACGCGTGGTTGTTCCTCCTCCTGTTGTTGTTGTTGTTGTTGTTGTTGTTGTTGTTGTTGTCTCTGTTTCTGCTGCTCCTCCCTCTCCACGCCACAGGCTCGAGATTCCGCCAACGCCGGCGAGCCGAGCCTTGTGGCACGATCTGATAGAGCGGAGGAGAAGAGACAAGCGCTATTAGACGTGGAGCCTACCGCGGGCAAAGCGGGACGGCTCGGCGACCTCATTTACCAGGGGGACGGGCACGGCCGAGGTGATGCATATCGGGTCGCCTCGTCGGACCTGAGCGCGGTCGAAGAATAGAAACGGCCGCTCGTAGAGGAGCGGGAATGACGATGGATCCTGGTCAGTGCGTGTTGAAGAACGGAAACGTTCCGTCGATACGGGAGCACCGTTGGGCGCGAGGGGGAGGCGTGGCGGCCAAGGTTTGGGAAACCGAAGAAAGAGGATGGTGGCGCGTGTGACAGCTTGTGCGGAAGAGTAGGGAGAGCGGCGGAGACAATGAGGGCGGAATTGGACCGCACGGTTTCTGTGTGGATGTGTCGGAGGGACGGCGGAAGAGCTTGGGGGCGCCGTGGATGGCCGTTGGTGGCTTAATGTTAGCGACGTTTGTGTGTAAATGTGGGCGGCGAAGGGGTTCCTGGCCACGGCGGAGTTGGGGACCGATGGCTCAGCCCGCACGCACGTATGCTTGCACCGCGTAAAAGCAAGAGAAGAGAGGCTTGACGTGCATCTACATGTATTCGTAGGTAGGTCCCAAAGGTACGTGGCAGGCCCCTAAACGCCAAGGCAGCCGCATTCGACGAGAAGAGTTGGCCGAGAAGGACGCGTGCTGGGCTGACGAGAGCCGGCCTCAACGGGGTTCGGGGCGTTGGGAGGAGGAAGGGGGCGGCCCGCAGCAGAACCGGAGGCGCCGAGACAAGAAACAGACTGCTGGGAAAGCTGACGGATCCTTGACGGTTTCCTGTTTTCTTGTTTCATTTCTTTTCTTTTCTTCCCGAGGAGAAACAAAGACAAACACGCGAGAATTCAAAGGTTCTTGCTGCTTTCGTTTCTGGTTCCCCTCCGTTTCGGGGAAAATTGGACATGGTGGGGAAAGGGTGTAGCGGGAGAAGCTGTCAGTCAGGCCGTGCTCTGATGAGAGCGAAGAGAGAGACAAGACTGAGGGGGTGGGGGAGACGGGTCTACGTTTCCACTGGGTAGTACGAGGCAAATAGGTAGAGGGGGGGAAGGGAGTGAAGGGGGGGTCTCATGAAGCCGCTCGTAGGCAGATGGAAGTGGCTGGCCTACGATGACGGATTTGGTGGAAAGGAAGGGATCGACAGAGAGATGGGCATGGAGGTGTGGTGAAGGTGCTTACCTAGAAAAGTAAGACACCGGCAGTGGCAGCAAAGAGTCCCCAGATTGGGCACTGCGAGTACGAGAAGACAGCCTGGAAGAGAGGCAGCAGGTAGGACCCTGCCCCCCCCCCCCTTTTTCCTCATCTATCCTAGCTATCGGACGGCCCGCTGCGGTGACGCCTCAACAGCATGAGGGTCTATGCCACTGTGTGAGTGTGAGCTTGGGTTCTTTCTGTTTTTATCTCTTATGCTGTGTCCGACTCCACTGCTTAGTCGACGACCAGCTCTTGGGGGCCTCGCGCGAGAGATGAAGAGTGCGGTTGGATTGGAGGCGGTGTTTTGTTATTTCTAGCATACATACATACTGTACAGCTCCGTCTGAAGACGTGTGCGCTAGTTATGTTTAATCGGTGTGCGCTAATCGTCCAGCTACCCGGGATGATCATGCACGACACCGCGTTGGGGGAGAGAGAGCCTATTCGGCATCGGGATGGACAGTTCCCGGGGAGGGGGGGGCCAGTTGTGGCTGCAGGACGAAGAGGACGCGTCTGGAACGTTGTATAAGTTTGTAGGTTAGACGGGGTCTGGGCCGAGCGGCTGGGCGGGATCTGGTGAGAAAAGAGAGCGATAGAGGGAGACAACAAGGTTGGTGCCCGTGCATCTTGGACGTGTTACATGAACACACCGGAAGGCTATCTTGATTCCAAGTTACAGTACATGGGCCCTTGTCCCCTGCCTCGATGGTCCATCAAGCCTCTCCTCTCTCCCGCTTGTTCTCAGCTGGGCTGGACTTTGGCAAGCAACGAAATGCTGGTGCGGAGCCCGGGATCCGTTACTGAGCGCCGTCGCGCGTGTGTACGTGTGCAGGTGATTAGGCGCGGGCGGGAGATGTGCGGCACGCGAGCGTGGCCAGGCCGATGAAGACGGACAATGAGTGAGTGGCATGACGTTGCCACTGGCCGGTCAAGTTGGGGAGGGAAGGGGATTTGGCAAGGGCTTTTGTGTGTGTGTGTGTGTGTGTGTGTGTGTGTGTGTGTGTGTATGTATGTGTGTGCGAGTGAGTGAGTGAGTGTAATTATGTGGTGGATATGTTGCAGAAGCGGGAGACGGAGCACAGACAGGATGGCATCCCTGGGGTAAATACGTGAGTGCCAGACAGGCGCGTGGGGTGTGATATGATGTAGAGATATGTATTCGCACAGCATACATGCGTACTGTACAGCACGTACAGCGCTGCGCAGACGGACATGATAGAGACACGGACAGACATATGCGGGCGCGCGCACGCACACACACACACAGAGACAGACACACACGCACTCGCACACACACACACACACACCTGTATATATTTGGCGTTAGCGTCCCCAAAGGCTAGGCAATTAATTAGGGGCTGGCCGGCACTGTTCCCCTTGGTGCCCTCTGCGAGGCACTGCCAGCTGAGTCCCTTGGTGCTATCTGGTCCTGCATGTGGCGTGGGGGCCAAGGGTGGACGTGGATACATCTGTTGTACGAGGTTCCCGATACAGGCCGTGAGCCCAGGATGCTTGTGTCGCCCGCGGAACATATACACTTGTTCCCAGATCAGAACCATCATCATCTGCAGCCATTATCTCGATGGCATATGATGTGTATTGTGTAAGGGCGGCTGTTGAGCGTCTTGGCGGGTACCCAGGCGGCTCTTTTGATGCATGGCGCGCCTCAGTACTACATCCAATAAGTTAAAGGTAGGCACCTCACAGTTATACCAGCTAAGCAATTAAGGTAGCTGTCAGGACAAGAAAAGGGCCTATAATACGCGTTAGTAACACCTCTATTGGGGGTGCCCTCATTTTGCATGGTGTAGCGGTATTTTACCGGCTTGACAGTAGCCTTTTCTTGTCTCGTCTTGTCTAGTGGACACGACGGCCCGCCGACCCGCGTTCGTCGGCCCCGGCCCGCCTGAAGGACCACTAATACAGGGTGGAGGCCCACCACTAGTAGTGGCATCCACTGGTGGGGACGTGCATGTGCCGTCCAAGTAGACGCCCGCGCAGACGAACGACCTTGCTGAACATGACCTCTTTTGCTTTGTTCAAATGTTGCAGAACGGCATCTTCCACGTTGGCCCCCAAACCGACAGCCAGTAGTACGGGGCCGTGGGCGCCTGCAAAGCGCGTGGTGCGTACTGGGCGAGGTGCCAGCTTGCTCCAGGTGCCGGTGGTACCTGTGTTTTCTGCACCGCGCAGTGGGGAACGCAGGTACTCCACATCCGTCTTCCCGTCAAACCTCCTCCACCGGTGCATCCACCCATCCATCCATCCATCCAGCCATCATCCACCCGGCATCCCGTCTCTTCCCGTCTGCGCTCCAGGAGCCAACATGTGCGTGCGCGTGCGTGCGTGCGTGCGTGCGTGCCGACGTGCGTGGCAGCAGCAGCTGCCGCGGCGTGCCAAGAAAAGGATCTGTTCCAGCATCTGCCCTCCTGCTTCTGGCCGCGACCGTCCGACGAACCACGGCCGTGGGATTCACTCAAAGCGGCAAACCAAGCGAGAAAGGGGTCGTCTTGTTGGCTTGGATGCAATGCGGGCGAGCGAAAGCTGAGGCCGCAGCCCAGGTTAATCCATCTCCTCCGTCAGTGCCTTCTCTCCGACTGACTGATGGATCCCTGCCTCTAGACTCTGACCTTCTGCAGCAACCCAACGGCCCATACAAACGAGACCCCCATGTTGACATTGATCGTCATGACGCCTCGTCGTCGTTGTCCGACTCCCTCTCTGTCCAGGCCTCTCTGATCAAGGCTGCTGCCGGTGCCAAGTGTGAAAGGCTGGCCCGGAGTTTATTCAACAAGCAGGTGCCTAGGTGTTGTCTATCTAGAGCTAAGGAGGAAAAGAAGCTGAACTCGAGGCGTAGCCTCGAGTGCGAGCTTATATTGCCCTTCTCGGAATGTTCTCGCAGCTTCTGGGTCCGCGGAGCGGGGCCGGTGTTGCCACCGGAGCACGACCCACCGGACCCGGTACAACCGGGTCCACCAGCCGGGCACAGCCCGTGACACCAAGGGACCGTTGGCCATCAGGCCGAAAGGCCAGCAAGGCGACTCGCCTCCAAACCTCCATTGCACTGTGTCTTTCCCGGCCTCACTTTGCCTTCTCGCTCCGGTGAGGAAGGCGGCTCACTCCCCCGTGACAACGTGCGTCCCCAGAAAGCCTAGACCCATCCATCATAGCATCAGCTCCCCAGCCCACAGACTGCCGATCCCAACCCACGCTCAACGGCCATCTATGACGGATTTGCATCAACAGCTGGAAAATGCCGCCTCCGGTCACAAGGACAAATGGAGATTGCCGGCGGCGCACCCCGAACCATGCCCTGCCCGGGGCCCCAACCCATCAACGCTCGCCCTCTCTCGTCCACAGGAGCGGAAATCCAGACAGACAGACGAGTGGCCGCAGCCTGCATCTTCCCAGCCAGTTGGTTCCGTGTCACTGTACGCACACCAACGACGCACCTGCAGCGGAGACAAAGGCTTCCTGACCTCACTCTGGGCCTACCACCTGAATTCGCCCTCTGCGCTGTTCGCTCTCAGTCCCTTCCGCCGGAACTCCCGATACTGGGCGTCTATTGCCTGCCCAGCACATCACTTGTTTGGCCGGGGGAGAGAAGCATGGGAGAATGAGACCGGGAGAGGGGGGAAGAAAGAGAAGGCGAGACAGGGGGAATAGAAAGAAAAACCTCCCACATCATCGCCAAACCCTGCACTCCCCACCACCACCCCCCCCTACCTTGACCGCACACATCCCCAAGAGCGCCACAAACCAGCATTGTACAAAGTATCTCCTACCCAACTGTCTACCTGTTTACCCATTCCTCCCTGGTACCCAAGTACTCGAGATGCTCGTCCCATCCATGTGAGCGGACCCCGGCGGTGCTTCGCTCGATTTGGACGCCCTGTTTTGCTGCAGGCCCAGAGCGGCACGGTCGAGCCACCGAGCTCGTGGCTGCCCGCCCCGTCAGACTCGGAGAGAAATGTGCGGCATTCATTCCCGCACCCAGTCTCAGCAGAGGCACCTCGAGGGAGCTTTCCCGAACGGGGCTATTCTTGGAAACCGGAATCAACACACACGAGTTAGCGAAGAGAGAAAGGGGGGCAGGGCGAGGTGGGTCGGGCCCTGGATGCGCAGAGATCGGGGCCAGCATCATCAGAAGCCGTCACCGCAGGCTCGTCATCCTTGTCGGCTCCAACATGCAGGTTGCAAGCACGTACCCGGACTTGGCTACTGGCTGCCACGAGGACCTGTTTCTGTGGTTAGGCGACCTCTTCGAACCCGAAGAGCCTCCTGATGCCTGTGGTCTGGGGTCAGCCAAGACGTCCAGCTCACGCAGCTCCCACGCCGACTTTGGCTTCTCCGCTCCGCCCTCCCGTCTTCTGCCTCTATTAAAAGACGTTCCGTCTCTCCGCCTCTTGCACAGCCTCACATCGACTCTGTTTTTGTCCACGGCTCTTTCCACCATCGCCTTGATGCCCGCCTTCTTGCTCGAACGCTTCCGCAGACGACCGTTGTTGGCAACCGTCCAGCAGACTGGCCCTTCGCCTCTTTTCCATCCTCAGCTCCTGTTCTCCTCAGCTGATCGGCTTGGCCGCGGCTATCGACGCCGAAGCCTTTCTCGAAAAAGCTCAACCGCCCCCGTCGCTCTCGTGTCCCGTCGAGGAGTAGCCGTCCGCCTCCTTTTCAAACCCGTCACTCGACGCTGCATCTAGTCAAGAACTGCCAAACAATCCACGTCGAGTCCATCGACGCCGCTCGTGCCTGAACTCGATTTTCTATTCAAGCCCCAGCTACGCGTCGTTTAGCCCCTCGTCCCCGTTGTCTGCCTGGTCACCACGCACAAATGGATTTGCTCCGCAGCTCCACTCAGCCCGGGATTTCAGCCTCTGCGAAACCAGATCGCAGGGCGCAATATCCTACCCCCGTGCCCGACGATCTACGCGTCGATTCCGGCCTCCAGGGCGGGACGTTGACCTCGTTCCAGAATTCGCATTGCCGGGTGCCGGACATATCCACCATCTCTTACCCTCACGAATTCGATTTCTGTCATGCCCCCTTTTATGGCCCGGGACACACTTTTCCCTATCATCAGCCTCGTATGCCCGCCTATCCGAGCCCGTCGATGGGCAGTGATACCATCTCCGAAGAAACTTCGACTCCCTCAGATACGGCCTTCATATCCCCAGTGATGAATGCCCGCGGCTACCCATCACACCGTCCTTTTCCCTCGCTGGATTCGCACAGCGACTTTGCTACATGCGTCGACCCCACCGACCTCAGCACCGCACAGTCCCCTCAGAACGATGGCGGGATGATGCCGGCCGATGCAGGCCTAACACATGTCGACGTCAACTCAACGCTGTACAACGAATTCGACCCTGGTGTCGTACCACCACACCAGCCGATCATGGAGAGCACTCCATACATGCAGGACGTGGTCGATGATTGCTCGCCCGTCCCTCCGGCGCTTGGTCCAGGCCAGAATGAGCCCTATGTCACCTTTTCTAGGAGCCGAGCCGCGGCGCCGCAGCCTCTTGGTACCGGGTTGTCGCCGGCGTCGTTTCTGTCACCGCAGAACCAGGTGCCGGTGGTGATCCCTCGGGCGTCCTCGCAAGGGTCAACCAAGCTCAACACTTGTCTCGGCCGCGGGTTGAAGGCCGACGGAGAGAAGAGCAAAGAGGTTTACCCCTGCCTTTTCCAGGCTGTCGGCTGTTCTGGAGGGTTCCCCGGAAAGAACGAGTGGAAGAGGCACGTCAACACCATTCACGTTCGGTGGGAAGCCTGGGTCTGCGCCGAAGGCGACTGCGCATCGCTCGCGATAAGTTGGGATCGGGGAATGACCTTCGGCGAGCCGTCGTTCCCCCGCAAGGGGAGGGTCTTCAATCGCAAGGACCTGTACATAATGCACCTGGGCCGCAGACATCGTCACCTCCTCCCCCCTCGGCCTCCGGCAGACAAAAAACTCATCGCTGCCGACCAGGAGAGGGTCGCTGCCCAGGCATGCCATCGTCGAATCCAGCTGCCCAGGGACACGAAGGACATGACGTGCTCGGTCATGGGTTGCAACGAGACCTTTGGCGGCAGCTCGGCGTGGGACAGCTTCCTGGAACATGTCGCCGACCACCTCAAAAAGGCCTTGGAGTGTTCGCGAGGCCCCGCGGCCATGGGCAGCTGGATAGATTCTTCACTCAAGAGGTTCGGTGTCTCGGCCGGCTTCTTGTACGAAGATGAAGGTGGCCAATGGAAGCTACGCGACCCGACTTGGAACGATGGGTCGAAAAGGAAGAAAGGGCACCGCAAGCGGTCCAGCTGCCAGAGGGAGGATTGCAATCTCCAAAGACCAGGAGAGCTTGAGGCCCTCGGCCCGCCATGCAAGCGAGTGCAGTCAGGTTGACGGCCCACGCCCTCATGGGCTCTGGTCAGGGAGGGGGAGACTCCTCTCTCTTTTTCCTGCCCCTTTAGTTGCTCCTTGCCCCCCTCTCCCATGTTTTGATTTTCTGTTTCTCGCACAAAGGCTCTCCGACTCTGCGATCCGAATTTCCTCTCCTTTGCACGTACGGGAGGAGCTCTCTCTTTTTTCCTTTTTCTTTCCTTCCCTCAGACGGTCGGAACTCATGAGTTGGATGGTTGCTTTGTCTTTTGGGATACCACGGGTCTGGTCATGCTGGCGTAGTAGCCAAGCTCTAGGCTCTTGTTTTTGTGCACTGTTGCCGCCGGGCGATTCTTTTTTACCTTTACGCGTTGGTGTGTTGAGCTTCCATTTATCATACTGTCCTGGTCTGGCGTGTCTCTACACTGTTTTCTGACGCGCTTCCTTCTTGGGGGTATGATTCCACGACCCTGGGAAATAGAGGGAAAGTTTAAAGGAAGACAGAAAGATAGAGAAGAGAGGCGCCGCAGTCTAGACCTGGCCGCACCTGAGGGAGCTCCAGGTCCTGGCCCAATCTGAACCAGGGACTTGCTAGCATTGTCTGCCACGCGTTTCTTTGCACGACTGGTTGGATTTTGGGATGGAAACTCTGGTGCCCTGTTGGGTTAAATGGAAACCCGGGCAAATTGATTTGGTGCTGTATGTGCTGCGTCTTGGCCGGGTTGCGGAGAATTATGGACTGAAGCATTTGTTCCTGGTCGAGAACAACCATTGTGGTTTGCTGTGTACACTGGCAATAATGCTCTGGCAGTTTTCAAAGTTTTCGGAGATTCAGCAGTCAATTAACTTGCGTTTTGTCTGCAATGCTATTTCACGCAGTGTCGGGTTGACTATCTGATCTCTAGCATCATTGAAGTCGTACACAAGCATGAAGTCGTGTCACATTCCACCGGATACCAAGCACCGGACTTTCTGAGCCATGCCCCTGAGTGCATGATGATGAGCCGTACACGTACTTGTGCCTTAGTTGGGATGACGCAGGCGTTGGAATCCGCAACGCCTCATGGCAAGATCTCCATGGATGGCATAGTCTGCCCTCAACCACAAGGGGGCACCACGGAGCGTTACAGGACCGTTGGACATTTCCCCCTTCTTCCCAGCCACATATAGGGCCCCGGTGGTGCCTTTCAAACACTAGCCACCTTGGCTGATCCGCCGAAGTGCATTGAAGGGAGCGGGGTTGGTGAAGCCGGCGCCGCTGAGGACGGCGGACATTTCCTGCAGGGGAATCGAGGTGTCGGGCTTGATGGCCCTGATAACATCCTAGACGCCTTTGGGTTAGCTGCCGCGGCCTTGCGGAACAGGTCGGTCGGTCTGGGAGCAAGACTTACCTCTCGGGAAGCCACCTGACCGTCGTCGGCCTGTTGCAAGATCGGGTCGGCATTGAGGGACGTGGTGCCGACGGTCAAGACGGTCTCGACGTCGGCCAGGAACTCGCGGGGCATCCAGCCAAGGTGCCGCGGGATGGCCTCGTTCTCGAAGAGCGACCTGATGAAGAGCAGCCTATCCTGGGTATTCCTGGCGGTGCTGAAGACGCCAAGCAGCATGCCGACCTCGGTGGCGCCGTGGGCGGCAGCAGCCCTGCTGTAGACGGTCTGCGGGTTGAGGCTCTGGCGCAGCTCCCTGATGCGGGCGGCCTTGGCCCTGCCCATGCACAGCGGGCCGATCTTGTCGCAGTCGGAGATGAGGTTGACGACGGTGTCCCAGGCCGACTGGTCGAAGCCGAAGCCGGCGCCCTCGAACGTGTCCGGGCGCGAGAAGCTGCAGTCGTGCTCGATGCGCCACGAGTCGCGCTGCAGGTCCTCGAGGTTGAAGACGAAGTCGAGCGAGTTGCCGCTCTCGACCAGGCCGTCGATGGTGATGAGGGCGCTCGTCTCGGGCGAGACGCCGTAGCCGTGGAAGGCGGCCAGGATGATGTCGGTTATGTTGACGCCGCGTCCGTTGGTGGGCAGGAAGCCGTGGTTGGCGAGCGAGTTGAGGGCTGGGCATGCGCATCGGGCTTTTTTAGGGGGCCAGGGGAGGCTTTGTCAGTCTGGGAACTCTGGAGCTACAAGTTGGGTTCCTTGCAATGCTGCGGATGGATGGGATACGGGATTCGGGGTGGCATACAGTCGTTGGGGTCGGGCGTGTGAAATTCAAAGTATCGGGCATCGTTGACGTTGAGCCTCGGATCGGCCCCGGCCAACGCCGCCAAGCAAGCCACCGCAAGCGCCCAGCTCGCCTGCGATCTCATCTTCGTCTACGATCCCTCGCGGGGGCCGTCTCGCAAACTCGTCCGCGTGTCGCTTCGTCGGGTCCAAGTCTGCCTGCTGGTCGCACGCAAGTCGCAGGGTCTTCTTGGCCGAGCCCGCAGAGGTTCTTCGGCTCAACACAACGGCAGCATAACGGGATACGCAACGGACGGCAGAGCGCGCGGTCTACGGGCCCCCGGCGCGTGAGGTGCTATATACGCCCTGTCGACGACGTGTCTCCCGGTGCGCAGTCGTCATTCCATGGGTTCGGCGAGGAGCATGCCATGTCTCAGACCAGGCCTGAGCGGCGCCCCCCCAGACACGCGGATGCCTTTACACGATCATCACGATGTCGCCAATCCCATTACCACCCCTGAAGAAGGACGCGATAAAACCTGCTTTAGCGTTGACTGCATCTTCAATCGGTCTTGTTACCGTGAAACAACCTCGTCACGCCTCCTGCCCGTCACCACGCTCTGGCATGGATGGTTGGAATTGATACGGGCCCTTTCTGCGCTTGGTCGGTTTGCGGCATGGTGTGTTCGAGATTGGCGGTCTGACATCTCGCCCTGTGACGCACCTCTCTGGCAGCAGGCGCAGCAAGAGACGAGGCCGGGTCCCCGTTGCGGACTCGCATCGATGCCTGCGTCTTTCCACACGCCAAGACCGATCCCCGTGGTCACTGCCGGTAAAACTTCAGGGCTGCTTCATGTCCGCCCGGGAATAGCGAAAGGAGATGGCTAGCATGGCGCAGAGCGGCGTGGGAGGATACCCGTTATCCGACGAACATGGCGAGGCGGCACAGCAACTCTTTGTCGTCAAACCTCGGCGACGCAATAGACAATACCCAAAGAGGCGCTAGAATCTGAGTTGAGCAGTGTTACAGATCGGAACCGACTCAGCTTACATGTAAGGGTTGAAGACGAGCATACAAAGCTCGTATGAAAAGTCTCGGCGAGGCCTGACGCTCAACTAGGAAAATGATCGTGCCGCATCCCCGACAACCCCGGCCCCCTTTCCAACCCTGGCCCTAGACGAACTGTGCATTGAGGATGAACAAGAGAAGAGTGTAGGAACCACGACGGGGTTCTACCGCCCCCCCCGATATCCCTTTTCTCGTGGGAAATATGGCTGGGCTCCAAGCTGGCTTCCATGTTTCGAGCCACATGGCTGCCATTGATACGGGCTCGATTCATAGACGAGTCTCCATGTATTTCGCGTTGTACTTTTCATCATGCGGCTCTCAATGTAGAATCTGCGCCTTCAAGTCTGGCTGACGCAATCTTGTCTTAGAAGTGCCGACATCTCCTGGATGAAGCCCCTCAAAATGGAGCCTCGCCTCCGCTAGCTCAATGCCCTTCGAATATGTGTCTGCATGATTTGCTCTCAAGATAACTTACTTGTTCCATACTTTGCTACTTGCCCCGTCTTTCCAGCCATTCTCTCTCCTAGAGTCTAAGCGTCGTCTCGGACGAACCAAACACTCCAAGCCCAATGTATCATGTCTGAACCTCACGTGCCATTGCTTCACCAGGAACCCTTTGCAGCCCTTCCTTTGCGCCCATACCTCATCCTTTTGTTACCATGTATGACAAAAACCTGGCATTGCCGATACGCGGTGCCAATTTCACTCCTCATCACGGCCATCGTGAGTTGCCTCGTCCTAGCCGCAGTGGAAACGTGACAGAAGCAAATCACGGATTATTACGGGTTTCACCCACTCAAAAGTGAGACTTGCCTTTGGATACCGACTTGACCGCCGCAGGTCTTTCGAATTGCGTTTCAATAGAGGCAGGGGCTGAGCACCGGGATGCCGCGACACGGGCCGTTGACGCAAACACGAGCAGAGCAGATGTGCGTACCTGACTGCCTCTCGCACATCCAAGCCGCACCCCCTGCTGGAATCACGGTGAGCACACTAGTAATGTATCCATATGTAACTATGATGAAGACTTCGTACATGACGAAGTTTACCAAACGGGGGGCACCGGGGTGAAAACAAAATAGCCCTGATACAACTTCCCCAGTTTCCCAGACAAGTACTGATCCCCTCGTACGCATGTATAGCCACAAACGTGGGCTCAGCGCCCGTCGTTCTCGTCGCCCTTCACCACATGACATCTGTCAAGCAGCATGTTGCGTCCTCCCGAGCATGTTCTCAACACAACAGAGACCGCATTCTCGCATCCCCCCCCTGGCCTTGCCTCCACATCGCCGCCTTCGTACAAAAGTCTGCAATCCTCCTTTCAAGTTTCCTGGTCACCCTCAAGGTCTGACATGGCTGATCTACCCAATGATAGACCTTGCTCGGCGATGTGAACAATGCTAATGAAAGCTCCGGCGTGAGAAATGGGAAGTAAACGAGATGGTAAGCCATCGCAGAAGCACCCTTCACTCGTGGCCTTCTCCAAAGGGAACAAGAAACGGGGTGAAGAGACAAAAAGCAGCAAGAAAACCAAAAGGTCGGCAGCTGGGCAACGCGCCACAGGAGCCGTGATATTGTAAGAATGCGTCGCCAAAAGCACGATAACATGATGTGACAGTTCCCGGTTCCGGTACGATGGATACCAGTCGTTTGTCAGATGCCGTCAAGCCGTCGTATCACAAAAGTGTATCCCTTTTGCTCTGAATCTGCACCGGCAGCGGTGGGACTACCGTACAATCCTGGCGAAATCGCAGCCTCGGCCATGTCTAGAAGAAGGACAAGTAGTCCCTCCCTGCTCCCGCAAAGACCGTCGGGCTCACAGCAGGTTTCGGACCGTACCTAGGCATCGCTGCTCGATCCCGACTTCGAATGGGTCGCCGGAAAGTTGGAAGTGCGCTTCGCTCGTCGCTGCTGTCGGAGTCGACACTCAAGAGCGTAACCAGGTTCCATGGCCTTGCGCTGCTCAATGTACGCCTCGTACGCTTGCTGATCCCCTGCATTGGGTAATTTGGGCTTCGGGACAGGCATGGGACGTGCGGGAGGACCCAGCTGGGTTGCCGGCCCCGGAATCAGCGGCATCTGCGTGGGAGGCATCGGACAGTGAAGACGCGCCGGCAGCGAGTGGAGTCCGGAGCCCGCCATCTGCGGCGCCGAAACAAGTCCAATAGGCTGTGTCAGGCCACCTCCCCCGCCAAACCAGCTTGGAGTCGGCTGAGGCCCCTTGAGATGGCTGTCGAGTCGGGGCGGGCAGGCAGCAGCAATCTTGGCCGCCCAGCCGAGCGCATTATTGGCGGCTTCTAACCAAGGCGTAACCTGCGGCACCTGCTGCGGGCCCAGGGCTCCTGTCGGCTCGAGGGGAAACGGCGGCGTCACCAAGCTGTACATCAGGGGCATTGGCGGAAGAATGGCAGCGGAATTTGCGGATTGTGTTTCGGCTCCAGTACCGACGCCGGAAAGGACATCCTTGCCGCCGTCTTGGCTGTTGTCACTCGTAAAGAGCAGTGGGCGCAACAGATGCTGCTCCTCAGCTTTCTCCGGACTCAAATGTCCATCAGGCACGAAGGAGAGGAACTCTCTGGCCTTGGGGTTCAAGTCATGACTCTTGGCGCCCCCAACGTCAGCAACGCCCGAGTCCTCGGATCGCTCGGCCTGGGGGCGCCAGGCTCTCTTTGATCCGTAGTCGACCACGGCCGAATCGGATGCCGTGAGCCCTCTTTGTACTCGCTTCTCTCGCGTGCTTGCTGGGACGCTCAGAAGCGTGTTGATGTTGTCGTGGGTATCGACGGAAGCTTCTTCGACGGCTGCATCGGATCCCGATCTCGTCGAAAATCCACTGTCTCTCGTCTCTCGAAGGGGCTGAATTGGAGGGGGCTGAACTGCAGCGGGCCCTTTCCTGAGCTTTTCCAGCATCTTCCGAAAGGCCACATTCTTGGCATCGAGACTGGTCTTCTGGGGGTCTCCACGGGCGCCGCAGGAGGGTTCGTCATCCGCAGTCCCGCGGCTTGACGTTGGCCGCTTCTTCTCGGTGCCTCGCTCGGAGCTCGCCACAGGGGTCCGGGACGACTTCCGATCGACCGTGGTTGAAGTGGCCAGAGTTTCCTCCATCCCCTGCTTCCGAATGAAGTACAACGGGGCAAACTGATATCTTTCGGTGGGATCGGACTCTCGGTCTGGAGCTTTGGCCGGCCCGAGGCGTTGTAATGTCGCGAGTTTTTGGGCATGTCCCGAGCCATCAAGCGGTTGTGTGAGACTGTTTGCTCGAGTGGCATCGCAGGGCACCACCTCGATTATGCGAGGACCCAAGTCGCCGGAGGACGAGGTATCGAGGCTCTCCAGCCTGATAATGCTACAAAAGATCTCTGACTCGCTGGTGCCGTCGGACTTCTCGGGCCGAGAGTCGCACTCATCATAGCTAGTAGAGGACATGGAGTTGGACTCGCGGCGCACGTTGAACTGCCTGTCTGAAACCGAAATCTTGCGGTTGTTGACGTTATCTGGCTCAACCTTGCCGGAGTCGACGGGTGGAGGTGAAGCCCCTGCGCCCGTCCAGGGTCTGATGTTGTCGAGGTCCGCCGAGTCTGGGCCAGCCAGATCGATGGTGCTCGACGACGACGACGAGCGTTGGCGTTCGCGCCAGTTAGGGTTCTTGATAGCCTCGAGGAACTTTGCTGTAAGACGCTGCTCCTCGGGGCCGTCTCTTTTCGCGTTCGAGGCCGCGTTGCCCGTTTTGGGACCCTTTGCGGCATGGCCTGCGCTGCCGGCCGAGCGGTGAGTCGGTTTGGCACAACCGGCACCGGCAGGGAGAGTCTTTCTACAGACAGATCTGGTAAGCCAAAGCTCCAAACGGTGGCATCGTGTCCCGACCGATGAGAGAACACGCGTGCAGCAGGGTGGCGACCTACAGAGTCATATTTGAAGAAAGCCAAGGTAGCTAACCAAACTGCCGAGTTGAGACGTAAAAGAAGCTCTCGCAGTGACCCGAGGACGTGGGGGTCTCGGTCCGCAAAACGTGGACTTCTTTCCTCGCACAAGTTGGGCCTTTGAAGGGGGTCGAGATGCCGTACACGATGGCAGAAAGCGAGGGACTCCTGGAGGAGGTGACAGCACAAGCAAGAGCAGAAGGAGGTTGTCCTTGTCGCACAGTTACCCTGAGAGGAGTGGAGCGGAAGTCGTGATATGATTCGAGTCGAGCTCGAGGAAGAAGCTGAACTTGGTGACAGCCAGCGAGACGCCTCGAGAAGACGTTGAAGAGCGTGTCGAGGCAAGACGGGCACGGTTCTGCCACCGGGCCGGCGCGCGTACCGGTCGCGTCGAGTCGGTTCGTGAGCTCGGAAAACTCGGCGCTGCTCGCTGTGCAATCGCTGACTGGGTGAGTCCGAGGGAGCTGGAGAGTCCCCGGGATGCCGTGCAATAAGCTTTAAAGTCCAAAAAGGGGGAACGCTGACGCGGGTCGTAGGCTCTTTGCTGGAGAGAGATGGCAAAGGTGTCGAGGACTGGACATTGGAGAGAAGAGGGGGACTCGATGGCGGCCGAGAAGCTCTGGCCTACGCCTGCGACTCGAGGCAGGAGCGCATCTGATCGCATCTGATGGACTTTCAGGCTCTGCAGGAAGGCTCGATGGCAGGGGAGACAGCTTGTCGAGGAAATACAGAATGCGTCCCTTGCTCCTTGCCGTTGTCCATGGCTGCCTCTGCAGAGCCTCCTCCAGAGCCTCCTCCAGAGCCTCCTCCAGAGCCTCCTCAAGTCAGCTTGAGGGTAGTTATGGGGACACGAGTTTACGCGGTAAGCCCCCGAGTGCGGCTCACAGGTCTGTTGAAGGAAGCGCCAACGTGAGAGTGAAGCATGGCGGGCTTGTGCGGGTGAGCGCATCATTCGAACATCGAGCGCCAACGTGAGAGTAAAGCATAGCGGACTTGTGCGGGAGAGCACATCATTCAAACATGGCTCCCCTTATCCCATTAGGCAAGTCCAAGTCGGTTGCAGAGAAGAGAATACGCTCGCGGCACAGGCCAGGTTTGAAACCCCTTCCCCCATCAGCACCTGCTTCGCTGTCCATCATCAGGACTGAACCGACTGCCCGCCTATGTACGCAGTAAAAGCTTTCTGTCGCGGCCGTCAGTTCATCGGGAATCATGCGACTCACACAGGCTTTGGCGCCAGCTTACCGCGTTCCTTGTCTGGATAAAGATGGTGCCCGGGCCCGTGAATTTGCACACCAGGCCTTCTCCCGACGCCAAGTTGGAGATGATGCCGCCCGAGGCCACTCTTTCCAGCACGTACTTGGTGTTCCAGGCCACCAGGTGGCCGTTGTCGACAATGTACTTTTCTCCCTCGATGAGCTGTGTTGCCGTGTTAGCCATCGTGCGCCGCCGCGACTGGGTCCGCGGAGGAATCTCACGTCTTTCCTGACGATGGCACCGAAGCTGGTGACCCACATGATGCCCGTCCCGCTCATCTTGTAAACCCAGAGACCCTCGCCGCTGAAGAGGGCCTTGCCCAGGCCCTGACGCTTGTGGTCCTTGACGACGCCCTGGGTGGAGGCCAGGTAGGCGTCGTGCCCGACAGACCAGGCCTCGTTGCCCGACAGCCTGATGCTCGTGATGTCGCCGAGCATTGGCGGCGCGAGGAGCAGCTCGCCAGGCCCGATGTACTTTGACGTGCTGACGTCGGCACCGGAGATGACTTTTTTGACGCTGAACTTGAGCTGACCCTTGAGGGTGATGGACGGGGACATGGCAATCATGGCTCCTGCAACGTCGTCAGCCGCTGCTGCCGTTGATCAGAAGCTTGCAAGACGAGGTCTGCGTACCTGGCTTGCCGTCAAAGGGGCAGCCCATGGCGAGCTGGATGGTCAGGATGGTGTTTGTGTCTCGGTGGCTGATGCGGTAGCTGCCGCCGTTGAAGGTGCCGACGTCGTCAACCACGGCCCCGGCGCCGACAAAGTGACCGGCCGGCGGCGCTCCCGAGGCAAGGTTGGCCGGGTTGCTGGTATCCACCTGCTGCTCGTCATGGCTGGCAGCCTTTTCGGGCGGATAAGGGGCATCGGCTTGCGGGAAGGGCGGCGGCGACGTCTCGAGTTGAGGATGCTGCTGCTGCTGCGGCAGATACTGCGGCGGCGGCGCCTGGGACGGCACGGCTTCGGGGGTCACGGCGGCCGGGCGCATGGGCATCAAGACCTGCTGGTGGGCCGGGGGCGAGGTGGGCGGCGAAGCAGGCGGCGGCGGATGATGCTGCGGCTTGGGGTGATGAGGCTGCGGCGACGGCGTGTGCTGGGGAGCCGTGGCAGGCGGCGGGTAGCTGACGGCCATGCCCGGCGAGGCCTGGGGGGCCGGAGGCGGAGGAGGATAGGCCATGGCCGGGGCCGGCGAGGCTTCGGGGGGATGCGGCGGGGGGTAAAAGTGCGACTGGTTCGCGGGGGGGGACGCCGGACCGGGGGCATAGTGAGGCTGCGGCTGCGGGTAATGATGCTGCTGCGGCTGATACTGCTGCGGTTGTTGCCGGGGCTGTTGCTGAGCCGGCGGAGGCGGCGGCGGATACTGCTGGCCGTCTCCTGAAGCCGTGCCGTCGGTCAGTCCCGGGCCAGCACGACGAGACGGGGGTTTGTCTTGGACGAACCTCGGCCTCCCGCGCTCGGCGGAGCTGTCCCACGGGCTGTCAGCAGACACGACTGGCGGAGAGGTGCTCACGAGACACGACGCACGAGGATAAAAGTGCTGCTGCTGCTGGCCAGACATGGTCGCGGCTGCAATCTCCGGCGGCGGCCTGGGGCGTTGGATGTAGGGACGGGGTGACGCGAGCTGCTCGGGAGCTGCCGTGGCTCCTCCAACTGGTGGCGACGAAGCTCCGAGACGCGGGCCGGTCCTCTCTCTCTCTCATCGGCAAGGCAAAACCCCGCAGTTCATCAGCAAGGAGTATCAGTTCCGGGACAGGGGTGTGAGATTTGCTGTCGTTTCTCCACTCTGTCTCTGAGCCTCTCGGTTACACCATCCACACTCGAACAGCTTCATCAAACATGGGCGAGGGCTGCCGGCCATGAAACAGCACATCGAGACCCGACGGCACCGGCTCCCGCCCCCACGGCACGTCGGGGCCAACATGGACCCCGAGACACTGGGCCCCCCGGCTCTACGGTCTTTATAGTCTCGGGCTCTCGGCCGCTGAGCAGCCCGCGGCAAAACAGCTGCGCCGGGGCCACTTACGACGGCCGGTCTGAAACCACCGTCATTTGGGGGCCACGGCACGCTCGAGGCGTGGCGAGCATCCCAGACGCTGGAAGAGCAGGGCATACCGTGCTGTCTGCGTTGATGTACCACGAGGCGAACAGGTCAACGCTCCCCGGGCGTGCTCGCAGTTCCGGCCAGCGTTCAATGACCGTATTAAGCGGGCTTCTAGGATAGGGGCATTTGCGTTCCCTTCGAGGCTATACTCGAGGCTGAATCTCTCGTCACGTCGGTTCCCAGCTCCTTCGCCCGACTTCCGTCTCCTTCGCGTTCGAGCTACGAGCCTCCAAAGAACATGGCCCACAACGGCCTCCCCATGCCCCACGCCACCCGAATCGTACCAAGGCCTCAGTATAACAAGCCAGTATTCCTAGAAGACGTCGGCAGTGGCGAACAACGGGGCTTGACAGACTGGATTTGCATGGCCCTGATGACCTGGAACCGGTGACCCGGACGGATCAAAGGGTCGGCCGGATCTGCGGCTGAATGCGGTGACGTCCTTGGCTCGAGGAGTTGATAATGTTGGCTAGTTGCTGCTGGAACTGCCGACTTGACGAGCACCCCGTTCCTCAGGACTACTTACTCTACATCCATGAACAGCCTCACGGATCTTCCCAAGAAGAACATCAAATCTCCACCAGCGAGGATCCAGGCTCTTCGTCTCCTGGCGAGAACTCGAATGCGCAACCTATCGGTCCATCTGGAGGAGGCCCCTTCTCTCTCCTCATCACCAAAGCTTCTCGTGTTGCGTGACGTCCCAGCCAGACTCTGACGAAGCCCAGAGACGGCGCGACAGTCTCTCGCGGCCCACCCACATGTCCATGGTTAGCCTGCAGGGTTTGCTGTCTGTGTCTCCGTGCAAGAAGGCTGCCTCCATCCGCGCGGCGTCAGCCACTCCACGTGCCCAGCCGTCCGGATCTATTTTAGACAATGTAAAGCTTAGAGCCTGCCTTAGGACGCGGTACACAGGACACAGGCATGACACAGGCAGACACGATAAGTCGACGAACATGCGTGGTGGCGGTCCCATCCTGCTAGTGACGAACGACGGCGCCTGATTAGAGCGAGGACAAATCCGCCCATGTCACAGTAGTTGAAAAGCAAGGCCTGGCTGCAGGTATGTGACGATAGCGTCAAGGGGCTGACCGCCCAGCCGGGTCCGGGACTATCTGCTCTCGACATGACAAGCGAGGCGCCGCCCGATTGCCTGCTGTCTGCCATTGGTTTCACGAGTGTTTGCCCACGCCGCGTCAGCCAAACAACGACGTCCCCTTCTTCCTCCCGCGCGGGCGCCACACGCCCGCAAGACGGGGCAAACACTCGACAGCAAGGGGGGAGGCCGACTGCGGAAGGGTTGAAACTTGCCATGCTGGACAATCGTCCTCTGCTGGCTCCCTACACTGTCGGTCGACTGTTGAAAGGGGGAATTTGTTGAGCAGCCTCGGGCGATTTGCGTGTCTGTGTGTGCCGACTGGCTCAAGCCGGCGGGTCTTATATGCCGGGCACATTGTTTTCTATCCCGTGTTGGCCGACCATCAATCGTGAGGTGACGTGGTAGCCCGAAAATTCGGCACCCTTGGGAAAGATTTGCCTCAGCCCGTGAGATTCCTCGGGGGGACGCGGCGGGTTCATGCTGGCTGCATATCAAGCACGGGCTCACTCGCCAGCCAGATACGATACACCAATGCATGCACCTTTCCGCACCCAAGCCCATTGATTGTCAATGTGTCCCGTCTTCTTTGGCCTATTCCCTCGGAGATGGGCCATGATCGATTCTTGGCCTACTCCTGCTGCCCCTCCCAATCAAGAGACAGCGTTGGTCGTCGTTGGTGTCAATTTAGGACAGGGCAGGAAAAGGCCTCATCGTCGTTATCGACGGCGATGGGGCGCTTCCGGGCCGCCGTCCTGCAATGGTCGGTGTGTTTTATATAAGTAAGATATGCCATATTAGTGCCTCTGTGCATTGCTGTTCTGCGTCTGGCGTTCTGGGGGATCATTTCCAGCTCCTGGCCCTGCTCCCACCCCTTGACCAAATAAGCGGGAAAAGAGACCAAGAACTGAATGATGCCATCTGTGTGCTGGGGTGCAAAACGTGATAAACGACCATGGACAGAGACACAGTCTTCAAGCGCCGTAGAGAGTATCGTATCCGTACAAGCGCATGCATGCAAAGGTGCGTCACAGGCCTGCGAGCTACCGTTTCCGTCTGCCTCATGATTCCACAGAGATGAACCATCGGGCCCAGACACCTGCCACTTACAGCTACTGTGCAAAGTGCACATCAACAAGTCCCCGTGTCAGGGGTGTCTGTTCTGCAGCCGCTGTCGGTCACTGCCCGGCAGCGCCACGGGCAGATGATGTCCGCGGCCGCGGCGCCGGGATTGATGAGCATTGGGGGTGGCTGCAGCAGAGCTCGCCCACGACCTATCAGCCGACTTTATCGATGACACGCCCGGATGGGGGGGAGGAGAAGCACTAAACAGGTAGCGAACCAAGCAAGAAGAAACTTGGGCCGGCTAGCAGGGCCTGTCCGAGGCTGCGCTGGTTGTCCAATAGATCTCGACGCTACGAGTCGGACCATGCCCACGGTTTACACACACCGTCGCCCGGACTTACTGTAAGTTACAGTAGCAGCCGAAGCAGGGCCCTCACCATACCCCCCCCCCCCTTTAACTCCGGGAGGCAGCAGAGACCGGCCAAGCATCGGCCGTCTTTGCTGCTATGGGAAGCCAGGGGGCCCAGGGCAGAATTTGGGTTTGGGCGGCGAACCGTGAGGAGTAAGGCGGCCGCCCAATCGTACGTTTCCCCTCTCCACGCCCCGAGAGGAGTCAAGTACGGGATGCTGTAGAGAGGAAAGGACGGAGGGCTAGCAAGCTTGGGCTCCCCAGAGAGGCAAGACGGGCTGCCCTGGGCCACTAGAGGAGCAAGCTTGGGATCCGTCGGGTCGGAGAAGACCATGGTAAAGAAGCTCACACCCCTCTCGTTGGAAGAGAGTTGAGGAACAAGGTTCGCGGGGCAGGGCAAGCAGGGCCTCGATGAGCTTTGGGCCGAGCCCCATCAGCGATGTGTTGCATACCGGTATCCTACTCTGCGCATGTACTGTAAAAAGGGTGCCGCATGACAGGAAGCTTGAAAACTCTCGTCAACGCACACAAAGCACAGCTGACCAACCAAAAACCTTGATGACCGGGGAAGAAAAGGGCAACGTCAACCAGGGCTTTCGATTCTGCGTCTGCATCGTCGCGAAACGAACGGAAAAGATGACGAGGGCGAGGAACAAAGTGGCGCGAGCCTTTGCACCGCGCGCCACTTGCTTGGACCAACTACGTTAATTCGCGACAGGATAGGACGGCGGCAAGTGCCGGCCTGTCTTTCTTGTTCATCGCTCGCCATCCGCCGCACCCCTGCCCGCGCGCCATTGTACTCCCTCGCCCGGGATGGGCGGAGGACCGATGAGATGAGGCAGACGAAGGCCGGGGGGACGGGGCGCTACGGTTGGTGGCGATGTGTGCGTGTGGTGTGTGGGAGGAGGAGAGGAGGAGGAGGAGGAGAAGGGGTCGGCAGTTGCTGTCCTCTCGATTGCCCGGTTCAACTGTCACGGGTCGGAGCGAGAGACAAGTCTCGCCCATTTCCGCCTGCGCGTGCGTGCATCTGACTGGATGCAGGGATGGACATCAGTCGATGCCCAGCCTGGAGGGCTGGCCGTCGAATCAGGGGGGCACGAGGCGCCCAGGAAATGCCCCTTCTCGAAACAGTCAGCCCTGTCCTCGCCCTCGCCCGTGTGGACACTTGCAGCAATGCTGCGTTTCCACCGACGGAGCAAGTCTCGCGCCCCTTTGCGGCCGGCCATGGGAGGGTGGCGCGGTGCCCGTCATCATACGACATGGCGATGTGATGTGTGCAGATTCGGGGCCCCCTGGGCCGTTACACGCGGCAAGGCCCCTGGCCGCCCATCTCAAGGAGACATTGGTCAACCATCGTCCGGCTGGTGAGTCTGTGCAGTCTTGCACGCTCGGCACTCGCACGCCCCAGCGCCCGCAATACTGCACAGGGCAAAAGCAAAGGCCAGGGCAAAGCAAAGGCCAGGTGCCTCTCTCTGCGCCGGCACGCCCCAAGCGCATGCGCCGCGGAGGTGCAGCATCACGAACTGTTTGTTCTGGAAGGGCAAAAAGGGGGGACCGCCGATGACGGGTAAGCGCCAGGGAACGGGGCTGAGTCTCGGGGTGATTTTGGGGCAGAGGGCAAGCAAGGGGAGGAGGATCCTGTGAGCCTGTATACACCCCTACTCCCCTCCTCCCTCCTCCCCTCCTCCTCTCGGCGTCCAGCGCGGGCAAAAGGACTGCGGCTCCATTCCCGTGGGCTCGACTCTGCGATATGCGGACGGCGACGAGGTCGGACGAGCAGCCGCCCAAGGAGGAGCGTGATGGGAGCGTGATGGGAGCGTGATGCAGCGCTAGCTGGAACAGGACCTTCCAGCTACGGTAGATGCCTAGAATAGCTGCCGATGGTGTCTTTGTTAGTGGTGCCCGACATGTCTCTGCATCAAGATGGCGTGTACAAGTTGCACATGTCTCCGAGGACATATGTTGCGACATGTTGCGACATGTGCACCGGTACGTCGACTTCATGGTGGACACGATCCTCTCTGCCCTCCCTTCCGTCGTGCTGGATCCGCGAGCGTGGGACGCAGCATCGACGGGCCTCTCCCGTTGGTCCCAGCATCTGCATATTCACAGGCCTCTCCGACGACGAGAGCCTGCAGGTTCCTTGCTCCTTGCATCTACAAAGTACTGTGCCTTGCCTCATGTATGATGGATCTACTGTATCTACCTACGTGTCTACTATCCATGCCCTCGTGCAACAGAAACAGCTGCAGCTTGTTACAGTACATATGTATATCATCACCGAGGCCCATCCTCTCGCGTCCATGGATGGGTTGCCCCCCCGGAGCCCGCCGCCGTGTAATCGGTACGGCGCGGGGAAGGGGAAAGGGGGCCGACCAAGGAAAAGGGACGAAGGAGCAGATCCGTGCGTACCAAGACCCACGATCCAGGACCTGGCCCAGTGAGCGGCCAATCAGGACGAGGGCGGGCGGCCGAAACTGCCCGGGCGAGTGATGCCGTGCCTCGAGAGCAAGCGAGAGTGCAAAAGCTTGCGTGCGGCAAAGTGACGGATCGGCATGTGGGAGAGCGGCGGGCCTCACGTCTGTGCCAAAGGGCTTCCAAGTTCGCCCTCTTCCCTGCCTCGATCCGTCTGCTCCCAGAGAGAATCCGTTTAACCCCGGTCGACGGCCATTCAATGCTCCACTCGCACATTGCACCCCCGTCGAGACCACTGTCTCTCCGACTGGCGGCGCCGGTCAAGCAGGCGAGTGCCAAAGGTGCCATAGTGCAGTTTTCCTGTTCTTTTTATACATACAGTATCTGTGCCAAAGGGCTTCCAAGTTCGCCCTCTTCCCTGCCTCGATCCGTCTGCTCCCAGAGAGAATCCGTTTAACCCCGGTCGACGGCCATTCAATGCTCCACTCGCACATTGCACCCCCGTCGAGACCACTGTCTCTCCGACTGGCGGCGCCGGTCAAGCAGGCGAGTGCCAAAGGTGCCATAGTGCAGTTTTCCTGTTCTTTTTATACATACAGTACAGTACAGGGGGCCGGCCGGCCGCAGACATGCTGCTCTCTCGCGGGCACTTCAAGACGCCGCCGTCTTTCTTTGCCCAGAGCAGAGATTGGATGACAGCTGGGCCGGCCGGTTCCGCTCTGGCAGCGGGTATCCCTAGGAGCCTCCACAGCTCGTGGAGTAACGGACCAGGATCCTCTCTCCCTGCCGGACGAGTGAGCAGATGAAAGTTCATGGTGTATATCCGTACTTGACAGCATGCACGTAAGGGACCTTGTTGGTATGTATGTACTAGGCATGTTGGCAGGCAAGGCATCAAAGGCCGGTCTGTTTGTTGCCGCTACAACTCAGCAGTGTGCACCACCATCGGGGAGCGGAGGACCCTTTTCCTTCGTCTTGGACAGTAAGAAGTCGCACGAGTCATGGGGCTCCGTGAGTCTATAAAGCACCCATCCAGTTATAGCAACAGGGCTTTCGTAGATGCCTCGGCAAGTACTGCACAGCAGGGACCCAGCCATCAGGTCCGCAGCAAGGAATCCGTCACCAGCGAACAGACGCACCGCCAACCCGGAACACGGTCCGCGAGAAGAGGCGCTTTGTGCGGTAGGAGCCTCAAGGACGCTAAATTGGACCGTCAGCCATGCCCGAGGAGAAGCACGACAAGCAAAAGCACGCCAGTGGAAAAAGAAAGCATCGAATTTGCCGAGCAAAAGTCGACGCCGGGTGCGGTGCGGCGGGCGTGCGAGTCTGCAGGAGAGAGAGGGGGGGGGGCGGCGGCGGCGACACACGGATGAGGAGGGCGAGGGCGAGAGAGCCCCGGGGGGCCTCGCATGTCTTTTTACTTTTACTTCTCTTCTTTCCCTTCTTCGTACATGGCCAATAACTTGGACCTGATGCTGTAACTCTCCTCTCTCCTCCATCGTCCGCGAAGCCCCCGCCACGGCCGCCTCGCACGGTGCCGCCGTCGTGGAGCGCCGGCTGGCTGGTTGGGTGCATGATTGGACGGGGGCATGATTGGACGGGGTCATGATTGGACGGGGTCATGATTGGAAGGGGGCATGGTTGGACGAGCGCGACATGTGCATGGAATGCCCGCCCGCGTCCCACGCCCAGACCTGGGAGCTGCTGGACCCCCCTCGTGGCAGCGGATCGACAGCTGGGGATTGTGCTTGGAGCGAGGAATACAACATTACTTCCCCGCGACGAGCGAGTGTACTGTACACATGCGGGACTGGCGTATTGAGTCAAGAGGAGCAACTGGTTCATAGAACATGTCCCCCGTCCCGGACCGGCGGAGAGGGAGACGCAGACGCAGACGCAGACGCAGACGCAGACGCAGAGACGGTGGATTCTGCCTCTGACCGTGTCTCTGGCCTGTGTCTTGTTCCATGCGGTCAGATCCCGGTCCAGTCGTGGCCAGACATGCATGGGGGACAGACAGGACGAACTGCGCATAACTCGGTCTACTGTATAAAGCATGCATTTCGACGAGCGACCAGCCTCATCGCCCATATACACGCACACCTCGCAGAATAACGCAACCCATCTGCGCTTATGCTTGAATATGCAAGGTATGCGTGTCCCCTACATTAGGAAACCCCAAAAAGGACCCTCGGGCACATGGGCTGCTGCGGCGCTGCTGCACCACCATGTATGTTGCTGCGGCTGTAGAGAGAGAGAGAGAGAGACAGACGCAGCAGCACATGGGAGCGTCCTTGGTTGGGCTCTCTCCTCTTGTGCGAGGAGCTCTCGGTAATGTGCTCGGCTTCCCACCTCGGCCCCAACGTCTCGTCTCGTCTCCCCCCGTCATCGAGCAACTGACTGATGGGGCCCATGCAGCAAGCACCGGCCAACAACCATCGGCCAAAGGGAACCAAAGAGGAGGCGCCCTCAGCTGTGAACCTTAAGACGGCCCCATCTCCTCACCTCACCTCGCCCACGACCATCACTCACCACTCGCTCGCCTATCCACCATCCCTGGCAACGTTGCCTGGCCCGCTCTCCCCACCCCCCCCGGCTTCCTAGCACCCAGGCGGTTCCGAGTCGGCGGCCTGCGCTAGCCGCAGCTCCTTGCTCCCGGTAGGCAAACTAGGCCCTTTGAGCCTAGTGCCGTGGATGCCCTCATATCACTAGCGCTCGTCGATCGCCTCGTCGTGTCTCGTCCGCTCTCCTCCTCGTCCTCTTTCTGCTCCTCTTCACGACGCAGGTGATACTCGGGTTCCTCACTCACCATTCTTCTCCACCCCCTTCCTTTCCGGAAAGGAAAGAGGAGAACAGGGCGGCTGGACCCTTGTTGTCGAAAACCCTCATCGCCGCCGCCGCGACCGAGCTGGCCACGTCCCTTTCCCCTCTTTCGTGTCGAGGGCCAGCCCGTCCATCTGTCCCGGGGGGCCGCCATGGACCAGCGGCGCAGTGCCTCTCGTCGGACCCGGCACGGAAGCTGAGCTCCGTACACCCTTCGTACTCGGCAGCGCCGCACCACCTGGACGGCCGCCGAGCAATCAGCTCTCGCATGAACGGCACGCCATGGATGGCAGCCGTCCATGGCACCGCGAGCCACCGCCCGTGCAGCAGACATGCGCGGCTCTCTTCGACGATGCAGCCCCCGCGTTTCCCTTGCCTCTGACTTCCAACGGGCTGCCGCCGCCGTCGCTCGCGACAAAGTTGGATTCCGCGTCCTCGAAATGGCCCCTCCGGCAGCGTCGTCGACATCACCAACACCACCATTCGCCTCAACAAAAAGAACTATTCCCGCCCCACACTCGCAATGCTCACGATTGTCCCACCTCCCCCGCCTCCATTTCCACCACCCAGCAGCCCATGGAGTCGCTCGTCGGCAAGTTGCGCCAGCAGACACTGGAAACGCAAGAGGAAGACTGTTCGACCGATTGGAAGGCATCGGTGCCTGTTGCTCAAGACCGGATGACGGAGCTCGTGCAGGAGCCGTTCGGCATGGCCATGAATATCGATCCGGACCAGGGCGGGAGCGCCGAGACCACCAAGACGCTGCCTCGCAGCCTCGACATGATGCGCATGCACCGAAAGTTTTCCCGCCGCGATTATCTGCGCGCGCCGCGCCCCGGCAGCGTTGCGGCCAGCTCGATGCAACTTGTTCAACCGCCGACCATGGCGCCCCCTATCGAGGATTCCGCGACAGCGAAACCACACCCCGTTTTCGAGCGCAACCTCCCCACCATGGCCGTTGAGCCGGTCGTGGACATGAGCTTTCTCGAGCTGGAAGCCGACGAAGGCTACTGCGAGGGCGCCGACGACATGTCCTGGCTCGCCGACAGCGCCAGCATGAATGGGATGTCTCGCGCCGTTCGGAGCAACAGCCTCTTGAAGTTCAGGACGTCGACCGAGGCGGCGCTTCAATGTTCCCTGGTCGTCCGCAAAAATCCAAGAATGCGGAGAAGAAGACAAAAGAAGTTGGAAACGAGATTAAAAACCACTGATGCATTAGCGGACAGTTCGAGAGGGCCTTAGACCCACGACGGCTAGCTGCCTTGACGAATCGTTTTCTCTCCCTTTTAATACGTTTTCCCATGCAACAGCGTTGCTATTCTGTTGAACCTGGCTGCTCTGAACGGAACAAAAGCTGTATGTGACGGCCACGACGGGCGTCATCTGGACCTTGATGCGTCGAGCGACGGGACCGCTCTTGACTTTGGACAGGCCACGAATCTTGACGTGACAACTTTTTTTTCTGCACTTTGGTTTCTCTCCTTTGTGGCTCTCGAAGCCCCCGCACCCCTTTTTGATCCTGAGAAGCTCGAGGGCTTGGTGACAGAAGATGCTTAGAATACCCGGCGTTGTGATTGATTCTTGTAACGCCAATGCCCGGATGACGCACCATCGCGTCGGGCTTGCAACGGGCGTGAGAGTCGGGCCTCGGGCAGAAGCCATCCTTTGTGGTTACGGGATGCCACTACTTGTACAATTCTGCGGTCGACGCTATGGTATGGCCCAAATCGGGGCCAGCGGGGAACTGGTATGTGGCGGCATGACGCTGCGGGGCCTCGGTAGCCCGCGCAGTGGAGAAGGAGCTGCGTGCGACAGGAGATGCGATGGGCCTGGCGGTTCCTCTCAACGAGAGGGGGAGCTTCGCAAGCGCGGCGCCAAGCATCCTGGGACAGACGAGAGGAGAGGGGACGCGGCGATGGCTCGGGGAGGCGCCTGCCCGCACGGTAGTCGGTGTGTTTTGTCCGTCTGATAGAGCAAAAGCCAAGCGCCAACTCAAAATATCGCCAAGCCAAGTGTTTGCACGGCGGCGAGGAAACAAGTGGAAAGCATCGCTCGGCTCCCTTTGGCCAGCAGCTCTTGCGTGACGGTCGGTCGGCGTGAAGACACGGGACGTCGACCTGGATGCCGACTCGCCCCCATTTGTCGTCGACGGCAGCGCCGGTTGAAGACGTGTGTATGAAAAAGCCAGACCGAGAGGAAAGTTGCAGGACGCAGCATCTTGATGCAGGTCCGCCGTTGCGCGAGTTTGCCGTCGACGTTGAAGTTGACGTTGACCTTGCATCGGTAGCATCGGCCAGGGGCCCCTTCCCTCACTGTGCGTCTCACGTGTTCCAGGCTCCAAACCCTCACCTGCGGTATTAGCTATCACTTTTCCCAACACCTTTTCTCTCATGCACACATTTTCTTGCGCTGCTTCGTTGACTCCCAATCTTCTCTCGCCACCGGCCTCCCTGACCGACAGCAGCTATCGTGCGGCTGGACCTCGACTACCGAACCGGTTCCTGCATTGCCGCGTCACCATCGACAATCAGCAGCCCTGTCTCAGACAGCGTCCGGGCCATGTGCTCTGCCCATGACTACGCCCTTTGTCCTCGGCGGATGACGAGCCTGAGCATTGCTCTCGCGCCCGTTGGCTTGGCAATCGACATTCGTCGCTGAAACACGTGGATCCGGCCCGAGCACAATGTCTGCTCTGCGGCCCGTGGAAACCGTCTCATCCTCGCCAGCTCTTTGACCAGCAGACGTCGGCTTTCCCCCCGGACCAGCCCGGCGTCGGCCGCACGCGCAATTGAGCACCCGGACAGGGCTTGTGCGGAGACAGGCTGGGGAACCACGGCGCCGGCTTCCATCCTTGTCCGCTGGGGGCTGCTCGTGAGAAGACCAAGAGGCATGGCTGCTGGTCGACGCATGACACTTGTTCGTCGACGCGAACTCGGGACGCGCGCGCCTGCTGGTGTCCCCGAGCCGGCACCATCCAATGGCCGTCCAATGGCCGCCAAATAGACACCTGCTCGTCGTCGGCCATTGCCCGCCGCTCTCGCACCCAGAGGCCGCAAGGCTCGCCGTATGGCCCTCGCCACCGGCGTACTGGAGCTCTGTCGAGCTAACATGGCGGTTGGGCCATAAGGTTTCGCCAGGCTCTGTCTGGCCTCTTACCCACTCCACCACCCACTCGTCTTCGCCTGTTGCCCTCTGCCCTTCTCTCGTCTTCTCCCTCTATCCACTCACACACACCCTCGCTCGCTCGCACTCTCTCCAAAGGCTAACTCTCCTCGCTCCCACTTCCGCCCCTCCGCTTCGCCGATGAGGCGCAAAGACCTTTCCCGCTTGGGCACAGCGGTTTTTATCTTTTGACAGCGCGGGAGGGCCCCCGTTGTGGGTCGCCACGGCAGAGGGTGATGGGATGAGAGATCGCTCGAGGTTGTCAATGGAATGCGCGCCCAAATCCCCGTGCATTCCTCGGCCCACGCTTGTTCTGTGAAATAACAGAAGCGCTGGTTGCCGTTGCCCGTTGCCATGTAATTATTTCCAATCGTTGCTTGGGCCGCCGTTATATGCCTGCTCAAGCTTTTGTTGCCTCGCCTCCCCCATTTTGCTCCCGTGTGCTTCCTGGATACAACCAACTTCCGACCCGCGTACCCGTGTGGAGTTGATAGCTCGCTCTTCACTTTCATCCGCTCTCCCCAGCTTTCCCAGCTCCCCACATCTCCCTCTCTCGCTCGCTCTCTCCTTCTTACTCTCCACCCTGTGCCTGGCTCCGACTGCTGAACAGTCAATTCCATCTCGACCTCTGGCCAGCTCGACGCTCATCGACCGCATCGTCCTCGCTCTCGTCATCACCAAGCCTCACATGGCCAGAAGGGGCCCGCGCCCCTCTGCCGAGCCGTCCTTATTTACTTGCATCTTAGCCGCCCGGAGTCCCAACGAGAGCATACGAACGCCGCCAACTTGTACGATACGCCGGCATGGCCTTCTGGACAATGCCCTTTCGGGCTGATGCCGTCGAAAACAACAGAGATGGCAGCTTTTACTGGCAGGACATGGAAGGACCTGGTGGCCCCGGCGACATGCCAAGCGACTTCTTTGGCCAGTTTGTCGACTTTGACGGCGAGGCGGCGGCTGCTGCCGATGGCTTTCACGGCGTCGCCACCTCCATAGCGGGACCACCCGACGCCCTCTTCCTCATGGACGACCAGCAGCACCGCGTCTCGGAGAGCACCGCATCTTCGGGCGTGTCGACGTCGGACGAGTTTGACTTTCTCCCCAACAGCTCCCAGATCGGACCTCCGGCCTCGGCCGCCGGCCACGAGATCGATCCGAGGGAGCTAGCCCTCGGCCGCGAGCCTCACGCCCTCTCGCAGCAGCTCGAGTATCCCGGCCGCGCCTCTGTGTCCGAGACGGACCTGTCGCGCCTCGAGGGCATCTCCATCCACTCGCCCCAGAAAAACGGCACCTCGACCTCTGACCCGTCCTCGCCGACGCCGCCCTGCACGGCCGCCCGCAGCAAGTCCAACAAGTTTGTCGAGGCGCTGTCGTCGACCATTCGCAAGGCCACTACCATGCGCAAGTCGAGGAAGCCGCTTCCGGAGCAGAGGGCCGGCTCGCCGACGCTGGACGAGCAGCAGCCGCGGGCGCTCAAGCCCCCGAAGCAACGACGGGGCCGGCCTCGCATCGTCACGCATGGCAACGTGCCCCAGTCGCCCCCCGTCCAGCAGCAGCAGCAAGATGCGGCCGGCCACCCTCATTTCATCCACAGCTTCTGCGATGACCCCTTCAACGAGGGCCAGCTTCATCCCCCGCCTCCCCTGAGCGCGTCCTCGGTGCCGTACTATGGCCAGGCCGGCATCGACACCCCCATCGAGTCCCCCGGCGTCAAGAGCGAGCCGGGACAGTTCCCATCTGGCATCTCCAGCGCCGCGGGGCTCTCCCCGTGGCAGCATCAGCAACAACAGCAACAACAGCAAGCACAGCATCCGCATCCGCATCCGCACCCGCACCCGCATCAGCACCAGCAGCAACCGCCGGAGCAAGAACAGGCCCTGCTAGCCGCACGGTGGGCCAGCGCTGGTGGCGAGTACGTCACCAGCCAGGAGCAGAGCTGGTGGGATCTCGGCATGTTTCCCCAGGGTAGCGGCGGAGGAGGAGGAGGAGGCGGCGGCGGCGGCGAGTTTGCCAACCACCACCGCAGCGTCAACCTGGCCAGCCACGCGCAGCACTCGGGATTGCCGTACGAATACGCGCCCATGCCCGACACCAGCGCGGCGGGGCTTATGATCCATATGCCACAGCCCCGACCGTCGCAGCCGACCGTCGTCAACGACCTGACTGTCAACGCGCAGACCTATCTCCCGCCGCCGCCGCCACCGCCGGCGGCCCCACCCAAGGGGTCGACGTCGGAGCGGCCGCATCGCCCGCCGAGAGCCAAGTCGTCGGGCGCGCGGCACATGTCGTGTTCGCCCGTGCGCAAGCAGCGCGGACCCTCGGCGTCGCCCAACCCGGGGCAGCAGCCGGCGCAGCCCCGGTCGCGCCACAGCTCGGGCGCCTCCGTCTCGTCGGTCCGCAGCGCCTCGGGCCGGCTCCCAGCAAGCATGCCCGGCACACCGTGCAGCGTCCGCAAGCGACGGTCGCGCGACGTCAGCTCCGGCGGCGGGTCCCTGAGCGGCGAGAGCGGCGGCGGCGGCGGCGGTCTGGGTGGCGGTCTGGGCGGCGGCTTCGTCAACTTTACGCCCAACGACGGCTCCTTGCTCATGACGGGCGTGGCGCCGAGCGGCAGCTCCAAGACCAAGGCCCGGCGCGAAAAGGAAGCGCAGGAGAGGCGCAGGCGGCTCAGCGAGGCAGCGCTCAAGGCCGTGGCCGCGGCCGGCGGAGACGTGGACAAGCTGCTCGAGCAGGGGTTCGCCTTTTAGGCCGGCGGGCCTGGCAAGACGACGGCGAAGACGGCGCTCGAGAGATGTGTTTCCAGGGCGTTTTGGGGGAAAGTGACAGCATCATGGTCGGTCCACCCAGGGGCTACACAAAACAAGGGTCGGCGACACGCGCAACAGCCAACACTGGACTCGTTGTCATTTCCTTTCAATCTTCTTCTTCCCCTCCTTCTTCCCCTTCCCGCCTCTTCTTTCTTTTGTCGGCCTCCTCCCTCCTTTCTCTTTTCCTTTTTTCGTCTCCTCGGGCACTCTTCCGCTACGTGAAGCTCGAGTGGGGTTCTTGTGTTGTCATCGTCTCTGTCTAACGCTAGGCGAATGTACTTTTTCTGTTCTTCTCCCCATCCTTTCCGATGGAAAGGACCCTAATACGTGTGTACATCTATATTATATCACTACCATTTGCTGCTACCGGCGCGGGAGAGGGCAAGTGTGGGAGAATGGGCTGGTTTGCCTGGCCTCGGCGTGCTCTACGCCCAAGGCGTCTCGGGATTGTAGGTTTAGGATGCAAGGGGTGGGAAGAGGGGAGGAGGCGAGGAGGAATGGGATACAGGATAAAAAATAAAAATAAAAATAAAGAAATCAAATCTCAATGATTCCACGACAGCTAATGCGTGGCGGCGTCGAGGCGAATAGCTCTTGGCCCCTGGGCAGGCAGCTTCCGTGGCCATAGCGCCGGCCCCCCCTGGCTCCTCTGGTCCGGTGGCGAGCTCCCGACGAATTGGGCCTCGACGCCCTGCCTAGTCTTCCCGGCTCCGCCAACTGTTGCTGATCCTTGCCTCTCCTTCCCCTCAGGCGGGAGGAAGCTTTGCCGTGTCCAGGATTTTCCACCGCTTCTCTTGGCTTCCGTTGACTTTGCAGGGTGGGAAAGTGGGGCCGCTTGCCCGGAGCCGGATTCGGAGGCCTTCGGTGTCTCGAACTGCCGGGGGCGACGACGCATCGGGGTTGGGACGTTGATTGTCATTGCTACCGCGACTCTTATCCCCTTCTGACCTACCCCCAGCTTCTATTTCTTCGTCTGATTTGTAATGCGCGGTTTCTAATCACGCCCGAGGCGAAGACACACGCCCCTTTTCTTTTACTAATAATCCTGATTTGGGTGGCTTAGGCTCAGGCTTTCCATCCGCACGCTTGCCCCCCTCCCCCAGTTATTCATCTCTCTCAGGTCTGCGTCGGCTTCCCCGCAAACCCTCTTGTGCGATTTGGTGCTCTGCTCGGGCCAGGTTCGGGGCGCGGTGCCTCGTTCGGGCGCCCCCCTTTCGTGTCTGCGCTGTAGCCGCTCGCCACCACCACCAGTCATCGCGCCTATGCCTTTCTAGAGAGCTTTTGGGGGCTCCGGCCGACTCGGCCCAAGAAGTGCGACAATAGTAGTCGAATGGGGGAGGTTTCCTGAGCGGCAATGCCGCGCTCATGGCATAGTATTACCACAAGCGGCCGGGCAACCAGGTCAGGTCTCGGCACACTGGCCGGTCCGGGCCGATATCGTGGGGCTTCTCCGACTGCCGTGTGGTGATGGGCAAGGCAGGTGCGCCCGGTTGCTGTAGTTGCTGTAAAAGAAAGTCCCGTGAACCCGCACATATATGGGAATGTGCTGGCGGGGGACGGTGGCACCGATGTATACCGTGAATGGACGCGTGAAGCTGTCGGGAAGATTTGCAGAGCTGAATCGCGTACCGTGGTGTCGAGCCTCGGTCGAGGCCGACGAAGAGTCTATCGCCCAGGAGCTCGCCCGCCTGTTGTCGATCGGTATGCCGGGGAGCAGTGCTCGACGAGGGGTTTGGGGGAAGCCTCGCCACGTAGCTAGCCACGCCCACAACAGGTCAGACACGAACGAGCAAGCACATGTTCCACCCATCGAGGGAAAAGACAGAGACTGGAGAGAGGTGAAGAAGCCGCGACTTACTGAGGGCACATGATCTCGTGCCAGCGCCCCAGTCCCGGATTCGCCGCGATCGAGGCGAGTTGGCGTCCTTGTTTGTGCGGACCCCGCTGCGGGAGCAGACACCGGCCACAATGCTAGTTCGAGTCCGCCATTTTCGAGAGCCGTGGACAGCCGCGACAGCACCGGCGACGGATCGTGCGTGTATGTGTGTGCCTGTGTCTGTATCGATGCCGTGTTCAGTGCGTCGCCGGAGGGGGGCTGTATGGGCAAGGGAACCGGCAGAGCAGATACGTGCATGCGCGCATGTGTGTCTGTATCTGTATGCCGCGTTTGAAGTATTGCGGGAGAAAGGTACGGTGAGGACAAAGGGAAAAGGGGGAGTGCTTTGAAGGAGTGGGTGGGGAGGAGAGTGTAAGTGAGGAGGGAGGCCGGCTTTTATGCTCTTCGGCCTCGATATCTGGCGACCACCGGGCCGCACAGATACAGCATACAGACTGTAGGCCAGACGAGAGGGTGGCACAACGACTTTCGAGACCCAGAAGACCGCAATGGCTGCCGTGTTGGCAGACGTAAGATGGGGACCCAGGGGCTCAGCCGTGGTACGCGCGGCTCGGGTCCAGCTGTCTTCAGGGACGGGCGGCGTCCATGAACAGGGGCAGGTCGCTGAGTAGGTGCATCCCGACGCGGCGGCCCGATGCTTCCACCTCGCCCCGTGGAACTCGTCGGGTCGGGTGAACGATATAAGGAAATGCCTGGTTAAACGCTTGCCGGGCGCGGTAGGCAAGGACTGGCGCCACTAACCGAGTTGCCTGGATGCTGCCGATGCGGACTTGGCTGTGTAAGATGGCAAGCAGGTCGCCGGGCCCGTAGTACACGAGAACTTGTTCGACATGCATCTCGGGACTCGTCGAAATGCCTTATAGAGGCCCGTGTATGAGAGGACTATTTTGCTGCCCGAGAAGTTGCTATAACTCCAACAAGGACCACTCGCAAGCCGACTCAGTACCTTGCTCTCGCGGCATCTTGTCCCAATCACTACATGCTACCCGCTCGGCCTCGTAGCAAGTCAGGATATGTACACGGGAAGTCTGCTGGAGGCGACGGGTCCTCAGTCGGGGCCGGTTGAAGCTGCACGTCGAAGTGAAAGGATGAGTGTTCCTTCCGTGTGGAACCTACGCCCGCTTAGACACAGCACCCATCCGTGACTTTGTTGAGTTACCGACTGTTCCGACAACGGCGTGTATCGTGACGGCTTGCTGCAGCAACTCGGGAGTATCAGGCGCCACGACAACCCGCAACACGGTCGAAGCGAGCGGGTTGAAACGCAGAGCATAACTCACGGGGATGGTAGCAGCGAAAAGCAGAGACGGCAGCTCAAGGGATTGCAAGCCCAAGACACAAACACGAAGCCGTGCCAGAAGAACCGCCAAGCAAAAAGCGAACTTTGGCAGATTTACTCAAAAAGAAGTCCGACAGCGACAGGATTCGAACCTGCGAGGCCGAAACCATGAGATATTGAGCATAACAGAAGCTGGACTAGGCCCACCTTCCGTTCCAGTTCAAGTCTCACCTATTAACCACTCTAGCACGCTGTCTAGCAAGGAGGGGTTTTAAAAAGGTATATAGATGGTAGACCGCAGGAGTGGTGCGCCCCACGATTTTGTAAGGCGTCGTAGCTTTGCCAGATGACAACCCCACATGCTAGCCATAATAATCAAGCTCGCGGATGTGTGTATAATCGAAAACAGGCCCAGGATCATGCTGTGCCCCGCGGCTTTCCAACAAGCAGGCATGGCGGTTGAATCTGGTAGACACGACGTGGGCAGTTTGGAGCAGTCGCCGCCGTTCCATCGACGTTAATGGGCGATATGGCTGCCGCTGATCTGACATGCATTTCCCCGCAGACAATCAGCGGCTGCGTCCCGTGTAGCATGATGACTCTAGCACGCAACGTAGCTGTATTAAGCTTTGAACGTCTCCATACCTATCCAGCGTTACAGCAAGCACTGGGAGCTGCTCTCGCACCGACTAATTCTTGTCTTTCCGCCTCTCAGTCTACGCCATGGGCTCGGTGTTTCGGAGCACTCTGCCAGGCAGTCTTTGTTTACAGCGAGCCAAACCTCGACGCGGCGGAGCACACCTGTTCGAGGACGATTCCGCGGGGACAATCCCGGTTGACGGTCACGTACACACGAGAAGTGGTGCAAAGTGCTGGTGGCGTGCCTAAAATCCGGTCAGAAACATGGGAATTGGTCAAGTGCCGCCGGTGTTGACGACTGGCGGCCAACGACCTACTGCAGCCGCTATCGTCGTGATAACACTATGCTCTGCCTCACAGCAGTTTTTTTTCTACGGTACAAAATCCCATCAATATATATACTTGACTTGGAAAAAGCCAGAGGCGGCCCAGCCGGCCCCGGCCCACGCCCCAACAAGTCCAAACCAAACAAGCTTCCCCTTGATGGCAGGCGTCCCGGCACATCTGTCTAATCATCATCATCATCAGAGTCCCAGTCAGAGTCGGAATCCGAGTCGGAATCGGAATCCCAGTCCGGGTCGGACGCCTCTCTCTTGTCCTCGCCCTCCTCCTTCTCCTTCCTCTTCTTCTTGTCCGGCTCCTCCGGGCGCCACGACGGCGAGGCAAAGGTGCCGTTGCCAAACAGGGCCGGGCGCGCGGCCTTGCTCCGGAGCAGGAACCGCGAGCTGTGGCCAATGGACTTGATGACGACGATGCGCAGGCTGACGGTGCCGTTGGTCAGGTAGCTCCAGTCGGGCAGGTCGACGAAGCGGCCGGGGAAGCCCGTCAGGTCCTCGCCGGTGCGGGCCAGCGAGTTGACGTAGCGGTACCACACCAGGCTGCGGCTGCGGCGGGCGTGGCCGCCCTGGATGCGCGCCATGCACGTCTGGTCGCCGTGGTTCTTGACGTCGCGGTAGCCGACGATGGACACGACGTCGCGCGTGGCGTACTGGCGGAAGTAGTGCTGGGCCGACTGCTTGTCGATGCCGCCGCGCGTGTGCGGCAGGCGCTCGAAGCCGTAGGGCCAGGCGTCGTAGCGCTGGCAGGCCGCCTTGGACGGCAGCGCGTGGCCGGCGAGGCGCGGGCGGTCGGCGGTGAAGTAGGCGTACTTGGACTCGCTGGCGTGGATGTAGCGCACGTACAGGTGCGGCGGCGGGTCGCGCCCCACGGCCGCGTAGCGCTGCACCAGCTGCGCGCCCGCGCTGTGGCCCGTCAGCGTCACGTTGGTCAGGTGCGGGTAGATGCGCCGGTCGGCGAGGTGCGCCAGCAGGCCGTCGAGCGCGTCAAAGGCCGTCAGCCGCGTGCCCGGCGGGTGCGCCGCCTGCGCGCCGCCCTGCCACCCCTCGAGCTCCTTGCCGCACCACGCCAGCTCGCGCCGCCGGTACTGGCCGGGCGTCTGGACCGCCGAGAAGAAGAGCGGCGCCAGCACCAGCGACGCCGCCCCCGCCTCGGCCCCGGCCCCCGGGAACCCGCGCTGCCGCGCCCGCTCGATGCCGCGCCTCATGCGCTCCCAGTACCGCGCCGCGTCGCGGTCCTTGCCGTGCACGATGATGTACGCGTGCCGCGTCTGCCGGCTGGCCCGCCCCGTGCTGCGGTACACGCCGAGCGCCTCGGCCCGCGGCCCGTGCCCGATGCGCAGCGACACGAACTCGGACCCGGGGAAGGCCTCGCGCGGGCCCGTGTACTAGATGGAGGGAACATGCAATCAGCAATCAGCAATCAGCAATCCAACCAACCAGCCGAATCGAGGTACCTTGTCCGTGGGGTTCTGGCCCTCGGCCATCCGGCACACGAGGCCCGGCTCCTCGACCTCGGCATCCCACCCACTGAGCTGCGCCTTTGCATCCCGGCCCAGTCCCAGCGCGCTGGCCAGTCCCGCCACGACGGCCGCGAGTACGACCGGCCGCAGACTGCACAGCTTGCGCAGCGTCATGGACCCGTCGATCTAGTAGGTCAAGGAGTGTATAAAAGGAACAATCAACTCCGGCAATGGGGAGTGCGAGCAAGAGGGGGCAGAGGAGAGCCTGGATAAGGCAATGCGGAACTGGCGCGGCCCGGTGTCCGGTTTATAGCCAACTTTCAAGAACCGCCTCGGCCGTCTGTCGTCTTCCATCAAGGGAGTTTCTGGCTTCCCGATCCTTCCAGGCTTCGAACGACAAAGGGGCTTTCCCCGGCGTCGGGCCAGGCCTCGTCAATGAGACAGACTGGTCCCTAGGGATAAGGGCAAGACACACAAGGCAATGACGGATTCGCGCCTCGACGGCTCCATTGGCATCATGTCTGGCATCGGAAAACCCGTTGTCAGATTCCCCTCCAGGGTCTCTCGGGCCCGCGTCGTGGGCAGCCGTCTTGGCTGAATCCCCCTCTGGCCTTGATTTTTTTCTTCCTCTTTCAGCTTTCCTTCTCGACTCCCGCTCATTCTTCGCCTTCCGTCACGGGCTTGAGACTCGTGGCACTCGGGAATGACGCTTGACGGCAAAGGGGGCGCGGGAGGCAGACTCGGCCCATACGCATTGTGGTCCATTTCTGACGCATATCCTCTCCTCATCTGCTCTTGCTGCTTCGCCGTGGAAGACACGGTGCATGCAAGACTCTCATGCGGCTCGTCTTCAGCAGGGAGAGAAGAAAGAAGCAACGTCTCGACAACGACCAATATTGGGATCGTCGACGCCCGCGTGCAAGGCAGCAAAGCACGCCGTGTCATGCAAGGGAATTCCAGCGCGATGGAGAAGAAACTCCTTCCAAGGAATAAACTGGCTTGTCTTGTCTACGCGGTAGTGCCTAGCGACGGCAGCATTTCCTTCCGAGACTTGGCCTGTCAGAGCGATCGGCAAGATAGGCCTACGCCTAGCTAGGAGCGACATGGAGGCCTGGATATTAATCCATCGGCCGCTTCCTCTGCCAATCATGGCTTATGCGGAGGACCGGGCTGGCAACGACGAATGCCATTCGCCGCCAGCCAGAGAGGCCTGGCTGACATCCGACTCACGACGCCTTCATCCATGTCCCATCATCCGTCCGTCGTCTCTGAGCCACCACCTCCAGTCAGAGGTGCGGTGTCAGTAGTAGCCGATCGTCCTGCCCTCCGTGACTTGCTGGTCGGCTGGCATGCGCCCCCTCCGCCCGTCTTGGCCGAAAACACACACACACACATTCACACACACACTCACAGCCCTTTGGCCCGTCTCAGCCCCAAACGACATCCATCTCTTGCACCTCATCCAGTCCTAAAGCCACACGACGAGGCCATGCGTCTTGGAGACGCGCAAAGTCGGCATGCCCTAGAGAACAGCAGAGACGCATCGCTCCAGCTCCATCTGCCATTCGGGCCACATCATCCATTCATCGACGCCTTATCCAGCCTACAGGCACATGTGAAGACGGGCTACCTGGTGCATGCGAGGGACGTTGGCAGCCCTGTTTACTGTTTACCCGCTCTCCCCACGTGGCCAGCTCTTCCGCCGCCCTTACGAGAGGCCCAACGACTCCTTGCCTCGACTGCGCCGAGCATGAGCCGTTTTGTCTCATCTACCCTCGAGGCTTGGCATTTGCCACATGGCTGTGCTTAGACCAAGGGCGTCTGTGCCGCTGCCAACGCGTCATCCACCTCCTTCAAGTGGCCCTGAAAGACGTCGTTTCCAGAGCACTCGACGACGCTCCCTCCACTCATCGAGGTTTGATCGATCTTACGTGAACAACATCAGTCAAGCTAACGGCTGCCCCGTCTGCACTGCGAACATGAGCAAATGATTTCATACTTGCGTGGCCGGCAGACTGCTGCCGCCTTCCGGTCCTACTACCTCTTATTCTTGGCTATCCCCATTCTCCTTGATCCAAACGAGACCCGTGTCTTCGCCTCCACGGTCCAAGACACTGCCGTGTGTGCATATTTATATATATATACAAAAGCAAGGAAAGAGAAATCGCACGTAGAGGAGCGTGGAGCCTGATTGGTCTCCAGCGCCACATCCCATCGCAGACGCCATCATGCTTCCATCGCAGATAAATGAAAAGTGCAGCCAGGTGAGGGTCGACGACGGAAAAGTGCGTGACGGGAATGCAGGGTCGTAGATGATAAGTCAGCGACCGGTTGACATCGGCAACGGGTTCACATCTGGCCCAGGAGGAATGGCCCAGGTATTGGTCGTGCTGGACTTGGCCACGACCCGAGGCCGAGCCAAGCCGACGGCAATGCTATCCTTGGTCTTGTGAGAAGGGTGGTGGAAGAAAGGGCCCTCCGGTCCGCGAGAGATGTGGCGATTAGGGATGCCGGTCGTGGCCGGATTAAATGGCACGAGAACCCCTCTTAAATCTCCTCTGTTCTTCAACCGCGTTCGTTCTCTGCCCCGCTCGTCTCTTTATTTAGTCGTAGCCTGCTCCACGTTGCCACGGGCTGCTCTAGCTGTTAGTCACCCGTCGCTCGTTTCCCATCTCGGAATGGACAACCTACCTGGCAGTGTTTTGTGCGCGATACCCGGCCGAGCTCGAGTCATCGTTTGACCGATGCTGCCCGAGCGACGACCCGGAGCGGTTGAAGTTGTTGGGCGAGGCAGACCGGAAAGGGCTCTGGGGCCGTTGACCGCCGGCCGGGAAGAGGGGCATCGACGGGTTGACGGGAGACCGAGGTCCGCTGCTAGCCTGGTGGTAGGAGCCCTGTGAGCCATGCGTGTCTGCGCGTCGGCGAAGATCTTCCGACGAGAGCGACTCGTTGTCGTCGTCGAGGTCCAGGTGCGACTTGTAGCCGCCCTTGTCGCCGCGGGCCGTCGCGGCGAGGGCGTCGAGCTCCGTCGTCGTCGTCAGCTGCGTTTGCGACTTCATGAAGGAGGCGCGGTCATCGGCCATGACCTGGTAGCGGGCATCGGGGTTCTTGCGGAAGAAGGTGATGGTCGTCGACACGATGACCATGATGAGCAGGATCAACGAAAAGGCGGCGTTGAGCACGAAGAGGACGACGCCGACAACGCCGACGACGAGGGGCGGGGCGCCAAAGACGTTGGAGAAGATGAGGAGGAAGATTGCGTTGAGGAAGTTGACGACGCAAATGGCAATGTTGAACGAGTTGGTGCTCTTGTCCATCCACGGCCGCAGGACCGAGGCGGCAATGAGGGCGCCGGCCTCGACAATGACGAACCCAATGGCCTGGGCGACGCTGCTGCGCTGCGAAAAGGCCACAAACATGGCCTTAATGAGGGTGTAGCCGAGGACGGGCGCGATGAAGTAAAAGGCCGAGGCCCGGAACTGGATGTAGAGGAAGCCCCACTTGTTGAGAGCCTGGGGGTCGGAGAAGAGGATGTAGGCCGGGTTGCGGTGCATGGCGACAGAGCGGCGTGCAATGCGGATCACCTTGCTGGCGCCCCAAGCCAGAGTGATGGCCATGCCGAAGAAGAAGAAGACGGCGAGGACAATCTCGGCGGGCGAGTCGTTTTGCGTGAACTCCCACAGGCAGAGAATTGCCATCTGGGGGAAGCCGATGAGGGCAACGCGGAAGAGGATGCCCTTGAGGACAGTGAGCCAGCCATTGCGGAAGTCGAGGAACTTGTCCTTGTCCATCCACTTATTGCGGACAAAGAGCTCGCAGATGCCCTTGAAGGCGGCGACGATGAGCACTGTAAGGACGACAAAGATGCAGAAAAAGGTCAGGCCCGTCATGAAGAGGTTGGTTGTCTCAATCTTGGACCTAAATGCCACGCGCTGTATGCCATAGACAATGTAAGCGCCGGAGCCGGTCGTGATGTTGTTGCGCTTGACGAGGGAGCGGGCGGCATCCACGACGGCAGAGCGGGGCATCATGGCGAGGCCGCGTTTGAAGAGGTTCAGGCTCGTGTCGGCGTAGTCGAGGGAGCGCTTGGCGACCTGGACAGAGACGGTGGTGAGGGAGTCGAAAATGGTGGACGGGGTGCCGCCCGTGGCGCGCTGGTACCAGGTGAAGATATCCTGCATGAAGCCGACACGGATGATGCCCATGGACCACTGAAAGTCCTGGGTCCACGACTGCACAATGGGGGGCAGCTGGACGCTGGTGAGGCCGAGAATGGCCTGGGCCTGGAAGTAGCCGAAGAGGGATAGCGAGTTGGCGGCGACATGGGCGGCCGTGTTGGAGTGGCCTAGGCCGTTGACGACGGCCGAGGAGACGAGGGCGAGGCCGGCAATGATGGCCGTGGCCCACTTGACGCCCAGCAGGTCGACCGTCTTGCCGTTGGAGATGTCGGCCTCGACGCAGGCGACACTCTCGCCCGTCGCTGTCAGGTTGACGTAGACGCGGACCGTGGCGTCGAGATCGGGGATGTTGTAGGCGATTTCGGGAATCTGTTTGGCGGCGCTCTCGCTGATGGGCAGGTTGAAGCCAAAAGGGATCTTGCCCGCGACCATGGGGCATAGGCCGGCGAGATCAATGTTGCAGGGATCGACGGTCAGGCGGAGGAACTGGTAGCCATAGGCGGAAATGGCGAGGTCGAAGAGCACCTTGCCCTGGACCGACGACGTGGCCACCATGTCGATGTTGGCTGAGTTGTTGGCGGGGGTGTAGACGACGTTGAAGAGCGAGGCCGTGAAACTCGAGTCCTGCTGGCAGGTATTGAGCGAGTTGGACATGAGCAGCTTCTCGCCCGACGCCGGCGATGACAGGGCAGCCATCGAGGCGAGGAGGAGAAGCGGCCCTCTGAGGAGCGACCGCATGGTGAGGGATTTCGGGTAGCCCGGAGGCTCGCTAGATCGACTGGGGGAGACGAGACTTTGGTCGAGGCGTCACCGCGTCGTTGGGCGACTTGGAAGCACGGCGGCGTTGAGTCGACCAAATCGAGATGACGCCGCGTTGGCGCTGAGCGAGATGCGACTTGACAGTTCAAGTTTTTCTCAACCTAAAAATGGCCGCCCAAGAATGACGACTGCCTGTGCGGAACGTGCGTGCGTGCGGAGGCGAACAAAGGGTCGATTGCAGCGCTGGAGCCAACCACCTAAATGTGTCGTGTGTCTCCCGGCAAACAGACCAACTCGCGCTGCGTAGACGATGGGGGCGATGTATGGCGAAGCGTCGGTCGGTGGAAGTCCGATTGATTCCTGTCGGGCGTTTGTGCAATCGAAGGGAAATCTGCCAGAGAGAAGAGCCGGGGGGCTTGATTGAATCGAGAAGCGGAGAAAAAGGAAGCGCGAGACGAGACTAAGGGGGAAAGGCACTCGACGGAAAAAAGAGTCGAGGCACGCGAGGGCGAACTATTAGCGAGCGGTGAGGGAGTCGTTGTCGATTGTATCCCTCGGGAGCGTCTGGCGGAGGCGGGTTGTTGTTGATGGGGGATGAGGGAGAATGGATGGAGGAGGAAATGGGAAGGGGGTTGCGTCGGCGTCGCAGCGGCAACAAACAGCAGCAAGCAGGCGGTAGCGAGCGAGTGGGTGAGAGTGGGAGTTGGGGGGAGGGGGTGGGGGAGTAGAGCCTGGGAGGAGGCCACCCGCAGACGGACGCAGCGTGGAAGTGGGCACATGACGATAGGAACCCATCCATCAAGGAACATGCAGATACATGCGCGTGGGTGCAAGAGGAAGGGCCGCGCCCGGTATCACACTGGTACAGTATTATGATGATTAAGGGAACGCGCAGGTTTCTTAGCGCCCAGCCCCCAGCCAGCGAGCCCATTTCTGAGCAGGAAATGAGTACCGCCTGATGGGCGACCTGATAGCGTGTCTTGGAGCGCGCCGAGCGGTGGGCCGCGAGAGGCTGTGCAGTACTTGGAGGTGTGCGCTTCTTTGCACTGGAGAACATGTCCCCGTCTCGGCGCTCGACCGCGGCCCAGCGCACCGTCTCGTATCCGCTCTAACAGTCGGTACTCGACGCATTCCCCAGACACACGCACACCCCCTGACTTGGCCGACGCACCCGGTAAGGCCCGCGAGCGAATTCAGGTCCATGACCTGTTTCTTCGCTTAGACTTTTCTGAGGTTTTCCATCACCATCATGGGCCTGGACTGACGGGACACACGGAGGGCACTCGATCCGTATCCGTCGGCCCACGGCTTTGATTCATCAGCCCACTGTAATGCCCTGCAAGATTGCAGCCAAGCCGGCCGGGATCACCACCGACAGCCCCATTCGGCGGTGCCGGCTGGCCGAGTCGAGATGCCCCGGGTCTGTCTGTACCCTCAAGCAACAGTCAGTCATTGACGGACCCAGGCTGTCCGTTGATGTTTCCACGAGGCATGCATACAGTACCCACGTACTTGGCAAGGTATAGCAGGTGCACTCTCGTCGAAATTAAAAGCACTGCCCCCGGGGCCGCATCTTCAGGCGTCTCAGGCAACGTGGGGGTAACCTTCTGTCTACCTTGGCATCCCATCTCGCGCCGCACCCCCTGGCAGCATGGGCGGCGTCTCCTGTACGTACTCCGTACCGACTACCTACTTTACATACGTACAAGGCTGGATTCGTCATCATTCATTATGCTTGCTGTTATTGTTGCCGGGGCTTCCAAAGGGTAAACGGCACGCAAACCTGTCTCTGTTCTAGGACATTGACAGAATGGCATGTGCACAGCCGCCTCCCAACCGACCATTCTCGCCCAAGGGCCGCTCCGCTCCTCATGCATCTGGCGCTATTGACCACGCTTCCTCGTCTCCCCCAACCCTTCAAAACAAGAGGACATCAAAAGAGGGAAGCCCCGGATGCACTGGAGACATTGCGCACGCGAGACCCGTCCACTTCTTCCTCCATTCAAATATGCTCTAGTCGCGCATTGCCGTACCTCGCAGCAATTCATGCATAGACGTCTTGAAATATGGACCCTAAAAATAAAGCCAAGTGAGATTTTCGGCAATAAACAACAAGCACGTCGACTTGGCACCTCATGTCTCGCTCCTGAACCAGGGTGCCCTTCCGTGTCGCATCTGGGCCCTGCCGTCCTGTCGCTGCTCTGCTGACGCCGCCCGTGCTGACGGGTGCACACAATGGCTTGTCAATGCGACGTCTCATCGTGGATGGTGAAGAGAGACGAGGGCCAAAGTGACGAATCATGGGAATCGTCCGTCCTTCCCGACTACCGTAAGGGCTCGTAATGCCAGGGGTCTACGAGCTCAGGTTTCATGTCCATTAAATTAGACCGTTTATTAATACTTAGGCCGTTCAACCAGGCCAAAGGACAACGCCCCGACAGATATAAGTACCATATATATATATATATATATACATATATCTCCTGATCCTGCCGACACCACAGCATGCCACATGCTGCCAGCAACATTATAAACCACGGCTTCGAGTCTCCAAGCACGCCGGTCTCGCCATCCAAACCCCATCCCAGCGCGTCTGCCCGTCACAGCCGGCCGTCCCCGTCCAGCCAGCAAACGGACCAACCGGTCAAAACACATCCCAGCGCACATTCCACGGCTGGTTGCGCTGCGAATAGTCGACGCCGTGCTTGTAGTTACTCGTCAGCTCCTCCTGGTCCACGCCGCAGTGCGTCTGCCCGTCGCGGCCCTCGAACCAGCCGAGCCCGTACCGCCGCCCGCCGCCGTTCAGTCGCCGCGCCGTCTCCGCCTTGCTCAGCTTGGCCGTCCCCACAAAGTCGTACAGCATCTTGCTCTGGTGGATGTACGCCAGCACCGACGCAATCGTGTTGGGCTGCCGCGGCAGGAACGGGTGCCGCCGCCGCGCAAACACGACGCACCCGGCCCCCGTCATGTACACCAAAATGAACATGGACAGCCCAAACGACAGGTAGAACGACTTGGCCGTCTCCTGGCCCGAGTTGATGGGCCGCGCCGTCCGTCCGTTGCCGCGGCCCAGAAATTCCTGCCCGTCCACCGTGGCCAGGCCCGTCACCAGGATCGTCAACAGCTCGGCCATGACGCTGCCGAGCCCGACCATGACGACGAGCGCGTGTCCGTTGAACAGCGCCCGCAGCGGCAGGTATCCAAAGGGCAACGCCGTGTAGTCGAGCATCAGCGTCCTCGCCGGCGCGTGCCTCCTCGACAGGATGTAAAAGGGCTCCATGACACGCACCGCTGTCTCCATGGCGTTCCACGATAGCTTGAGGCACACGGCCGACGCCGTCAACAGCCACGGCGCCCGGTCCGCCACGACGGCCGCCCCCGTGAACAGAAACGTCGGGATAAAGGCCGTCAGCGCCAGCGACCCGACGACGAACGGTACCCACCCCGCCGGGCGCAGCATCAGCGGGTGCGGGTTCTCGGACAGGTGCGTCTCCTGGTACCGGTCTCGCTCCTGTGAAGACGCAGGATTCTCGTCGTCGGGCGCCAGGGACGAGTTGCGCAGCATGTAGCGGTTATGTTTGAGCCTGAGGTGAATGTCGCTGTGCTTGGCCGTGTCCATGTCTTTAAAGTCCATGAGGATGTGGCTCACCACGGCCATCGAGGCCAGGCCGGCGATGCCTCGCACGTCGGCCAGCAAGCCCGAGCGCCGCGACTGGAGCATGTAGAAGAGGGCAGCGCCGAGGACGGCGCAGATGACCAGCGTCGCCGTCAGTAGCCGGGACCAGATGGCCGAAAGGTGCAGAAACTTCTCCGCGTCGGGGTTGCTCATGCGCTCGCTCCGGCCCGGGCTCATGACAATGCACGCAGCCGCGCACGTCGGCACCACCGAGACGGCCAAGATGGTCGCCACCGACGACAAGGCCACGGCGTAGTGCCGCCGCCCGAGCGCGCGCAAGGGCCGCAGCATGTTGTAGCTGGTGACGTAGTCGACATTGATGGACTCGGCCGCCAGCGCGCCGCCCTCCCTCGACAGCTGGTAAAAGGCCTCGAGCCGGCGTACCTCGAAGTCGGTAAACTGCCACAGCACGCCATACAAGACGGCGCATATCGAGGGCGCGAACTTGACGGCAAAGTACACGGACGGTTCCACATCGTGGGGAGAGTGGAAGCTGGCGATGGCCTTGTTGCGGAACGTGCGGTACAGCAGCTCCTGCATGGCGGCCAGCGCGACGGAGAGGAGGATCAGCATGCTAAGGTAGGGCCACCGCATCGAAAAGGGCTTCCAGTCGGGCTGCGGGTAAAACACCTGCGTCACCTGGCCCTTGGCCGCCAACGACGAACGTCGCGTCTCGGGGCCATAGAGCATGCTGGAGCCCTCCATATTGCTGAGGTCGGCCCCAGCCATGGGCTCCTCGAGAACCACCTCGACGACTTGGCCCCGTCGGTTGGCCTCGCCCTGTCCCGCCTCGCGTATCGTCTCTGCCCGACCGACGGCCTTGACGGACCTGCGCCGGGTGAAGGAGCGGGTCAGGCTCCTCGACGGGACCATGGGGGACGAGAGCAGTTCCGAGTCGCGTAGCCGGAGCCTCGAGTCCCCTGCGAAGCCCTGGCCAAGCCCCCCCGTGAGGGTGCCCTGGGCCTCCTGCTCCTGGAGCTTCTTGATGAAGTCTGCGTCGTGCGAGTCCATGGGCCCCAGTGCCGAGGTGACGTCGAATATGGGCACGGCAGGCTCCTCCTCGGGGATGGCATTGTACCGCGGCTCCTGTCCCAAAGGCGCGGCGGACCGCAGCAACGACAGGTCGTACTCTTCCTCCTCGATGCTGGCAGGGACAGCATTCTGCGGCCGCAACGACGCGCGACTCGACTTGCGCCTGCCCCTCGAGAGCGTCCGAGACGCAAACGACTCGAGGACGGAGCCCCTGACAGGCGCAAACCTTGTCCCGCCGGCGGCCCCGGTATAGGGCGAGGAGCCAGGCCAAGCCGGGCTCGGGTCATAGGAAGAGCCGCCGCCGGACCGGCCCGGGTCTGCCTCGTGGCGAGAGTCTATGGAGATGAGGGACTCTCGGCCGCGCAGGTTCTGTTGCGAGTGCAACGTCGGATCATAGGGGGTGAAGCCGGCATCACTGAGCGCCGATATGTTAGACGGGTAATGTCGCAGCGGGCCACCGTCAAGAGCGTCGGACTGGCGAGACGGCTCTCTGCCCGGCTCGCTAAGGTGGTCCATGGTTCGAGCGGCGGATCATGATCGAGTTTGCTGAAGCGGCTGGGATGCAATGCGAGAGCGACGAGACGGGGCAGCAAAGCATACGCGCCGTTCAAGCGAGGGAATATATATATATATGCGCGCTTGAGGGACTCTTGTCGGAGCATGAGCTCCCAATGTTTGATCTGCCAAGAGCCGGGCGCCATCAATCGTAGGTGTGCGGCAAGCAATCGTGGAGAAATTGTCGGCGGGACAGATGGATGGAACGGGGCCCGCAGTGATAGGGCTGGCAGGCAGGGTATCTGCTCCCGATCCCCCACACCAGATCCTTCCTTCGATGGAGCCGTGACTGACGGACCATTCAGCTGCGATGCGACGGCCTTGATTGGGCTACTGGGCTACCACCTGGGCGTCGGTAGTACATGCAAGGAGGCCGGACAAGCGCAAACATTGGGCGCTTAACAGGGCCGGCTATTCTTGAATGTCTTAGCAAAAAAAATTAGATAGATACCTATGCATCATCCCGAGCGCCAAACATTGGACAATGAATCCATTTCAACAAATACTGCGTGGGCGAGGCACCGCGTGATGCTCCCAATCATGTACAGCAAAGACGCCAGCAGACATATATCCCCTGACTCCGGCACAAACATCCGATGCTGGGCCAGGCAAATCATTCCAGCCGCCCCGGGATTTTCAGCAAACACACCCGCAGCATGACCCCAGACCACAGGGACAGGGATAGAGAAAGAGGACCAGTCTATAGTATCAGGAACATGGCCAGCATCAAGGTCGCGACCGAGGGCCACAATGCGCCGCCAAGGGTCGCCGGGGCCGACGAGACCTTGCCGCAGCAGGTGCGGTTGTAGGTGACGTTGTTGGCTCTGGCGGCCACCTCGAAGACGGAGCCAGGGGGCTGGCCGTAGTTGTAGTAGTCGACGTGGAGGAAGTTGGGGGTGCGGCCCCAGTCGTTGCGGCAGTTGTTGGCGGCGAGGCCAAGGCTGCCGGGGCCCTCGGCGGCGTTGGTCTGGTTGAGGACGGCAACGGCGGGGACCAGCACCTCTGCGCCAAAGACGTTGAACTGGACGTTGAGGTTGTGGTTGGCGAGGTAGAGCCGGTCCCGCGCCGTCTCGTTGCTGAGGCCCGGGGGCCGCTGGACGGGGCAGGGAAAGTTGCGGTCCTGCGGGTCAAAGGGCGACTCCCACATGTGGGCAAACTCGTCGAGCAGCCACGGATACTTTTTCTGGTCGGCCTTGTAGTCCATGAACATGACGACGCGCTTGCCACGGACAATCAGGTCCTCGAGGGTGGGCCAGTCGTCCAGGGCCATGGGCAGGAAGGGGGCCTCGTAGGTGTACTTGAGGATGCCCGTCTGCTCAATGTAGGGGGCGTACAGGTCCGGGGTCGAGTAGTTGCCGTTGCCGAGGAGGACGGTGACGACGTCGTAGGGATGGGCGTCGACCCATTCGCGCACCTGGGTGAGCCAGTCGGTAATGGGCCCGGCGTCGAGGAGGTCGCACGTCGTGTGGCAGAAATGGGGGACGGAGCCGTTGACGGGCCACTGCATCTGGCCCTGGACGAGGCGGACGCCGTCGTCGAGCTGCGTCTTGACGGGCAGCTCCTGGTTGGAGCCCGAGTTGCCGGGCCGCACAAAGGGCGAGTTGTGGGCGCCGACGTTTGTGATGTTTCCGTACCGGCGCCCGCACAGCTCCAGGTAGTTGTTGCACGGCTGCGTGTTGCGCGGTGGCTCCGACGACTGCGTCGACGTGCCCGTGGCCGACGAGGCCGACGTCTCGGTGCTCGACGAGTTGGACCCGGTGAGGGTGATCTTGGACGCGTACGACACGTAGATGCCCGTGGGCGGGGCCGTCTGCTGCGGGGCCATGGACCTCGCGCCCGTGATGAAGGTCAGGTCCGATGTCGCGGCCAGGGAGACGGACTGGGCCGAGGCCATCGGGGGGAGAAGCCCGCCGGCGGCGGCGGCAGCGACTGCGGCGCGCAGCCTCATGATGGCCGCGACGGGAGGAGGAGGGCGAGTTTCCTCAACGGCCGCGGCTTGTGGGAGACCGACGACGTCCGAAGCTCAGTCACAGATGCAACGATGGCGTGGAACAACGGCGTGGAACAGCGGACGTGCTGGGTGAAGCTCGAAGCCTCTCGGGGGGGGAGGGGGTCAGTGGCGGCGAGAGAGGGACGAGAGAATGATATGATCAAAATGGCCGTTTCTTTGAGCTTCGGCTTTGTTCCGGGAAACCGACTGTCCGGACGGTCGATGATGACCGGGACAAGATGTGTTTTGCTTGCCAACAGCGTTCACGCAGCGCATATGTAGACAAGGATGGTCGGTCCGGTGGTTAATTAATTAGCCAACTCCCTAAAGGAGATCCACAGCAGGGCCTGTCGGGGTCGAATGTCGGGGTTGAATGACGACGCCGGGACCACGAAACGAGGAAATATCCGCAGTATTGGCTATTTGATGTGCAGCACACTGTTGCCGACCGTTTTCCCTTTTTTGACACTCTTTCTCTCACCATAGCGGTACATATGAGACAGCCAAGACAGTTGCGGCCAAAGATAGTTGCAAACACGAGCAATGATGAACATGAGCGAATACGACGAGTTGTTCATGGCAGTGCAGTGTGTAAACAGGTGACAGGCAAATGCATGATCTGCGGGCACGGGCGGGCGGAGCAGCGGCTGTGCACGGCTTCGGCAAACAGAATGCAGAGCGCCAAGAGATGAAGCTTCATTTCGATGGATGTGCACTGCCCGGTGGTGACGAAGCTCTGGATGCATGCCCCGGCATTATGCAAGCATACTGTAGAAGCAAAGGTTGGTTGTAGAAGATCTCTTCCCTTTTTTTTTCTTTTTTTCTTTTGAAATCTGCTCTGGTTGGACCGCAGCACCATGGTTGGCGCAGGATGCATGACGCTCACCCACGCGTCCATCCATGTAATTACTGTACCGGACAGACCAGGCTCCAGGCTGTCTAGCTGAACGATGGCAGCTTGCAGCCGGCATCGTCCACAAATTCAGACCAGGCATGGCGGCGCAGGCATACCTAAGTATCTACCAGGTAGATACGGAGTACCACGTAACTCATCAGCCATAGGCCGGGCTGGGCGCAAACAGGACCGTGGTGCTAGGCTGCGTGTTGGTTCGGCGATGGATCCATCTCCCCTGTGCCTATCCTTACAGTGTTTGTGGCCCGCCTGCAGCTCCCCCCCTGCGCCGCCCCTGATCCGCACCCAGCACCTCTCGGCAAGGCCCAGCCGCGGTTCATGGCGCTAACACATACATTCGCCGGGCCCACCGAGTAGGCTTCAGCAAACAGACCCCACCTCCAGTGGGGGCAGTTAGTGCCCGGCCGGGGCCTCGCTCTCTCTGGTGACACCACCACCACGCCGCCAGCATCAAAGGCCTGCAGGCTCCTTGCAGCAGGCTGGCCGGGTCGGGCTCTCTCTAGCTTCCAGCCTCGTGGTGCCAGAATCTCCTTCTTTTCTTGCCTCCCTCTCTTCCAAGTCTGCATCAATCACCCCGTCCTGCCCACCCTCGCTTGACCTCAGCCCGGCAAGCTCGAAGAGAGCCGACCGCTCATCACCAACGTCTCGACGCCTCCCACGACTCCCACCGCCCATCCGTCCGCTCCTCCCCGGCCAGGGGCAGCGAGCCGAGCCTCGACACTCCCTCGCATCCGCCCGTCCCCCGTAGCCGGGGTGAGGAGGCCAAGGAGCTAGGCGAGGCGCCAGAGGAGGTGGTGGAATCCCGTCTCCATCATGGCCGTCAACACAACGCGCCGAAACACGGCCATTGCCGCCGCCGTCTGCTACTTCATCACCATCCCCTTCCTCATCCTCGTCCTCATCGGCAACACCCGCATGAACAACTCGGTCCTCACAGACATCTTCTTCTTCAAGCTCGACGTCTCCCAGATCATACCCATCGCCGTCGCAAACTCAAACCTCCTCAACTCGGTCGCCCGCAGCCTCGGCCTCCACGACTTCTACCAGGTTGGCCTGTGGAACTTTTGCGAGGGCTACAACGATGAGTGCGCTCCCCTCCATTCGATTGACCAAATCACCTCTCGCTGACCCCTCGCGCTTGCAGAGGCGTCACCTTTTGCTCCAACCCTGTGCGGTTCTACTGGTTTAACCCCGTCGAGATCCTCGTCAGCGAGCTCCTCGCCGGCGCCCGAATCGCCCTGCCCTCGGCCGTCATTACCGTCCTCAAGCTCCTCCGTATCGGCTCCCAGACCATGTACGTCTGCTTCATGGCCGGCACCGTCATCAACTTTGTCCTCGTCTTTGCCACCTGCCTCGTCATCCGCACCCGCTGGTTCAGCCTCCTCATCGGCTTCTTTGCCGGCGCCTCGAGCGTCCTGCTCACCGTTGCCGCCATCATCGCCACCGTCATCAGCGTCGCCGCCAAGGTGGCCCTCACCTCCCAGGACCAACTCAACATCCGCGCCGATATTGGCATCAAGATGTTTGCCTTTATGTGGATCGGCGCCCTCGTCACCGACCTTGCCTTTCTGCTCCACGCCGCCATGGGATGCTGCTGCAAGCCCAACCGTGGGCCGCGCCAAGGCCAGTCGCCACCGGCGGCGGCCACGTCCGAGAAGAAGGGCCTGGCCCTCCCCGACTTCGTGCGCCGGAGACGCGGCGCCGAGACGTAACGCACCGGCTGGCGCGGACAAGAATCGTGTTGCTTGGCCTTGTTCCCTCGCATGTTTCGATAGAGTGGTTTGGCGTCTCGGATCGCATAGGTGGGAGCCAGCATTGTTATTTTACGCCATGGGAGGATGGAATAATCACCGGGGGCTGGATTATTAGTGAGCACATATGCACATCTACATACCATGGGCAAACACCTAAAAGCCGGATATACCGACGGTGCGACGAAAGCGACGCTTCTGTACTAGACGGTGGCCAAGAGGAGCAGCCGGAAATTGATTGGAACCTCAATACAAGCTTCGCTGGCGACTGAGCGTCACGAGTTTATTCACCCTTTCTCTCTCTACACGATGGCGCTCGTCTTGGAGCATCCCACCAAATGCAGCAGACTTCAGAGGTCTTGGCCAAGCACCAGGGTATTCGCCGACGCTTGTCCGTTGCCTGCTGAACCCAACAAGAGATCCCAAGCCCCGTATGTTCAAAAATTTTGAACACCAAATCCAAAGGAACAGAAGACGCGGCTCATGCGTGTACCACCTTGGCCTCGGTCCCGTTTGCGCGGGCAAGATATCGGTCCTGGACGCTGGACCCCCGGACCCTGCCGCCGAGGCTGCCGCATTTGCGGGCGCCGAGGCAGAGGTTGATGGCCATGGCCATGGCCTTGAGCTGGCTGTGGTGGGAGGCGTCGACGGTGATCCAGTTGGGGTACGTCTGGTCCGAGAGGGCGTTCCAGAACTCGTGGTACAGGGTGCGCCATGCCGGGGCGTTGCGCTGGATGATGGTCTCCAAGGGGAAGACGGTCTGGGCGCTGTTCTGGGTGATGATCCACTGGGCGTTGAAGGCCGGGCTGTCGCGGCGCGGGCGGAAATGGGCCAGCTGGGTCAGCTGGTCGCGCACCATGTCGGCGACTTCGGCCGCGTTGGACCAGTCGCCCAGGTAGGGCAGCTGGCGGTCGGTGACGAAGCCCTCTGCGCCGCCGGGGAAGCCGTCGGGGGCGCGCTTCAGCCACGACTGGTGGAAGCGCACGAGCACGGCCGAGGTGCCGTTGGCGATGAAGCGCCCGAGCGGCCAGGTGGTCAGGTCCTCGTCGTCCGGGACGCGCAGGCGGTGCCGCAGCAGCTTGAACAGCTTGTACAGGTCCAGCACCTCGCCCTCGTCGAGCTCCTGCCACCCGCGGCTGCGCGAGCGGGCTTCGCGGTGGACGTCGAGGATGATGAGCTCGCCGGGGTACTGGTCGTTGAAGCGGTTGACTATGTCGATCATCTCCTCGATGCCCGCGCCGATCATGCCCTGCCACCCGAGGATGCCGATCTCGGAGACGTGGCTCTCGCGGAACTCGTGCCCGACGCGCGTGGCGCGCAGGTCGAGGACCCGGATGCCGCCGTTGCCCAGCTGGTTCCAGAGGTCGTCGTCGTGCGTCAGCGTGTTGGCCGGGCACCCGAACATGACGGGCTGGACGGCCTTCCACATGCCCGAGTGGTGCGTCCGCGGCAGGGCCAGCTCGCGCAGCGGCAGGTGTCCGACGAGCGGCAGCGACGCCTGCATCCACTGCAGCGGGCCGTCGTTGGACACGAAGCCGGCCTCCTCGGAGCCCGCCAGCAGGAAGCCGACGCCGCCGGGCCGCCGCACGAAGCCCAGCTCGTGCTCGGTGCCGCGCGCGTTGTTGAGCGTCTCGAGCTCGTCGACGAAGCGCACCCACACCCTGTGGGCCAGGCCGCGCCGGTACTCGACCTGCAGCCCCATGGGCCTGGCCGTGCCCTCGAGCTGGTAGCGCACCTCGGCCGCCGAGTCCTCGATGAAGAAGCCGTTACGCCGCTCCGCCAACGTCTGAACCGACTGGCCCGGCTCCAGGTACTCGGGCCACACCCCCCACGAGCCCATCTGGTACGAGTGCTGGTACACCCGCGCCCACCGGTACGGCGTTGCGTTGATGAGGCTGACCCACGTGTCGTGGTCCATCTCGGGGCCCCTTTCGCCGTATGGCCAGTCGACCCGGGTCTTTCCTGTTGCCGCGGCGGTGGGTGTGACGAAGCTCATGGCCAGGACGGACAGGAGGGCGAGGCCGGAGGGGCGAACCATGATGAGCATGGTGCTGCTGCTGTTGGATGCTCTTGCGTGGTCTGGGCCTTTTATATGCCGGTTTCGAGAGTCGTGATTCTATGGACGAGACGTCGTGGTCCTAGCGGTCTTGGCCTCTCCTCCCGAGTACGGCGCGATGCAGACTGCGTTTATAGACTGCGCCGGACTCGAGTCGTCTCTGCTCTTTGGTAAGAGCTGGTTGTGCCGACACTGGATACGACAACGGCCACGGCCTCGCGGTGTGGACAAACAAGACCTGCGTTACGCATGAGTGTATGACGAAAATCGAGAAAAGACGCCCTACCGTCCCGAGGCCTCATGGGGGATTGACTGCATATAGAGTGCAAACCGCCTAATCATCTCCCATAGACCGGGACGCAAAAGTCAATAATTGCCTTCACGCCCCCGAGCATATCTGCCTACACATGGCGCAACAAAGTCCGAAACCAAAAAAAAAAAGCTGAATGTTAAAAGGCGGCAGTAACCTTGCCGTCAGAGCAACCAGGCACCACCACTAAGGCCAGAGACCCAGCAGTTAAACCCTGAAGCTCTTCTGCAGCCGACGAAAGCGCGGGCTGGCAAGGTTCAGAAGAGAAGACAAAGCTTTTTGCAGGGAGCATCAGATTCGCCCAGCCATGGCGCTGTGGCTTCGCTGGGACCAGGCGCCGTCGCCTCTCTTCGGTGCTGTACTGTTTAGCTTTGACGGGGAAAAGAAAGGGAGCCTAGACTGGCGAGATGGCGCATGCCGCAGGGTCACCGGCAACAAACTGAACCCTTTGTCTGAACGGTGGCTTCTGCGGCAGCGACATAGCGGCCCGTCGAATCGTCTTGGCCCCGCGTCCTCCAGCTCTGCTCCTGCTTCTGTTCGTCCGCCTGCCTATCCCTCGAGCAATCAAGTCAGCCAACTTCAGCCCGAAGCTTCAAGATAATCATCTTCCCCTCCTAAACGCCATCTGCAATCTACACCATCTGCAATCTCTGCGGCGAAGGCCAAGTTGGTGCCTAGTTAGTTAAAAAAAAAAAGAGAAGCCCCATTCGGGGAACTTTGCTCGTGCGCTTAACGTCGCAAGGTGTATCCAGTCGAGTTGTGCAACGCCAAGGACACATCATGCTGCGGTATTGTGGCGAGAAAGAAGAAGTTGCGCAAGATGGAAACCTGTATTCGGGCCCGGTTCTGTATCAGCCTTATGCCCTCTTCCACGCGTCCCCTCCAGGCCCGGGTGGCGACGGGGGTCGGCCGTGGGCGAGGAGGCGCTGTAGACGTACTGGCGAAATGCAAAAAGACACAGCACGCGGAGCAGACCATGGCACGGCATTACCATAAAAGGGGGCTGGCAAGGGGAGAGTTAGGGGCGACCCCAGAGTCTGCGGCAGCAGCTTGTATCTCATGTCCCAATCGTCACATCATAACCGTGAAATCTGTGACTTGCTCGTCATCCTCGCCATCTTTGCACTCCGCTCCCGTGCTCGCCGTCTATTGTCTGCTGCTGCTCAATATTACGCGTCGCTTCCCTTGGTGCACTCCATCGCTCCACGTCAAGCGTGCGCCAAGACGCCCGTCATCAAGTCCTCGTCCTCGATCTGCGTTTCGAAGCCAATGGCCGCATCTGCCTCCTTGTCCATCTCGGACCGTTTCTGGTCCCGGATGAGATGGCGCAGATAGTCCTTGTTGGCACTCAGCCGCTCGTTGGTCAGTCGATACTGGGTGCTCAAGAACTCGATGCTCTGCTGGCTGCGGGCCACTTCCTTGGCAAACTCCACCTCCGACATGGAGTTTTGGGCGTTGCCAAAGGCCAGGTAGCTCTCCCCGTCGTTCCGCCCCGTCTGAATCAACCCGAGGAGCATACCGGACTCAATCATGTCGCGAACCAGGGCAAGGGTCGCCTGGTCGTCGGCCAGCGGCTCCCCCGTCTCCGCGTTCAATGTGGTCCTCCGCACCTCGGAAATCGATACCCGAAGGTATACTTGTCGCAGATTGATGATCTGCCATTTTTGGTACGCTGACATGGCCTCGGCTGCGAGCGACGCATTGCCGTCTTCTTCCCACGCCTGCCTGTTCGTGTCAAACTCTGTCCTCAAAAGACCCACTTTGTCCGTGTTGAATAGGCTTGCAAAGGTCATGTAGGCTTCGCTCGTGGTCTGGTAGCTGGCTTGGGCCGTGGGACTCGTGTACGAAGGGGGCCGGGGAGTCTTGCCCTGGTGCAGCAGTCCGACGAGTAGCCACTTCTTGTGAGCTTCCGCCATGATCTTGCTCACACCTTTGTTTCGCGACGGATGGGAAATGACCTGCTCGAACGCCGCAAGGGCCTTGGACCAGTCCCTCCTCGAAATGTAGAGCATGCCGCACAGAAAGTTGTACTCGAGCACCGTCGCGCTCTTTAGCTGCTCGGTAAGCCCGGTGGCTGGTGTCAAGAAGCCCAATGATGGGAGATCAGGGTCACATAGGTAATGCCTTGTCTCCTTGTAGCTAGTTATTGCGGGGTAGAAGAGGATGTCTGCGTCAAGCACTGGCAGAGCCCGCTCGACGGTGCTGGATGCGTAGGCAAGTTTGGCCAAGACGAGGTGTGTGGATGTGAATATGGAGCCGCTGGGGTCGAGTCGGAGAATCACCGCGACGAGAAGCTCGACCGCAACCTTGGGCTATACGCTGGATGTCAGTATGGGCGGGTGGAAGTGGCTTGTCCATGTGCATACCGGGAAAATGGCGCCAGAGCCAACCTTCTCGAGGAGCGACGAGAACATGGCGCCGACATAGCGCACCTGGCAGACGTCGAAATTGAGAAAGAACTCGAGCGTCATGTCCAGCACCTGGGCAGAGGGCTCGGTCTTTTCGCCGTGGGCAATGTCGAGGACGGTCAGGTATCCGATGGAATTATCTGCCGGAGCTAATGTCTATGAATGATTAGGGGCGCCGTTTCTTCCGCTCGCCATAGCAGGCACAGGGGGGCGCCTACCTGCAGGATGGCCACCGGATTGGCGGCCATGGCAGCTTGAGCCTCTTTGGAAAGCTTACCCAAGGCCGAAACGTGCTGTTTGATGGCCAAGTCGTACTGCTTCAAGGTCTCAAAAGTTCCCAGAGCCGGAGGGAAGCTCTTCAGGGTTCTCCTGGCTTCCTCCATCTCGGACTGACGGAGCGCGCGAGGTTCGACAGAGTGTTGCTTGGCGCCGGGTGACGGTTGTTTGCCTTGCGATGGTCCAAACGCTCCGCTGGTCCAGTCCGTCTATCCTCGGCTCGCCGCATTCATGCTCTGGAGAGGAAGGCGTTCTCTTCAGCTTCCCTGCGAATCATGGACCCAAACGCCGAAAACGCAAAAGACAGACGCAATCGAGATGAGGAGCCGCGTCGTGAGGTCATTTGGTGAAAGGTGGAGGTGGGGAGTTGAGAGGCGAGATGGTTCCGGCGTTGAGCCGTCGATAAGAAGAGCAATCTGATAAGTCAATTGCCCCGCCATTCACAAGTCATTGCGGGAGAGGCCTGGGTAATTACGTGTCACGAGATACTACCCTATACCCTCCACCATCCCACGATTTCATTAACCGTGTCATTGACTATGGACACTCAGACAGTGTGTTGATGCGGCTTGTTCCAGGTATGGTGCTTGACGACTCTCAGTCGTCAGTAAGAACTCCTCAAAAACCAGCATGTTCCTTTGTACTAAGCACTGCTGTAAAAGGTGAAAATAAATTTTAGATGATCAAAGTCGGAAGCACAATACAAGCTGGGCAGGACTGTTTGAGTTGGCCAAGATTGTGAACAGAAGTTACAGGCTATCAAGGCAATCGCTTGCGGTCCCGCTTGGGATGATGAGCGTTACGAAGCTGGCGGTAAATACTGCTGCTGCGGACTGTCGCCATGGCCTTTCTGTCCGTTGAACTGTCTCGCACATGCCCGGTATCACTGCAAGAGCACATTCACGCAAAAGTCGCATAAAGGCGTCTCTCATCGCAGCCCTCGGCCATCGTCTATTTTCCTGTCCTTCTAAAACGGGGCTTTAAGTTAGGGTGTATCCTGGGGCATGCGGAATTGCGAAAACCTTCTTCCTCCATAGCTCGTGTCGACGTGATCAAAGAAAACCGATACCGATCAGCTCTACTGCTGATACTGGTACTGCTTCTGGTGCTGTGGTGGGGGCTGGTATTGGGGCTGATACTGGGGCTGGTACTGGGGCTGGTACTGGGGCTGGTACTGGGGCTGGTACTGGGGTGGGAGCTGATAAGGAAGCTGGTATTGGGGATGGTTCTGGTGAGGGTGCTGGGAAGGGCTCTGTTGAGGGTGCTGAAGGGGGCTCGGATGAGGGTGCTGGGGGGGGGGCTGTTGCGGATGAAGTCGAGGTGCGCTTTGTATGCCCAAGGCTCTCAGCTGGTAGAGCAAAGCCGATAGCTTATGCTGTTTCGTGTTGATACTCGACCGCGAACGCCACACCTCGTCAATGGCAAGCCGCAGTTGGGCCTCGGACAGGTTGCCGGTGGCCTGCCTCGGGGGCCAGTTTCTCAGATCCATGCTTTGCGGATGCATCGGCCCAGGCAACTGCTGGTCGCCGACGTGGCCAGGCGGCATGCTCATGGCTTGATAGAGCTGGGGCTGCCCGCCCATTCCGACAGGTGAATTGTGGTAGCCGGGGACTCCCGCGTTGGGGACGACGTCATGCTGCAAGGCGTGGCCATTTGACTGGACAGCGGGGACGGTGGGATGACCTGGGACTCTGTCGCCGTTCTCGTGAGGCAGACGTGGTCCTTGGAAGCGAGCCTTGACTGCTTTGTTTTTCCAGGCGTTGGCGTGGGGGTTATGGGCAGTTTGCCCGGCTGGGCGCGGCCCTTGGGTAGGGTTTTTGGCTTCTGAGGCGTCGCGATCGTTTTTGGAGATGTGGGCTTTTTGTTCAGCGGTTTTCGGTTGGCTGATCGTGAGGAGGTCGGTTTGGGCTTCGCCGTCTGCTTGGACTTCGTGTCAACGTGGGTTTTGCTCTCTCTTTTCTTGACGGGGGTCGACACTGGAGATTTGAGCTGCGCGTTGGAAGGTTTGCGTCGTTTACCTTTCGTGACCAGGCCCTCGTCCTCCGACTCCTCCGACGAGTTGGCGCCGGCAAACTCATCCGAAGCGTCTGATGTATCGGGCTCGATCCCTTCGGGGAGCGGCGCGTTCCCCACGCCAAGGGACTTGTAGTTGATGACCTGTGGTTGTGGGTTAGCTCAGTTCGAGTGGGGATGGACTTGGATAAGTATGAAAACGGTGAAACGCACATTTCGACGTCTGCCGCCTCGCCCCAAGACCTCCTTGTTGGCCTCGGCCTCGCGACGTGCTTCTTCCTCCCTCTCCGCGAGAATCTTGTCCCAAACGCTCGAGTTGATTGGCTCTGGGGCCTGGTCTTCGGCAGTGTCGAGGCCTTCGGCAAAGCCGCCCTTCTCGTTGGCCCACACCCGGGCATGAGAGAACTGCGTTTCCGTGGAGCCTTCCTCGTCAGTCTTGGTGTGCTCCGTCTGCGCGCGATCGAGCAGTTCCTCGACCGCGGGGCCGTCGTAGTGGATGGAGGATTTCTGAAAGTCATCGCTGAATAAAGCTTGAGCGCCGTGCTTCAGGATCGATTCCAGATCATCGCCGACAAGCTGATCATCGTCCATGCTCTCAATCAGGGCATGGTCGAGCGCCATCTTCTTGCGGCCCGCCTGCATGATCCGCTCTTCCACGCTGTCCTTTGTCACGAGCTGGAAACAGAGTACCTTTTTCTTCTGACCAATTCGATGAGCTCGGGACAGGGCCTGGATATCCTGATGGGGGTTAAAGTCGGGATCCATGATGATGACGGTGTCTGCTGTCGCCAGGTTGATGCCAACGCCACCAGACCGGGTCGACAGGAGAAAGGCGAAGAAAGGCGAGTCTGGAGCATTGAAGCCATCGATGCGACGTTGCTTCTCCAAGCTCGACATGGTGCCGTCCAGTCTCCTGAACTGATAGCCCATACCCGTGAGGAAATCTTCTAGAATGTCTAATTGTTGAAGAAATTGGCTGAAGATGAGAACTCGGTGGCCGCGCTCTTTGAGCTTCGGAAGCATAGCCTCAAGCAAGAGCAGCTTTGCCGAGGCCTCCACGAGGTTCCTGTGAAGGACGGAAGGATCATGATGTCGCTCCTCGATGGCATCCGAGTAGATGAAGGGGTGGCAAAGACATTTCCTCAGCTGCATCAAGATGTTGTTAAGACTGCTCCGGTCTTTCTTGTTCAGTTTGTTGTTGGCGAACATGGCCTTGATGAGCTGCGGGTTCTTGGCCATGATGCTTTTGGAAAGCTTCTCCTGGATGACCGTCATGGTCACGGGCAGAATGATTTGCGCCATGGGTGGGAGGAACTTGAGCACGCCGAGCTTGGTTCGTCGCAAGAAGAAGGGGCGAATAGTTTCGTGCAGCTTCGGCAGCGTCTCCTTGTCCAGCACCTGGTACTCCTCGTCTAAGGCCGCTGCATCCTGGGTGTCGTCGATGAATTGGAGCAGGTTGAAGAGTTCGCGCTTGTTGTTCTGCAGCGGGGTCCCTGTCAGGAGGAGGCGGAACGGAATCTTCATGGATCGCAGCGCAAGATAGAGCAGGTTCTGGTCGTTTTTGAGTCGCTGGCCTTCGTCAACAACGAGCCCGGTCCAGCGCACCGACTTGAAGAGGGTCTTCGTTTTCGGGTCTTGAGCGGAGTCATACGACATGATGACCACATGCGCCTTCATATCTGTCGAGCCGTGGGGGAAGAGCTCATACGTGTAGGCAAGCTCCTGAGACTCTCTCCCTCCGTGATAGGTCACGACCCGCAGATCAGGAGCCCACTGCTTGAACTCTCGGCGCCAATTGGGACAGGTTGCATTTGGCACAACGATGAGAAACGGCCAGCACTGCGAATAGGAATAGGGAGTCAGCATTCGGCAAAGACATGGGGTTGGGGGGCGGGGGGGTCAGATGGTTTCTTACCTTGGGCGCGTCCTGCACCAACGAGGTGACAAGACTGATGACTTGAATCGTCTTTCCAAGACCCATCTCGTCGGCCAAGACGACGCTCCTTCCGTCGTGGTAATTCCCCAACAGCCAATTGAGGCCCTCCATCTGGTACCCCATGAGCTTGCCCCTCTTGAGGCCTGCGGGCTGGACGGCTACAGGACCGAATTCGGAGGCCTTGAAGGACCTGATTCGGTCTTGTATCTTGGCCTGGCTTTCGTTGTGGAAATATTTGCCTTCCAGGTGCTCAAGGTATGCTTCCTCGAACGCGGCATAGCACGTAGTCTCACCCCGAGGAGGGGGAGCATCCCAGACCACATCGCCGTACCCCAGGCCCTGGAACTTGACGAGCACTTTGCTGACATGCGCTATGTTGACCGAGTCGCCATTCTTGGTTCCAGACCTTGGGGCGCCGGATTTCATCTTGACGTTGAAGATGACATCGGCCATGAGATACTCCTCTGGTATTGCATCTTTTGTAGAGAGCTTCAGGAGGTCTTGCTGCGCGGCGTGTTTCGCAAAAGAGAGCATCATGATCCCTACGGAGACTCCAAAGACCCACGCACCGGGCATCCAAGTGCAGTGAAAGTACGACAGGGTTTCCCACTTGACGAGATACTCTTTATCGTCCTCGTCCACTGAGTCGAACGAGGGGCTGGGTGACTTTTGTAAAGACTGTTGCGAAGGTCGCCAAGCAACCAAGCGGTGGATCTTGTGCTTGGCCGAGCTGCATTCGTGGCATTGCCAGTCGACCATGTAATCCTTGATGCGCTCGGACTTGACATCTGTTCCTATGGAGTTGCTGCCGACGGTAGGTAGATGATCGAGATGCCAGCCACGGTGACACGACACGCATCGGAAGAGCACAATGTTTTCGTTGTTGAGCAGAGTAGGGGAGACGGACGTGATTGGGTCGGTGCCGCCGTTTTGCTCTCGCAGCTTCTCTTCTTGCCGGGCAGTCTTGAACTCAGAGAAAGGGATGCAGGCCTTGCCCTGGCTTTTGCACACTTGGCAGATGCTTTGTTGGGGAGCATTTGCGCTGTTGTCCTTCCTGCCCTTCTTTCGGTAAATGTCGAGGCAGAATCGGCACTGCAAGACGAAACAGTCGTCTGCAATCTTGGTGGCAAGATGCTCTCGCGCGTTGCGAGGCCTGAGACACTGCTTGTGGTAGGAGAGACTACATCCCTGGCAATGCACAATCTGGCCGCGTTGCTTGGAGCCACCGCAGCTGTGACAGGAGGGGAGATGGACGGCGCCGAAGGCGGATTCGGGCGGCAGAGGCTGAAAGGTTTCTCTGACGAGGACGGTCTTGGGAGCGGAAGGCACCCTGTCATCCACGACATAGAATGAGTCCTCGTCCATGAGGGCATCATCTACCATGTAGGCAGTGTTTTTGGTGGCCCTCGACGAGCGCCGGGGCTGTTCAAACTCGATGTCCGAGCCATCGGAACCCCTGCGACGCGATGCCGACTGCTGAGCCTTGGATCGAGCGCTCCTGGCATTCATCCGACGACCGCGACGCAGGGCACCAGTTCGGCGCGACTTTATGGCAAGGTCGGAGATCACTGGTCGGAAATCACCGTCCTCTGCATCTGAGGGCTCTGGAGGCTCGTTAGCCAGCTCGTCGCGGTCGTCTGTGAAGCTGCTCTTGGCAGAGGCGCTGTGGCCGGATTTGGGCTGTTTCTGCCTCTGCGGCCGGGTGCGCAGGTTGCGTACGGGGAATGTCGGAGTTTTCTCTACAGCATCATCGCTGCTGTCGTCATCCAGGGAGACCGCGCGAGCCCTCGAGCTCTGCCGAGTACTCGGGCCTCGGGAACGAAGCACGCGCCCCCCACGCGTCCTGGGTTGACGGGGACTGGTGTCTTCGTCGATTTCCATATTGTCTGAGGCACTATTTTGCTTTTCAGAGTCCCACTCATCGTCTGGGACGTACTTGCGCTTCTGCCCGGTGCTCATGCTGCTGGTGAAGCGGCGCAGTGCCTGTCTGCCGTTTTCGAGGGAGAGTAGTTCTTTGGCGGAGACCTTGATGTGCTGGGTTAGCAGTGCCGTTCACCAGGATTGGGTCGAAAGTGAATGCCAAGAGTAAAGTTGATGTGGGCGCCAGAGTGTGTAGGGTGCAGGGCAGAAGGTGGAGGGTAGAAGGTGGAGGGCAGAAGGTGGAGGGCAGAAGGTGGGAAGACGGAAGGGTTTGCGTAAAACGTAGGAGCGTTGAGGCGGCGTTGCAGGCGGCAGCCAAGTGCCCGGAACGCAGCACGGCCGAGCGGTCAGGCCAGGGCCCGGTGTTGAAAGCCCTGTACGCGCACACGAGGAAAGGCGAGGGAGCGCAAAGCGTTCACAGCCGCCGAGGACGGGTTCAGAGACGCACAGACCGGAGCGAATCCGGGAAGAAATAGATGAGGAAGAGGGTATGGGAGGAGCAGCTTCGTGGGGCAACGACGAACTCAAAGGGGCGACATACCAGCTTTTGCCTTCCGTCTGTAAAGTCGACACTGTATGAGACTTGTCCACGATTGCCCACTGCTTCGCTGACGAGCTCGACGACTTGGCTATAGACGGTATCGTATTCATGGCGTCGATTCATGGGAAGCTCGGGGATTGCGACCTCGACGCGACTCTCTGGAGCATTGTGCGCCGCATCAGGAGCATCGTCGTCGGCCACGGCAGCGGCTGGGGGCTCGGCTTCGGCTTCGAGGTCGGCTTGGGGTTCGGGGCTGGCAACCTCGGGGGGCGCCTCCGGACTGCTTTCTGGCCAATTCGCTCCGACCTCGCTGGTTACAAAGTCAAAGGAGATTGCGGGCTCTGGCAGCGAGACGCGAGGGTTGGTCGGGGTTTCTTGCCGAGGCTCCGGGTCCTCGTTCATCTGCAGAATGTCAGCGGGCGCCGATGCCAGCTCTGCGCGAGGCGAGTTCGTACCTTGGCGGGCTATTAAAGAGGGATGTTCACTGTCATGCGTGGCTGTTGGTGATGGTGAAGCAAGATGGGAGTGTCGGCAAATCTTGGAAAAAGGGCGCAGACTCGACGCGCAAGATTCTGCCATGACAGCCGGTGCCAGTCGCCAGTTAGTCTAGACGCGATTGCTGGTGGAGCACGCGTTTCGACCGATTAGTGTCTCCCTCTAAAGCTCTGGCCAATCACGAGCCACGATACCGCTTGCAGGTCGCCAATCTGCTTTTCCATGCAGCTCGGTATTACAGCATCACGTGGTTACCTGTCATGATAATCGATAGACCCTTTTCTTCCCCTTCTTGGCAAAACATTTTCACCTCATCGGGCAGCCAGCCTTCGATTTCGCGCCTCCCGTCCACCGCCTTGGCCCAAATAGATGACCGCTCTCTGTTTGCAACCGGCGATTTGTCGCCCGCGCATGTCGCATTATTCTGCGCTGCCATGATATGCGCAAGCCAATGGGTGAGCGCTGGCTCGCGTCGATCCCTACGCCCGTCCATTGTCGCAACACGCAACCATTGCCCCCGCGTTTCGATACGATCTGCCAGCTTGGCGTCAATTATCCAGGGCCTGCGAAAGGAGGAAAAGACTTCAAAGAACGGCGACTTGCCCTCCTGGGCCATCGGTTCCTCCAAGAAGAAGCGGAACGCCGTGGCGCCGTGGCAACCCGACAGAGACCCATCGGACGTTGGCAAGAGAGCCAAATCATCCGCAGGGTCTGCCAATGGCACTGGCAACGGCACTGCAAGGGAAATACGCAAGGTCACAAGTAGGAAGGCAAGCAAGGTCCCCGGCAGGGGCTCCGGCAAGGACACAATCACGGGCTCCAGCGGGGATGCAATCAAGAGCACAAGCAGGGAGGTAAGCAAGGAGGCAGGCAGGGTCTCCGGCAGGGACGCAATCAAGGGCTTTGGCAGGAGCTCTCGCATCGACCAGCAGCTGACGCTGCAGAAGCCCAACACCAGGCGAGACTCATGGGACCATATCAAAACATCCAAAGCACTCGAGGGTTCCGCTTCCGAACGCCAGCGCCACAAGCTTAGGAGAAAGCTGAGTCGCAGGGATGCGAAGCAAGAGGAGGGCCCGGACGATAGCGGCAGGCAAACCAGACGGAAGCGATTTCTCGACCCCGACTCTCAGTTTGGAAAGAGGAGCCTGGTATATCACATCAAGCATGGGGACCTCAAGGACGCTGTCAATTTGCCAGGTCCCGTACGTGCCAAGCAAGCGCAAGCCATCCAGGACAGGTGGTGCCGCGGTCTCCCCGTCGAACCCGAGGAAGGATCTTCTGTCGCAAAATTCCGCGTCGCAGACTCGACGCTGAGAAAGGCAGGGGAGCCAAGCGTATTACGCTCCATGCCGATGCAGCCATCCCAAAGGTTTGAGGTAATGCCTCAAGGCGATATTCTCGAGCTCGCCAGTGCCGACTCCGTGTTCGTCTACGGCAGGTCCTCGGTCAAGGCAGCACTCGAGCATGGAAGGCGGAAACTGCACAAGCTCTACATGTACGAGAATCGCAAGGTGGACAAGATTGACGAGGTCATCATGCATCTGGCCCAGCAACGTCGTGTTAGCATCAAGATTGTCCCGATAGAGGGCCGTGGGCTGTTGGACAGGATGAGCGTGGGACGACCACACAACGGCATCATCCTCGAGTCTTCGCCCCTGCCTCAGCTGCCCGTCCTATCTCTGGGCCCGGTCGAGGAGTCGCCCGGTAGGCTGGGATTCAACGTCAACCTGAGCTACCAGTCCAGGGAGGAGGAACAGATCAACGGCAAGAGTTCATTTATTCCCCGAGCCGGTCTCGTCACCCCCAAGCCGTTTGTCCTGCTGCTGAACAATATCCTGGATCCGGGCAACTTGGGGGCCCTGCTGCGGTCGGCACACTACTTTGGAATCGATGCCGTCGCCATCACGATGCGAAGCTCGTCGAGCCTATCGGCCGCCGCCCTCAAAGCCGCAAGCGGTGCAGCCGAGGAGGTGAGGCTCTTTTCCGTTCCCAGTTCCGTCCAGTTCGTCCAGCAGTCCAAGATGGCCGGGTGGAAGACGTATGCGGCCGTGCCGCCGCCGTCCAAGAGACTCATGGAGCTGCATGGCGAAAAGTTCATCTCGGACCATGCGGTCGAACGCGAGGATCCGTTGCAACACAGCCCATGCCTCCTCGTGCTCGGCAACGAGGGCCAAGGCCTGACCAAGGCCTTGAAAACGGTGATCGATTACGAAGTGGCGATACCAAAGCTCATGGAACACACCCAACTGGACAGCTTGAACGTCAGCGTGGCCGGTGCACTGCTGTGCCATTCGTTCGTCAAAGGATCGTCGGTTGCCAAGGCCGAGGCCGAGGCGGCCGCCGGTCGCAGGAGTGAGGGAGTTGAAGTGGATGCGGTCGTGGCTGACCTGGCCGAGAGCCAATACGTCGAGCCACAAAGCGAGCGGATGTTTTGATTTGCCGTGGCCAGTTAGACATCGCCACGAGCATGTATATCCCATGTACTATAGACAAGGGCGTGGGCGAAACGCAACTCAGCCGCTCCCGTCGACGCCGACCTCCTTGACCGTCCAGTCCCACAGCCTCTGGGCCAGCGCGCCATCCCAGCACTTGGCGTCGCCCTTTTTGGGTTCACCGACAGGCCAGAAGAGGGCAGCTATTTGTCGAGCACTTGACTCGGCGACCTGGTCGCGCACGCCGGGGCCCGTCGCCCCCCAGAGCGTGTTGTAGCTGCCCTGGAGCGGCGTCACAAGGCCACGCGGGCCCGCCAGGAGGAGGACCAGCCTGCTCAATGCCCCCATTCTCGTGACGAGGCCGGTGCGCACAATGCCCGGGTGGATGGCGACGCTCGTGATTTGCGGATGTCGCCGGCGCAGCTCTGCGGCCGTCAGGATGTTGGCCAGCTTGGACTGCCCGTAGCGCATCCACGTCCGGATAAACGTCGCCCGCGGATTGCTGTCGGCCGACGGCGCGGCCCGGAGGCGGTCAAAGTCGATGCCCCGGTGCGGGTGGATGAAGTGAGCGCGCGAGGTGAGGGTCACGAAGCGCACGTCGGCACCGGGCTCGGCCGCGGTGTGCAGCATGACGGGCAGCAGGCGCAGCAGCAGGGCAGCGTTGCCTAAGTGGTTGACGCCGAACTGGGCTTTGTAGCCGTCGACGGTGGCGCCGAGGGGCACGGCCATGATGCCAGCGTTGGCGACGAAAACGTCGAGTCGCGGGGAGGGACCGGAGGCGGCGAAGAAGGCCTCGGCGGCGGACCGGATGCTGGCGAGCGAGCCGTGGTCGCACTCGACGAACGTGACGCGGCCGTCGAGCAGCGGCCTGCACTCGGCCACGACGGCGTCGGCGGCGGTCCGGTTGCGGCCTGTGAAGAAGATGTGCGCGGGCGCGTGCTTGGCGAGCTCGACGACGGTGTGCTTGCCAATGCCGCCGGTTCCTTTTGCGCTCGTTTCCACTCGTCAGCCTGGCGATGAACTCTTATGCTGCCCTCAATGGTCGGCTGAGGTCCCAAAGGATATGTTTCCGCCATTGATCAACCATACCTCCGGTGACGAGGATGACCTTGCCCGAGAGGTCGGGAATGTCCCTGTCGGGGTCGTAGCCGCGCCAGGCCATGATACGTTGCTGTACAGCAGCTGCCGTCTTCCAGCTTCGCGCCCGAGACCTCGACGCTGGATGTTCGAGGGGCACAGGGGGAAAGCAGAGTATAAGGGCCGACCGGGAGGCACGGGGTACAGTCACTGTCACACCAGCCTTTGCGCACCTATTGGTGCTCGCGGGTGACCAGAAGGGGAATTACACCAAAGGGTCGGTATCCAATCGGTTTTTATTTTCATTCATAGCCTCGTTCCTAAAGAAATGTCTGGACTTGAAGCCCAATGCTTTTGAGAGGAAGAAAGCCTCTGCGTTGGCTTTGAATGCGACATGAAGAGGAGTTATATACAAGAAGAAGAAAATGGAAGTGAAGTGAAAGTGAAAACTCTAGAGACTGAACCATATATGACTTTATATGACTTTTCAACACCAGGACGGAAATGATGCATGGTTCTGGATTCCCACGCTATGTTCAAAATTCGCATCTGTTGCTCGTGTTCTTTGGTGGCAGGGGCAAACCATTACACCAATGGCTCACTTGTCGCCCAGTTTCAGTTTCCAAGGCCCTTGCCAGTCGCTTGGAACGTCGCTGTCGACGCTCGACTGCCTGGAGGAGTCATAGTCGACGCCACCCGACTCTCGCCGAAGGACGTGGATGTACTCGTCTCTAATGTCGGAGCTCAGCGACCTGCGTCTTTGGATCCTCTTGATGTCTGGCAGCTCGGCGAAGCCAAGGGCAAGCATGGCGGCCAGGAAGCGGTCCTTGAGCGACTTGTCTGCCGTCGGGTCATCAAGCCTGGATGGCTGTTAGTTGTGCTTCTCCTTTCCAGTTGTAACGCTATGCTGGGACTCGGACTTACCGGCTGCGCTGTTCTCGCAGCCCCCGGGAGACCCAGCGGTTGAGCCAGGCGACTGCGAGGACAGAGGCCACATAGACGGGCACGGCACCGGGATAGCCGCCCTCATAAATGCCGAGCACCGCAGACAGAGGGATGCATATGGCGTAGACGGCAGCGTTGGAGTGTTCCCGCATGAACCCCGACTTGTCGACGATGAAGATGCCGAGGCGGGCGTAGAGGAAGCTGTTGATGGCCTTGGCGCACACGCGGTACAGCGGGGGGCTCTGGAGGGCATAGGCGGCCAGCGAGGCCAGCGGGCGGAGGACGGTGCCGGCCTGGTAGGCAGGGCGCGTGGTCAGGGGGTCGCCGCGCTGCAGCGAGCGGACGAGCTCGAGGCTTGACCAGGCCCAGACGAGGCAGACGAGGACGTCGACGGGGCCGGGGGCGACCGTCTCGCCGTGCACGGCCACGCGGAGCTGGTACCTGGTGATCTCGAAGAGGCCGGTGACGATGTGGACGGGGAGGTGGTAGCTCTTCGACTTGCGGAATTTCCGGTTGTAGGTAGGGATGGCGCGGCGCTCGTGGAAGCCGAAGATGGCGCCGTAGAGGATGGTGTAGACGACGAGCTCGACGACGGCCTTGCTGCAGAGGGGCGCGGCGTAGCTCATGACGGCGGCGAGAGACATGTCCTCGCCCTTCAGGCCAAGCATCTTCTCTGTCTCTCTTATTTCTCTCTTGCCTTTTCCGAGTCTATACGAGATAGAACTGCAGAACAAGAATCCCGGACGACAGGGCAGGGGAGGAGAAGACGGGTGTTATAAAGAGCCAAGGCATTGATGATGGGGCGATGGTTGCCCATGCCAGTGCGCAGGCCGCCGCTGCCACGACGGCAAGGCACGGACTGCTCCCAGACGGCGTGAATCCCGCGAGCCCGGCGTCGTCCGGGCCCTGCCGAGCTGAAGGATCGCCGCCCGGGACCGGTGCGCCGTTGTGGCTTGCTCGCTCGGGTGGAGGCGCGTGCTTCATCTTTGCAGGCGTGGCCTGATTGTCATGGTTTGCTAGTGCAAAGCTTCGCGCCCGGCTGGAAGCACGCACAAAGTACAAGATGTATTCTTAGTCCGAGGGCAAAAAGGGGGGCCTCTTGACGGATGGCGGAGCGAACGAGCGGGCCCCCCTTTTTTTCGAGGCCGTCGGATTTTTACAGTGGCAAGATTGATTAGAAGCCACTCGGCACTGTTGTAAATTGTTTTGTCATAACTCCTTGGTTGGGCGCGGGTCAGGGTGCATGGCCAGGCGGAGGCGGCAACATGACAATGCCATGAACCGGGACAAACACCAGATCGTGTGTGGCTCCCTCTACGTTGAGTGCATGCACTGGACCACGCATGCACAACGTAGAGCGGAGGGATTTCGGTCCATGGGCGAGTCTCGACAGCCCGGGGCAGAGGAGTGGTGCAGGTCCGTCAGTCCGGAAGGGAACTCGGACCAAGAGCCGGGCTTCGGCGCCGGTCCGTTCGCCACGGACTCGGCTCGTCGAGGCGGGGGCGAGGCACGGGCACCAAGCGGCCAACTCGTAGCGGGTGGGGGGGGTGGCAAAGGATGGAAGCCGATGTGGGCGGCTCGTTTTCTAGAGCCGCACAGGCACCGATTCCACGGGCTCTGGTCTGTGCTGCCGGCGAGTGGGAACTGCCAAGCATGGCGATTGGTCCGGCATCTGCGTAGAGGCATCTCGGTGACGGAATACGGCCGAGTTGCCCATCTTCGACCAGGCCGAGTGCGTGCCTTGGCTACCAAGTCGATGTCCGGGTGGGCTTGTGCACGTCGGGGAACGGCAATAAGACGGCTTCAAGGCGGCACTGGGCGTCGAGAAAGTCAGACACTGCTCCTCGACCCCGACTCTGGCCCGGAAGCATGAAACTAACTCGATGAAGTTCAGAAAAGAGCCAGATTCAAGGCGTCGGCCACAACCGCGTGCGCACGACAGCAAACGGCTTGAAGCCACCAGATACTGTCAACACGAGAGACAGCAACAGGGAGGGCAAATGGCAAGAGTCGTTGATGTAGGACCTAATAAAAGAGGCCAGAGACTAACCGGTCACCACTTGCCCGCTCAGTGGGCAGAATTCATCGTTGGCAGGCCCCCTCCTCCATCCACAACGTAGACAGCTGCACCCGCCGCCTCGTCGTGCCGTCACCAAAGCTTAGCATCATGCCGGCTCACGGGGAAATCTAGTCCAACAAGCGTCGATCCGCGTCGCCGTCTCCCAGCTCCCCGTCCGTTCCAGTCCCCAGACCCTCCCGCCGGCCTCGGCATCGCCTCAACATGGCCGCCAACGAGGACGACGAACTGTTCCAAATCCAGCCCACGCTCTCACGACTGGAAATATACCGCTGCCTGCGCCGGCTCCTGGAGATCAGACACCGGCGCGGCATGCTGACGCTGCTGTACGACTACTTGCCCGAAATCACATTCTGCCTGCGTGGCGTGCCCGTCGACCACCTCCTGGACTGTGGCAATAAAATGGCGCCGGTATACTTCCTCGAAAGCATCATGAATAACACCCTTATAGCGAGCAGTCGGGTCGGCGACTACCCCAGGTTCCCTGGATACGCCTTCCAGTACATCTACAGGCGGTGGTTTGTGCCGTATAAACGCAACATCGAGTATAATCAGTTTCTCGTCAAGTTCTTCGAGGTGCAAGGGATTCCGAACTGGTTGCAGGCCAAGCCTCGACGGTTCCTGGGCCACATAGTCAACCTGAGTGCATCTCTCTGCGCAAAAGTCAAGGAGACGCAGTTGGAAATCATGAGTGGCAAGCCTGAGGATGTGCAGCACATGCTGGAATACACGGCCCGCTACGGGCTTCGGCCCCCTTGGGCGCGGCGCTCGTGGCTCGAGCAAGTCACCAGGGCAAGGGCGGAGCAGGAATTCTTGCAGGTTCAGCCCCTATTCCGAGCCATCGCCATCATCGTCGGCGGCAGGGATGAGAGCTGCGAGGACATGGACGGCCAAGACTTCCCGACCCGCATGGACAGCGTTGGGCAGACACCGGTCCTCTTCGTCTGCACCGGGGTCGAGGACGGGCTGAGCGCGCCCATCTGTTTCGACAGCGTCGCGCACCAAATCCACTCCCTCATCAGCGGTCCGCCGGGGACCAACATCAGAACGGCCTTGATGTCGCTCGAGGCTGCCATCACCTTGACGCTCGACTTGGAGAAGCGTGAGGTGGCCGCGTTTGGGCCTCGGCCAGATCCGGCGCGGTACACCATGAACCGGGATCGGATTGATCTCTGTTCGCCCACTAGCTCCCCCTGGCTCCCGAGCCGGCCAATCGATCGCCTGATGAACGAGGCTCGATGGCTTGGGGCAGCGGATGTCGACTTGGCGGGCCCGAGCTCGAGCTGGGTCGACACCGAGGTGTACTCGGAGCAACTGGGCGATGCTGCCGAGCGAGACAAGGTGGTAGCCTACTCTCCGGACGAAGTACACGCAAACAGGTATAGGCTCGCATGTTGGTACGGGGGTAACTTGGTGTCATAGCAGCAGATGAATAGAAGGTTAGCCAGCTGTCCAGTGGTCGTTGTGAGTCGGCGAGCCAGGCAGACGCAAGCCGAGGTAGACTAGACGTAAGCCGAGGCGCCCCAGAATTTGACCTTCTTTTGACCTTCTACCGGCATATTCTCGACGACGGATTCACTTCCATGGCTGGCAGCCAAAGTGCGCTCGACCAGCCTCGGGGACCGACTGACTTTACTAGCTCCCGCGGGAATTCGTCCAAGGCCGTAGGCAGCTCCGGGCAACGCACGCACCTCGTGGGCTCTGTTATTTCACAGTGGAAATGCATAATCTAAAGACGTTCCTATTTTGTACCGGGAATGACTGGAACACCCCAACAGCCAGTCCAGACACGGCGTTTCCGAGACAGACCCTTGACTGTGGCGGCTTACAAGCTGTCTATGTCGTCCGTCACCCGTCACCCGTGCCGCCCAGAGTCCAGCTCCCATTCTAGCAGCATGGCCTCGCTGCCCAATCAAGAAAACAATAATTCTCACCAACCTCTGCAAGCTGTGATTCGCGGCATGATACGGGAGAAACGGAAAAGATGGCTTTTGGACCCGTCGCCCCAGCCACCCGACTTGTGAAGGCACAGCCACCCTATACAGCCCGGAAAGCTGACGTTCAAATCGTCAAATCAACCGCATCTCTTCGCTCGACCTCTGCCCCGGACGGCTTGGATAAATCGCCATGGCGCCCTTCTCCTCGACGCTCCTCCTCCTCCTCCCCGTGCTGCACGCCAGCGCCAGCCAGCTCACCGCCCTCAGGAAGCTCCCCCCCGACGCGGGCCACAAGATCTCTCGGCACCATCTCGACTTTGCGTCCCAGGACTCATGCGCGGCAGAAGCCGACGCCGAGCTTCTCCCTCGGCTCAACGGCACGGCGGCATGCCTTCGGCCGGCGTATGGCCAGCACCTCCAAGAACGTGACCCTGGCCGGCCCTACGTGCTACGACGCGCCCTGCTCGAGCAGAGGTCCTCGTGCCCGGCCACCATGAACAGCTGCGCCGACCAAGGCTTCCCCAACAAGTGCTGCCAGGAGGGCACCTACTGCACCGACGTGCCCGATGTCGACGTCGGCCGGGTCGCCTGCTGTCCCCGCGGCACCCAGTGCGGAGGCCAGGTCGCCAGCTGCCCCTCGGAAGCCGTGAGCTGTCCGCAGTCGCTGGGAGGCGGCTGCTGCATACCCGGCTTCGTCTGTCGCGGCTTTGGCTGTAAGTCTTTGCCTGCCTCTCGTGGGTCCGGGCCGAAGCGCTGACGGTATCCCGTGGCAGGTGTTCCGAGCCCTTCCTCCACCGCGCTCCCGCAAACCCCCATCCAGGCTCCCATGCCGCTCGAGACGGTCACCACGACGAGCACCACCATGGTCGAGGGCAGTCCCTCCGTCGTCATCGTCACCATGACCGTCACGACCACCTCGTCGCCCGCGCCCACGACACAGACCACGACCCAAGTCGTCACAGCCTCGGACCCGGACTCCGCCACCGGCAGCCCGCCATTCCGCCCAACCAGCTCCGGCGCTTCGGCGACGACTCGCGACGACTCGAGCACGCAGTCGGGCTGTCCCACCGGCTTCTACGGATGCCTGGCCACCCATGGCGGAGGCTGCTGCCGCACCGATCGCGACTGCAACACACACTCGTGCCCGCCGCCGTCGTCATCGACCACCATCATGGCCAACGGCGCCACAGTCGTGGTCCCCGCCGAGGGCAGCCCGCGTGACGCCGACGCGACGCCGACGTGCGCGGGCGGCTGGTTCCTGTGTGGCGAGTCGGCGGGGCCCGTGGCCGGGTGCTGCCCAAGCGGGTTCGACTGCGGCACGGCCAGCTGCTTCGCCGCGCAGGCCAGCCAGACGGGCAGCGTGCAGAAGCAGGCCCCGCGGCAGAGCGCTGGTGGCTGCGGCGGCAGTGATAAAAGTAGGGCGGCGATGCGCAAACTGCTCTTCCGCGCCACCGTGGGGGCTTGTCTGTGGGCCCTGGCAGCATGAAGACGAGCAGCGCTGTTGGATCTTGGAACGCTAATAACGGGGGATGGGGCAATGCTATACACATGATCCCGACGATGATCGTGAAAAAAAAAAAGCACTCAACCAACAGGCATGGGCGGAGCATGAGCGGAGTTTCATTGAGGTCTGGGTTTGCGCCTTCTGGAACCTTCGTCGCCCTTCAGCACCAGGTACTCTCCACAACGAGAACAACAGCAGAAACATACACAACAACAGCAAGATTGCACAGGGTGGGAGGAAACTTGTTCTTGCCACCCAGCAAGCACCGCTGGCTGCCCCGGAGCCCGGCCAATGGTGTGGATTGCTGGTGGGCAGACGCGCAACAAGGCTCTGTTTGCATATTGCTCGACCTTGTTTATACCAGAGCCCGGGCACGAGAGGAAGAATCAAGCTGGGCCTGCCTGCCTTGGAGCAGGCCCGGGGACACCTGGCCGGCGACTTCTCATTTCGATGGAAGCGACGCCTCGCTAGGCCTCTTCCCAATGCAGCGTCTACCGGGCTTGCGTGCGGAGTGGGAGGCCGACGCCGGGTGTGGGAGCCGGGCGAGCTCCACTTGGGCCCGGCGAGATGGGCTGACTCGCCGGCCATATCATTTGGGACAAAACGCTCTCAGTTTCTGGGAAGCCGGGTGCCAGAAGGCATGTGCTGCACGTATACATACTGTTCTGTCGTGTGATGGACAGCACAGCACAGTTAATACGGACAGATGGGCGACGGCAGCTCCATGAAGTTTGCTCAGCCCGAGGTTCAGCTTCAGGCTGGCGCCGGTCCACATGCACGGGTGGATTCGGCCGCAACACAGACCCTGGACGGCATAGCATGTGGGATGATGGGTGCCACGATCAGCGTATCGTTGGCATCTCAACTGCCACAACACACGGCCTTGACTGTTTGCCCGTCTACCATGCATGTACATACGTACATACTGACGCTTCCGCTATAGACAGGGAGTTGGCATCCGGGGCACTGCACGTGCAACCTCTGTTTCTATGTATAGCAATGGACGGGACGGGTCTGTTGCTGTAGCTTGGCAGCTGCTCAAGGATAATACCTATAGTTTGGGAGGGGGAGAGGGAGGGGGAGAGGGAGGTATTTACGCCCAGTTAAGTAAATGAAAGGAGAAGCCACTTTGCAGGCATGCGGGCTGGGTTCACTGTCGTGGCTGTCAGGGTGGCCTTGTACGCACTTGGCTATTTCTTGTTTCTCGTCGCACGGGAGAAACTCCGACAGGTTCATGTGTTATTTCAGGATAGGGACTGGAGCTCCCTCGCGACCTTTACGTAGTGGCCTCGGCAGCCTTGGTTTGCCTCCCAGAGGGAGGGGCTGTTTTAAGTGTGTTAATACAGCACGGTACGTATACAGGGATTGTTTGTTATTCGATCCTTGAACTCTCGGGTCGGCGGAAACTCTGGAGGACGAGAAGCAGCGTTTGCGGCGTCCGGGTAATTGGGTACGTTGTACGTAAAAGGAGACGCGAGCGAGGAGGCAGCCAGGCTTCTTGGCACGGTTCCTTGCCACGGCGAACGATTAACGTCCGGATGCGCTCGAAATGAAAAACAACAGCGCGGAAAGCCTGTCGTCGATAAACAACTCGCTCATGCCTTGGGTCCGCGCGCAGTCCCCGCGGGCATGTCGGTACTCACTCGCTGGAGATTATAGTCATCTCGGTGCGTCTCCAGCATAGCCAGCCAGCGTGGGACCCGTTCGTCCCAAGCGGGCAGAACAAGGCAAATGGATGTTATTCGGTGACGCGCTTCTGGAAGGTTCAACGTGTGTACTTGTGCTATGGCGGCGGCGGGCAAGGTGCAGGCCTGCAACATCAGCCTATCGTGACTTGCAAGCCCACAACTTGTTTCCCTCTTCCTACCTATCAGAGGCAACCAACCTCTCGGAGAGCGTCTCTAAATATAGATGGGAATGCCGTGGACGCTGAGGCAAATAACACACATACTTTCGGGTGTCGACATACTCATACGGTATAGTCGAGGGCAGCGTTTGCCTCCAAGTCTCTACGCAAAGGATCCTCCCCCTTCTTCCCAACCCGTCTCGAACCGAGCACGCATACGCAACAGGCCGGCACCGTCATAGTACCGCCACGATGCAACACGCACATGGGGTTCAGCAGCGTGACGAACGTGCATGACTTGCCAGCCCTAGAAACATCAATGCCGGCAGGGGCAGCGTCTCCACCGACAACCCCCCCTGATTCATGCAACTGGCCGTCTTGCTCTGCCGGTGCTGGGGAGGGAAGAGAAGGAGAGGAGACCGGGGCAGTACCGCACCCTCTTCCACGACCCACTGATTGACCGACCCATGGAAGCATCTGGTACATGCCATGGAGATGATGGATGCATCGAGGCAAATCGCGGCCCCGTCGTCATGCCTACACCAAGCTCGCGCCGTGGCGGCCTTGGAACGCGCGCACCGCCTGCCAGGGACCCAGCATGCGGTGGAGACATACACGCAGGCAGGCAGGCATGTTCGTTCATCTTGTATAGCAAGCTTGACGCTGACTCCCACGACGGCCCTGGCCTATATCTTGGCCCGTCCCGACTCCCCCTCTGACTCTCCCTACATCTACCACCCATCCCATCTTTCGTCTGATTTCCTTTCCTCCTTTCCTCTCTCTCTCTCACGTCTTGCATCTCGTGTGTTTTTTTTAGCTTTCCCGCAGCATCCATCCGTTAAGCAGGCCCAAGCACACACCATCGCTTTCTCCTCAACGCACCAAAACTACTCACCGTCACAATGAGATACGCTGCCGCCCTCGCTGCCTCGGCCGCTCTCGCCCTCCCGGCCCTCGCCGCGCCCCAGGAGCCCAGCGCCCCGGGCCAGAACGCCTGCTCCAGCCGATGCGGCAAGGATGAGGGCATCCAGAGCGGCTGCACCGGAGACATCAGCGCGCACGCCGCCTGCATGTGCAAGACCGACAACGGCGGCGGCTTCTTCGCCGCCTGGAAGGACTGCCGCCAGTGCGAGCTCGACTCGAAGAAGATGACCCAGGATACGTATAAGCTCGTCAACCAGGCCATCGATCAGGTCTCGGCCAGCCTTTGCGGCCCGTCGCCCACAGCGAGCTTCCAGCCCCTCTGGGAGACCATCGCTGGCGGCTTGGGCGTTTTCGAGGCTGCCGCAGCCGCTACCGGCGCTACCGGCGCTCCGGGCAAGACCGTGTACGGCGGCAACGGCGGGGACGGCGGGGAAGGTGTCAACGGTGTCAACGGTGTCAACGGTGCCAAGGGCACCGACGGCGCTCCCGGCTCTAAGGGCACCGACGGCGCTCCCGGCGCTTCGGCCAGTGGCTCCCCCAGTGCCAGTGGCGGTCGTAGCGGTACTTCGGCCGGCGGCGCCTCAGCCGGTGTTGGTGGCGCCGGCGGTGATGCCAGTGCCCCTTCCGGTGCTGGTGCTTCCGGGGCCAGGGCGTCCAGCGCGGCCGATGCCCCCGCCAGCACCCGTTCCACTTCCACCTCACCCACGACCGGCGCCGCCGGCGGCCGCAGCGGCAACTCGACGACATCTACTGCTGGCATCAACGCCAACGCCGGCAACTCGGGCAAGGTCATCTCTAGCCTGGCTGTTGCCGCTGTTGGCGCTGCTGTCATGCTCGCTCTGTAAAAGTGTCTGACCGTCGTGTACGCTGTTGTTACCGAGGCTTGTACCAACGCTTTTGCCATTCAAGGAGAGGACGAGAAGGATTGGACTGCACCAGGGCGTGCAGTGCTTCCTGAGTTAATGATGAGGAGACGACACTCGCGAAGGGTGACTCATCCATCACAAAGTTAATGGGGATGGCGCTTCGGTTTTGGATGGATCACGGGCGCATTGTCTATACCGTTGGTGAGTGTACTTAGAGATGGGAGACGTGGTGGCAATAGCCCAGGCCGCGTTGCAATGGGTTTCTTTTCTTCCTTAGGAGACTTTGTTCTCTAGATCATAGTTGTCCAAGTCAGCTTGTTCAATTCTCGTCTTTTTTCTTCACAGAGCCCATCTTCTTGACAGGATAATGCAGACAAGATGCCGGCATGCCTGTCCCACTGTTGCGTCTCCTCATTCCGTCATCCCCTGTCTCCTCGCCATTATTTACTGAGGCATGTGCTCGAACGCCTTGGCCAACTTCTCCTGGCAGAACGGCAGTTTTCCCGCGGTCCAGATTTCGGTGTCCTAGACGGAAGCAACGTATCAGTCCATCGTGTCCAGTCAAACACACCCAACTTGGGCAAGCGCTTGCTATGGTCAACAGAAGGTGACGAAACGCACAGGCTTTAGATTCTTCTTGATATTCGTGTCCAGGGTGCCGGCCTTGAGGACAGATACGGCTTTGTTGGCGTCGGGCTCGTGAGCAATAGGGGAGCCACACTCAGGGCAGAAGACGCGATAAACGGCGTTACCCGAGGAGCCCTTGCCCTGCCACCTCTTGACTTGGCCGTCGATCTTGAGCTTGTCCCTGGGGACGAGGGCGACGAGGGCTGGTGAAGATTGGTCAGTTGGAGTAATGAGGAGGCGAGGAAGAAGAGGAGGGGGGCAGTCCACGCATGACAGAGAGGGGTCGATGAGGGGTCTTTGACGTACAATAGGTCGAGCCCGTCTGGCGCTGGCAGTCGTCGCAATGGTCGTAGCCCGTCACGAGCGGCTTGTCGATGTCGACTGAGTACTTAACGGCCTTGCAGAGGCAGTGTCCGGTGAGAGGCATGGCGGCTGGTTGTTCGCTTTCGTCTTGGGCGTCTTTTGGGGGGGGATTCAACGAGGGGTTTGTCTGTCTTTGTCGTGGCTATTCTTTGCCTCTCGCCTCTCTTATGGTTGCTGCAGCTTGCGGGGTAATAAATACCTGATGGGTTGGCCACCAACGGATCCGGACAAGTCGGTAGGATACGGATACGGGCTTGCTCGCCAGCCTAGAGCAAAAGGAAGCTGTGGTGGGGCCGCGGGAGCTCGATGATGTGGGTAGCCGCGGCATGCGAGGATGCAAGCAGGTCAACGGCTGAGCTGCGTGGCAGCGAATCACACGAGGCCGTCTCTGTGTCTCATTCCTTCCCTTTCCCCTCACTCAACCACGACGGAGTTTCCTGTCCATGGGCAACTCGCCGGGCAACTCACACCGAATCCAAGGCTGGAGGGGCGGAGGGGGCTGTGAGGGCATCGATAGTCGCGCTGGTGATGACCGTTGGCAAGTCCCTTTCTGTAGGCAAGCTTCTCCGGCTTGGGCCTGGGCAAATTCGGACGGGGCTCTCGTATGAAGACCCTTTTTGGCTCCTCAGAAGCGAGCATGAGCGTTGCGGCGGGGCCGCCCGTCCGGCTCTCAGAGTATTTGGAATCAAGTGGCTTTCCCCATGGCTTAGCGCAGCAATGACACGCCATGCCGCTTATAAGTTGGGCTTGGAGAGCGTCGGTTCTCCGCGGCGGCTGACGATCGTTAGTCCCGTTGCGCCCGCATCGATCCAATGGCCTACCGCCGAAGCCCCACCGGCTGCTCCCGTATCACCGCCATGCAGGAAGCAAGTCGTGCTGCACGTTCTCGATGCGTCCTGGGAGGGGCAAGGTTCACCGCATCTTGCGCATCATCAGAGACACCAAAGTCCATGCGAGGCCTGCGTGCCCAAGAAACTCGACCGTCTTGACGAGGCCCGTCTGGCCCATGAGAAAGCGGTCTGCTATCAATACTCGAAGCACCGCCGCCCGGTAGGTTGCAATTAAGCTCCCGTCATCCTGCCCCAGCACGTAGGCATCCATGGAGGAGATGCGAAAGTCTCGAATATCGATTGCGCGGCTCGTCGGCCGCAGGGGATCCGCCGAGGTCGTTGGTGCTTGCGGAATCTTTTCCGGCCTTCGACGGAGTCTTTGTATCGCTTTGAAGCCGGCAAAGTCCGTAAGGCTGGACGTTTGTAATGGAGACGATGCCTTCTTGAGGAATATTCCGGGCAGCAAGTGCGGCTTGTCCACCCACACAGTCCCATTTTCCGTCAGCTCACTGAAGATGCCTTCGAAATCGTGGGCATATTGAGCAAAACGGGAGTAGAACACTGGCGTCAGAATTCTGATTTCGAACTGCTCGGCCGCCCCGGGCTGATCCGCTGCCGCTGACGACTTGAAGACCTCGGAGTCGAGGGAGGGGATGCCGCTCGAGAGATATCGCACCGAGAGGGCCTTTGGAGATTGCTGGACGAGGTGCCGCAGGTACCTTCGAAACACATGCTCCAAGTCCTTTTCGACCCGGTCCGCATGTCGGCCTTGAGTTGTCTTGAGAGGCTCTGGACGGTACCAGACATGAAGTTTATGCTTGAGAAACAAGGCTGCAGCCTGTCTGATGATCCTGGGAAACGTGGCGAATCCGACCCAGCACCAGCCAAGGAGAAACCTGAGTGTTTGCATGGCACTCATCCGCGACGGGTCGACAGCCTCACCCTCGGAGAAGAGACGAGCAAAGAATTTCGGATGGCCTGCTGATGATGCTAGGTTGATGGTTACGTCCAGCCCGTGGAAGCCTTTCATGTCAGGCCCGAGCGGATCGCTGGCGAGGAGAGAGTAAGTCCCCTTGCGAGAGTTGAAAGGCGATACGTGAAAGTCTTTTGGCCACGAGGCTGTAATCCGCGACTGCGCCGCGCCATTGGAGGCCGAAGCCGTGTCGGCTTGCCTTGGAAATGCGCGAAGCACGAGATAGGTCCGTCGTTCATCAAACGTGTTGTTGACATCGAGCACAATGGCAGAGAGCACCTTGTCGGAGGAGTAGAGGTACCAGAAGGCGACTGGGTTGAAGTGATATCCAAGAAACCTGGGAACTGTGATGAGATAGGCGTGCGGGTAGTCTGAAGGATCGATATCCTAGGTCAGATTAGCTTTACACCTTGTGATGAGTATTGGCCAGCAAACCTGTGACTTGAGGTAGCCGTCCAACTTCCCACGCAGCCCGACTTCACCATAGCCCCTCTGTAGGCAATCCGCCGCGTCCACGTCGAACCAGCCCTTTGGAATCCGGGCGCCAGGTTGCCGAGAGCGCGCCTGCTCCTGGACGTCGACTGAGACGATGCCATTCACGTTTCCGCTGTAGCCCACGGGAGTGCCCACGACCAAGTAGGAATATGAAAAGGAATGCTTTTTGGGGACTTGTCGACTATGCATAGTTCGGCAGGGTATCAGGTAGGGCATTTCCGGACCATTCCAGGGGATGTCATCTCGAGAAGTGAAGCTTGACCGCACAGTATTGAAGATGAGCCAGGCGGCTAGAAGTGCAGAGGCAGAGGCCAGCGAGACGTGGGCGGAGGCCGAATCATGAATCCAAGAGGCGAGAGAGCCGACAGACTTGAGCCCCACGGCTACTGAAACGAGGGCAAGATCCAGCCAGCTCCCAAACAGGAAGTAGCACGAGAAGATGAGGCAGACGAGGAAGAGTGAAAGCGTGCCATCCTGTATCAATCGGTGGCCAAAGTCAATGGCAAGGATCGCAGGTAGCCACGGCGACTCGTCCGACACCTCGTCCATGGTCCTCTCGGAGAAACCGGAGAGGGAAAAGAAAGTAGCCTCGAGGAGGAGGGGAATTGGGATGGAGAGCGGAAGAGGCGAGTCTTTGGCCAGCCGGACTCATGGGCTTATTTCACCATCAAGGTGTTTGGCCATCCAGATGCGTAAGTACAGGTCACAAGTACCCTCGAGATACGGCAGGCTTGGCAGGGCACGGCCTGGACGTTGTTAGGTAAGCGTCTCCCAATCTAGCACATTCCAGCAATCTACTGGCTGGGTGGTGGGTGGGAGTCAGCCCGGCAAGGTGGCTGTAAGTTACAGCACCGGTACGACTCCGCCTTGCCGGTTGACTCAGCGCCCAACTTCACTCCACGCCACCATCGCCCATCGTCCTCCCCAGGCCAGATATAACTACCAAAAGGTATCCGACAGCATACTTCTGCCCCCAACAACAACAACAGCAGACTGTCGCAGGACAAGCGACTGACCATCGTCGAGAGGCTGTCCTCGCTCCATCAACGCCGGCCCGAATATCCCGCTCGTCTTTCGTTTCGATTTTGCTCAGTTTCCAAACACCCCACACACAACATGTCCGAGGACTGGAGCTCCGTCACCAAGATTGGCAGCAAGGTGCGCGGCCCTGGCGCTTCGGAGCGCGAGACCGTCGTCCGAGGCAAGGCTGCCTTGAATGCTGCCCAGCGAAGCGGTGGCATCATCGGCACCGAGAAGAAGTACTCGTCGGCCAACGCGGTATGTCTGGTCCGGCCCACATGACTTGGTCCAACTTCCCCAAGTCAAGACGGTGTTCTTGCCAAGCGCTCATCTGCTGACTCGACAATGTAGGCTGGCAGTTCCACCGAGGGTCAGCGCATGACAAAGGTCGACCGATCCGACGACATCATCAAGCCCAACACGGTCGGCAAGGCCGTCGGCGACGCCATCTCGTCGGCGCGGCAGAAGATGGAGCCCAAGATGACCCAGAAGGATCTCGCCACGCGGTGCAACACGACGCAGTCCATCGTCGCCGACTTTGAGCGGGGCTCTGCCCCCCCCGACCAAAAGGTGCTGAGCGCCATGGAGCGCGTGCTCAAAGTCAAGCTGCGAGGCAGCGACATTGGCGCCCCCAAGTTCCCGGGCAAAAAGTGAGCGGACGCCGTGGCCGCAAATGAATGAACCATAGAGGCTGGGCATGCTCTGCGGTCCTGCCGACGTCAGCGCCGGTTTGGTGGCATGGCACCCATGACGACACACGCCCATGAAGGTATGCGGGGGAACAAAAGCGTTGTGGAAAGGAAGTCATTAGATAACGGTTAGATTTTTGTGGCTCTGGGCAGAAGAATCGAGTTACTTTCTCCGGAGGGTTCAAAGGCCGGTGAAGCACTATCTTGCGTGAGACGTTATCCGGCTCTCGGCACTGGCTACCTGTTCTATTCACGCTGGCCAGCTGGTTGCTGAACCCGCCGGCTGCTCAAACTGACAGACCGCCAAGGCAGCCATTTCATGCCCCTTTCTTTGCCCTCTTGCCAGCTGTCACCTCCACGCCAAGTTTTTCCTACAGCCAACACTGGCTTTCAACCGTCTTGTGCACCTGATTCTCTTCTTTCGTTGCGTTTGCGTCTCGCACATCACATTTTCTCCCATTCCATCCTATCTCTCCCATAGTCATCTGATTGCCTTTCCATGGATCCGGCGTCCAACGCTCATGGCACCCATAAGGAGGGGCCGCCGGCAGGCGTCATCAAGGCCGCTGGCCCTACCACCGACCGCAGCCAGGAGAAACCGTCTGATCTGCCAGTCAACCCCTCTCCTCGTCCTGCCCGCCTGGCCTCGCCGGCTTCCTCTTGCCGTGGCGGAGCCGCCGCCACCCCACCGCGCCAGGCTCTCCCCGCTGGCGTTGCTGGCCGCTCCGTAAAGTCAATCGTGGAATGGCTCGAGGGCCCCAAGCAGCCCGACTCGCCCCCGACGACCAGCGTCGCGTCCGGCCCGGGACGCAAGGCCACGTCAGCTGCGTCGGTGGCGTCGGCGCCCCTTGATCAGCCCCTTGATCAGCCCCTTGATCACCACCGGCCTGCCGACCAGAGCATTGCCCGCGCCGAAGACGTCGAAGACTATTCGTTGACGTACCTCAACTATAGAGGCTTTTACCTTGAGGCGCCACTTGCGAGGTGCCTCGACGGGGTGGACAAGGATCTGTCCAAGAAGCCTCTCGAGGATGTCTTCAAAGATGCCGAGAAGAGGACTGCCTCTGGGCGCACGGTTGTCAATGTGACCAGTCCCACGCCATCGTCCTCGGCTGCTGCAAAGGAAAAGACGTCGACGAGTATCGGGGAAGACGCCGACGCTTCCAAGCAAGCAGCTGTCCCGGACAAAGAGTCGGCTAACGTTGGTCATGCAAAGGTTCCGCAAGTCACCGCCGCTGGCAGCGCAGGAGCAGCAGCAGGCCCCGCCGAGCCAGGAGGCAGTGACATTGCAGACGCAAAGAAGGCCACCGACGGCCCCACGGGTAGGATCGCCGCTGCCGGGAATCAAGTGTCGGCGGCAGCACCTGCAGCAGGCGGCGAGGTTCAAGAGTTTATCCAGCGAGATCCGCAGGAGGTTGAGGCCTTCTAGAGCAACGCCCGATCTTACCTGTGGATCTCGGACGACGAGCTCGACTCCGATTCCGGCCCCGAGTCGTCCAGCCAGGCGCCGGTCATGTCTCCCGCACGAGGCCCGCCGAGGTTGGTCCAGCCTAGCCGCGCATCGTCTCGCGACGTCGCGGGCGGCTTCACCGGCAGCAGGGCAGCAGGGCTAACTTGCCACGATTCTCAGCTCCGACGGCCCGGAGCCTCTCGACCTGTTGGACCATAGGGCCCAGCACGGCCCAGTGCCCCGACCGCCGGCGGACCTGGCTTGCCTCGCCGCACAAGGCCCTACCGGGCGCCGCAAGAGTCTATAGCCGAGACGGGCGAAGAGCACGAAAGCGCGGGCCAGGGTACTCCGACACAAATCACCGGGGGGTGGACTGGGAATGCGGAATGAGGGCGCGGACCGCTGTTGTGCACGTTGCACCAAATTGGAGACGGTGACATGGGTTCAATGTGCATTTATTTATTCGTCGACGTTGGCCTGAATAACGGTCAACATAGCGACGCTGGTCTATGGGACACATCTCTTTGGCCTCGGCACAGTCTAGCCATACCTAGAGTTTGCTGGATATGAATGATTTGATCACTCAGATTTCTATGCAGGTCTCCGGTTATCTCTGCACCGTGACCACGCCATCTTCATGTATCATTCGTTTCACGAGGCAACCTTGGCACTGTACTTGGTCGCTACCTTGTCAAACAGTGCGCTCTTCTCCTCCAGATCAACGAGCATTTGGTGGTTCGGGTCGGACTTTCTGAGTGATCTGAGACGTGTGTAAGTCAGCAAGGGTCTCGCGCTGAGCGCCAGCAACAATGGGCACTCACGCGGTAAGCTCGGAATCGTCGCTTCCGTTTATGACGTTGAGGACGAGCATATTGGCAATGGCCTCGACGTATTCCGGCTCCTTCTTCAGCGCCTGTTCCAGGGCAGCCTGCGCCTCTTCCAGGCGGCCCAGGTGCAGCTCGCAGACTGCCTGCGAAACGAGGGTCCGTATCGATGTCGTCGAGGGAGCCTGCGCGAGCTCTTCGTACACGTAGAATGCCTGCTGGTACTTTTCACCGCCCTGTAGAGGAGAATAGTCAGCTTCAGGATCGCACCACGGAAGGGGAACATGTCGCCCACCACTCTCAGGCCGACCCACGACTCGGCCAGGTTGACCAGGAGGCTGTCCTGTGCCCATCTCCGCGCGGCCGAGACTTCCTTGATAGCGAGGTCGGTTCGGTTCTGTTGCAGCTGAATCTGCACGATCAGAGCGACGGCCTCGACTATTATGCCAAGCGTTAGCTCGGTACGCATCGCCCCCGTGCGCGCCTCGCCACTCACGACTAGCCTGATGCTGCGACAGCAGCGCCAGAGCCTCCTCCGACTTTCCAGCGGCCTGCAGCACGATGGCGCCCACAACCTGGACGGTGACGTTGTCTGCCGCGGATGCAGCGAGCGTCTCGATGGCCTGCAGGGCCGAGTCGGTCTTGCCCAGGGACTGCTCAGCCAGGGCCGCAATGGCGGCCAGCTCAGGCTCTGAGTTGCCGCGGACCTGTGCGAGGACGTCGTCGGCCTGGCCGAGGGCGATGCGCGCCCGCAGCTGCAGAACGCGCGCGGGCAGGGCGTTGTCGGGCGAGAAGGACGACGTGTCGAAGTCGACGACTTGCTGGTACTGTCCCTGGTGGAAGTGGTTGTGGATGTTGATGAGCTCGCCCTCGGCTGAGTAGGGGTCCATGATGGGCTATGGCGAGGAATGTCTTTGCCTGATGCTGGGCTGGAGGCTCGATGGTTATATCGGCTGATAAAGAACACTGTCATTCAGCAGCCAATGGTGTCCCCTTGCTGGGGATAGCTTGATGACTAAGTAACTCGTCTCCCTTGACGCCACTTGCGTGAGTATACTTGCGATGAGAAGCAAGCAACAAAGTCTCCTGGCGCTCTTCGACTGGGTCAAAGAAGGCTAAGAGGAAAAAGGTCCTGCTCAGCCAAGGCCTTGTTGTCTGTGATTTTGCATTCAGTGACAGATATCAACCATCACTAAGCGAAACTGTGAAGATGAATTCTGTCTATGCGAACTCTGCCAGGTTCAAGGCGGTTTGCAGCCACAGGCTCCGAAAATTACCACTGTTGTACGAAGAAGGGGATAACTCGGACAGCAAACACAACGGACAGTGATTGCGCCGGTTTCTGCATGGTGCCTTGCGGATAATTAATCCGAGGGTGAGAAATGCCGCAACGGCTTCGGCTTGAGTGGGACGCCCAAATCTAACTAGCCTCATCACGTGCCCGCCATGCAGCCCTGACGGCGAGGCGAAAATGTGGCTGACGGTTGCTTGTTGAGCCACAACCTCCCCAGCCCGGAATGGCGCCGACCCTAGTCACCCACAAAGCGAAAAATCACCAAATCCTCCCAAACTCGGCCTTGGGATTCCATCATCACCACACACACAGCAGCGACTCCGCGCAACGTCGTCAAGATGGTACGTTCTCTACTGCCTCTCCCTCTGCGCATCAAGATCTCTCCGGGTATCACGCCGATCGATTTAATTTCCAAGAGCGCGACCGATTGCCGGTGCACGACGACAGTCCCGAACCAAGTCCAGTCGACACCAAGCACAATACCAAGCGACAACTCACGACGACACATTTCCAGACCGAGCAGCGCGTCGCGATAGACTGATACTTGTGCAAAACCAACTAGAACGACTTGGCCTCAGGACTGTCTCGTGCACCGGCAACCGCGATTCGACTCTGGGCACCATCGGGCGGCCGCGCGCCGTCTCAAGAGTGAGAGGCTGACTTGACAACAGGTCAACATCCCCAAGACCCGAAACACCTACTGCAAGGGCAAGGAGTGCCGCAAGCACACCCAGCACAAGGTCACCCAGTACAAGGCCGGCAAGGCCTCCCTGTTTGCCCAGGGTAAGCGACGATACGACCGCAAGCAGTCCGGTTACGGTGGTCAGACCAAGCCCGTCTTCCACAAGAAGGCCAAGACGACCAAGAAGGTCGTGTTGAGATTGGAGTGCGTCAAGTGCAAGACCAAGTGCCAGCTGGCGCTGAAGCGATGCAAGCACTTTGAGCTGGGGTACGTGATTCCCGGACTCGCCCCGGTGCGGCGGTGGCGCGTGCTGACAGGACACACAGTGGCGACAAGAAGACAAAGGGTGCGGCTCTGGTGTTCTAAGTGCATTGTGTTTGGGTCACTCCATTTCTCGTGCTTCTGCTTGCGGCATTTGGGCATCACGGACATGGGCGAAGGCGGGGTACACGTCCTCATTGAGGGCAAAGGTTCATAGGGAATCAATCAAAGAGATTCTCTATGTCCAGACTCTGCGACAACTCTGCGTGCGATAAGCCATGGGGTCGCCGGCGGGGAGTCTTGCCACTCACGAACGGGCGGTACAAAAGGTGGCGATGAGTTAAGACGTCGAGCAGGATATATTTCATCAGGCGAGGGGAAAGACGTCCGTGGCTGGGGGCGAGGAAGCGGTGATGACGATATGAATGGCACTGCGTGAGTTGGTTGTCGCCTTGTCGCCGTTTCCTTTCCGGTTCAGGTGCTCTAGAAACCCTCGCCGACGGTGATGGTCCTGCCGTCCCCGTACCACAGAGTTCCGTTTCTCGCATCCAGCCCCTTTTCGTGCCCGACAACCCACTCCCCGATAAACTCAGCGTCAAGCTTGTCCCAGACCCCTGTCTCCAACCACTGATTAACGCGGTCAATGGCCCCGATCCACGCCTTCCTCTTCTCGGGTGTGTCGTGATCCGTCTCGTCTAGATACCGGCCCAAGGTGATGTGCGCGCTGGGCACCTGGTAGCGCGACGCAACCTCGACGCCGGCGGCGCGCACGAGGCCGAAGATGTCACGCCGGAGGTGGTGGTACGTGTACGAGTCGCCCTGCGGCGGCGGGTCGTCGGGGAGGGTCGGGGTCGGGGACAGGGGCGGCTCGCCCGCGGCCGGGAGGAAGGACAGGGCAAAGGCGGAGAGGTCGTAGGAGATGGCGGGCTTGACGAGGCGGGCTCGGTGGGAGTGCGTGTAGGAGGTTATGCGGGGCAGGGCTGGGCGGAGGGTCGAGACGAGGGCGGCGATTTGGTCTGGCGTCTTGCAGAAGGCGACTTCGAGGGTGGTGAGATGCATCTTGTATGTGGGCATGAGCCAGACTTCTGGGCCACAAGTCAGCGTATGAAGCCCTCACAACCACCGCCTCACCACCATCAAGCTCATCCTTGTCTCATCCCGCGACTCCAACCAAGCGACGCGAGACAGCAGACTCACTCGGCGCAGCCTGCTTCAGCATCTCCTGCAGCTTCTCGGCCAAGCGGAGCAGATGGACAGGCGGCCTCGCCCACAAGACGAGACAATTCCGCTCATCGCGGAACCCGGGCTCGACGGCCGGCCGCTCCAGCCGCAGCAGGTGCTGATCCACGACGAGGCCGGGAAAGTCTGGAGAGAGGAACTTGTCCCGCTGCTGCGCGTTGCGGCGCGTGCGGTGGGCGGCGTAGAGCCGCTGCATATCCTCCTGGACCGTGACCGGCGTGAGCTCCCGCTTCATAACTAGGAAAGGATCCATGCAGGTAGGGAGGGCTTGCTTGATGGCTGCTTACGTGGTTGTCGCCGCTGGCGTTGATCAGAGCGGAATAGGGGTTCTCGCCCGGCGCGGGGGCGATGCCGGAGAGGTCTTTGGGCTCGGTGGTTGCGGCGTTGGCATGGTCGGCCATGGCGCTCCGAGTGGATGCCTAGATGGTGTGGTGAAGTGGCTTGGGAGCGTCCGTAGATGAAGTATATGACAGGTATTGAGAGACAGGGGAGCAGTTTGTACACTAATGGAACAGTCGCCGAAGCTAACGTATCTTGCTTGGCTGCTCCCTCTTCCTGTATGGAGGTGCATTCAGTGATTTCATCCTCCGTCGCCGCCTTCACGACAAACGGGGTTGGATATGACTAATGACTTGACTTGGTTCCTGCAGACGCAGTGCGAGGCGGCGCTCGTTTATTGTTGATGGACGCAGTTTCGCTTCCTGCATCTTTGGTCGTCGTGAGGCCGATTCAAAAGGTCACTGTATAAGGGTCACTGTATAAGAGAGCAAGAGTGTATCGGGCGCCTCTTTGTATACATGTTGCGGGCGAACTGAAAGTTGAGACCAGGTCTACTACATTCGCTCTGCCAAGTAATTAGAAAGAAACACCACGTCTCCTAGACAAACAGCAACCAAAGAAGAGACCCAGACAGCGTCTTGGCCGTATCAACGCATTTCACAAATAAATAAAAAATCACAGCCTCTCCCGCACCCTCGGCGTCCCCTCAACGCGGACACGAATCCCAATCTCGGCCCCCCCCTCGGCCGCCACATACTCGACCAGCTGGCAGTCCTCGGCCGGCACGCCGCTGGCAAACTGCGTCACGACAAAGGCCAGCGCCTCGCCGCGGCGGCCCAGCACCATCATGGGCGCGTGCCAGGTGCCCGCACCGTACGTCACGGCCTGCGCGTCCGATGAGACAAAGGCTCGCGCCCGCCGCAGGTCCGGCAGCCCGCCGCCGCCGGTGCCAGGCAGCGGTGGCGGCGGGTTTGCTGGCCGGGGGCCAAGGGTCGAGTCGAGCGGACCTGGAGATGCGAGGCTCGGCGCGACGACGACGAGATATGTGCTCGCCGAGGAGCGCAGGGGCGAAAAGGTCTGCGTGGTGAACGGGTGGCGCTCCAGGAAGCGAATGGGGAGCAGCACTGCCGACGAGTCCTCCCCGTCACCGCCTCCGCCCCGAGCGGCGCACACAAACACGCTCATCCTGGGCTCGCCCCTTCCACTCGGCGCCTGGTCGTAAAGGTTGCACACGCAGCCCACGTCGCGGTACTGGATGGCGGATCCCTGGTTGGCCGACACGGCGTTGGGCGGCAGGACGAGGCCGCCGTGGTCCCGTCCGGGGTCGACGTCGGGCCGCGGGTTGGCCACGACGCTGCCAAAGGGCGCGAAGCTCGCGGCCGTCAGCGGCTCGGCCTGGACCTCGAAGTGTTCCCCGGCGCCCAGCCGCACCGTCGCCGCGGCTGCCATTTTGTCGTGGCAGAGAGCAGTTTGAGGGCCGCCTGGGCCCCGCTCACGGGCGTCTGCCCAGGAGCGAATCGGACGGGTGGGTGTGTGGCTGGTTGGTTAGGCTCAAGTGATCACTTTTGCAAAGGCTGGAGGAGAAGTCGATGTTAGGATTAATAAACCAGGACACGATCTGAGTATGAAGAGGAGTACTGTCAGTTAGTACGGAGCACTATTTGCACTCACATATTGCACTCACGGCTCATTCTCAAGATACGTACCGGTGCCAGCCCGCCCCGCGCCTCTTGTAATTACGTAGTGCCTCCCAGGGCTTTGCGTCTTGAATACTAGTAGATCCTTCAGCGTCTTGGAAACTGACCACGTGCTCCATCCATATTCCTGCACCCAGTGTTCCCCTAACCTGCCGAGCCCTAATTAAAGTGCTGGCTGGAAGGAACCAAAGTACTGCTCTTCTCCAAAGATGGCAACAGGGTCATGAAGGTGGTCACAATCGATTTCGACCACCACGTCGGTGTCGATGATGGAGAGTTCAACGTGACTGGAACAAAAATGTCCAAGTTTACGACGGAATATACATGTCGAGAACTTTGTCCTCCCTCCATGGTGTAAATAAGCGATCAGACGGGACGTTGTCGGTCTGCAGCCTGAATCTCAACCTCTTCATCGGTGTCGACGAAGATGATCTCAAGTTCTTACCTCCGTGAGTACCGAATCAGCGGTCGCCTTATCCGGACCAACTAGACGACGACGGTAAAGATCGACCAACATTGGCGACTCAGCCTGCGCCTTGTTCTGAGTCTCTGGGGAGAGGGCAGGCACTCCCGTGCAGCTACTGTAACAGTGAATGCTCTGACCACTAGGTGCCTGGGACGGCAAAAGCGTATTAAGTCAGCTCACCCACTTAGGGGCACACCCACTTAAGGGCACGTCTCTATAACACCGACTCGCCGACTAACTCGTGCATTATAACCGCGAATTCTCGTATATCTTATACTTAATTATTATTAAAAAAACATTATTCGAATTAGCAATATCTTAGCTTTCTAAATATACCGAAGATTAGCTTTAGAACGCTCTAGCTAATATTAAATTCGGTATAAGTTAAGTATAGGCTAGTCAGAAGTAGGGTATTCTAAGGACGATACTTTAGAAACGCCTTAAAGGTGCCTAACCGAAGAGAGAGGCATACGAATGCTATTAGAGGCTTAGCCGAGAGCAAGAGAAACACCTCTAAGATTAGGTTCTTACCTAAGCCGCCCTTAGGCTCCCCCTAACGTATCTCTAGCTAAGGGAATTCGCCGGCCGTATTATTACGGCTATAGGCGATACCCGCCTACCTAGAAAACACTATAGATATAGCTTTTAAAAGTTATTAGCCACGCTAAATTAAACCTTATAAGGAAAAAGGAAGTAGTAACTAAATTACTATAATACCGTTCCTAGCTTATACTTAATCTAGCCTGCCCTTACGATATTTATTACCGCCCTTAAGTTTAATTATTTTCTATATATAACGAGGGATTCGTTTAATTTAAGCCTATATCTTTTCTTATAGTAGCTCCTTTTAAATAAGATCCTAAGCCGTGATAGCCTTAGCTCGGCTCTTTAGCGCGCCCTTCTTTATAGTCGTTCTTTTTATCTATAGCTAAGCTAGCTTAATAGCGTTAAGGTTAAGCGAGTTACCGTACTAATAAAGCCGTTAAATATTATAAGAATTATAGAATCATTGCTAAATATAGTAGTTATAGGCAAGAGCCTTATCTTCTTATATAATCGTCCTAGAAAGCTTAGCCTTATACTCTTTAGTAAAGGGAAAGAGCTTAGGAAGAAGAATCTTCTTTTAGTAGTAGAACTAGTCGATTCTACTATACTTAGAGCCTTATATAAGCTTGCCTAACTTTTAGTTAAATTTCTATCGAGGTTTAGGTCTAAGAAGTTAATAGAGATATAGTCTTCGTAAGCCGTTATTAAGTTCCTACTTTTCTTTTAATAGGGGCTTAAGTTCTTTATTTATTATTATAATAGCTTTATCTACTACCTATAAGGGCTTTTGCCCTATATAGGCCAAGACTAGGGTCTAGGCTAAGTTTATATATAAGCGGCCTCTACGCCTATATAGGCTAGGCCCGTACTTCTCTTCCTTTTCCCCCTTATAGATTATTAACCTTCTTCTAATAGACCGCACCGAAGCCTACGCCCCTACTAACTCCGTAATAGTATAATCTACCCTTTATTTTACCCTCTCCGTATCCCTATATATAGAATAGCTATTTTTAGCTGCCTTTAAAGCCGACGTTTAATTACCTAGTCTAGTTAAACCGCCCGCGCCGGTATATACGCACGCGAAATATCCGCACTCCTATAGTCGTAAAATTAAGGCGAACGTAATACTATAAGGAACGGTGTTCCTACTATAAATAAAGCAGCTATAATATACTCTCCCGATTATATAAGCTAATAAGTAGTATATTAATTATAGACAAAATCTCATCCTATAGAGCAAGAATCGCTCGTTATTTTGCATGTTATTATGCATTAAACGGGTTGCCGGTTATCGTATAATCGGGAATCGAAGGAACAGAGCTAGCTTAGAATGCTAGCTAAGACCTCTTAAGAACACCGGCACGACCAACCTCCTTTAATCACGAATATTAGTAGAACCAAGACACTTCTAGATTTACTCGAGGTATCACGGAATTCCCTAGTCTTAGGGCTATACGGTAGCCTAAATCTAGTCCCGAAAGGTTCTTCCGTTTAGCTATAATTGTCTATATAAGACAGCATGTCCGCTAGTAGATAGATAGAGAATTATTAACTTTAACACCTCTTCTATACACGAATATACTACTAATAAATTCCGTTGAAAATCCTACCTTATACTCCTTCTTCCCCTCTATCACGTAGTTTTACTTGATTCCTTGATTTCCTAAAATTCCGCTTTTGCTTATATACCTTAAGAGGTTATAAGCCCGGCTTACTCCTTTTAAGCCGGGAAATTAACTTATACCTTTGAAATTCCTTATCGAAATACCCGATTAAAATTCCTTTTGAAAATCCCCTTAACGACTTTTTCTACCTTCCTACGCTCTTAAACTCCCGCCTAGACTTCTCGATCCCTACGAATGAAATAATACCGAATTTATATAAAATAGGTAGATAGAAAGAATATAAATTCTCTAGACTTAAGGGAAATTTAAATTATACTCTTTAGACTATAAGGGTAAGAGCTATCCTTACTAAGGAAAAGCTTATCGCTACCTTAGAGTAAGAAAATCATATAAAGACTATAGAAGCTTTATCCTAGATTTTTCTTTAAGTCGAAGATAGCCCTTTAATGTAAATTAAGCATTTAATAAATACTAAAGCTACTTAGGATAAGCTTATAAAGCTATATAATCCGTCGAATTTCTCGTCGAATTATTTACTTATAAAGCAGCTCTTTAATCTTAGTCCCTCGGGCTCTAATTTAAAGAAATACCTTTATAAGGTAAAAGAAATCTATAAGGATTTAAAATCCTATAATATAGAAATTCTAGAAGTTATCCTTATAGCATAGATTCTTAATTGCCTTAATAAGGAATTTAGAAGCTATATTATAAATATTACGTAGAGCCTTAGGTAAAATTTTATAGCGTTTACCCTCGAATCCCTAATAGCTAGTCTTTTAGACGAAGCTAGAAGAATAAAGGATATAGATAAATCTTTAGAGAAAGCCTTCCTAATACGAAGGAAGCCTTAGAAATCCTATAGAAATTCTATAGATACTCCTTATTATAAGGAATATAAAAAACCAGGGCATTTTATAGTAAATTGCTATAAATTATACCCGAATAAGGCTCCTACTTATTAGGTTTTAAATAAAGGAAAGAAGGACGATAGGACTTAAATTTCTAAGAAGAGAAAATCTTCTTCTTTATCTTCTTCTTCTAGGAAGAAATCCCCTTCTAGTAGTGTTTCTACTACTAATAAAAGAAGGAAGGCTCGAATTATAGAGCTAGAGTCCGATTCGGACGATAGTAATAAGGTCTTAAATATAGCTTCGTAAGAAAATATAGACCTAGATATCGACCTTATAGACCTTTCTAGGGCTCCGACCCCTATATAAACGTCTAAGGATTTAGAGGTAATTTTAACCTCTATAAATACCCCTATAGTAGAAGCTAATAAAGACTCTCTTTTAGGACCTCTAGAAGCCTTAATTCCTAGAATAAAGGAATTAGTTTTAAAGGTAAGAGAAGGAGGATTTCCTAGTTATAAGAATAAAAGGATCTTTAATTTTATCTATAATACCGGAGCTACTAGGTATATAGTATCTAATAAGAATTTCCTTATTAACTATAAAGAAAATAAATGTAAAGTTTGGTAGGGAAAAGCTTCCTTTTTATTATTAAAAGGAAAGGGGACTTAGTATTTAAGTTCCTATATAGTAGAAAAGGTATATCCTTCGAGACTGCTTTTATATACCTAAATTAGGGTAAATATACTATCCTAATCTTATTTTAATAATACCTATGCCTTAATAAGAGGAAATAAAGTCCTTTTATTAGATAATAAGGCTAAGGTCCTTACTAAAGGATTTCTTAGAAATAAATTATATTATATTCCTATAGAACCTTTATTAGAAAGCTAATCGATCCTTATTACGTTTTTAAAAGCAAAGGATATAGATTTTTATACTTAGCACTTACGCTTAGGGCATATAAATAATAGGGCTATTTTAGAAATATTAAAAAGATATAATAAGGATATAAAAATGCCTTTAAAAGAGGAAAATAAAATAAGGTAATACGAAATATATATTAAAGCTAAAGCAATAAATAAGGTTAATAAATAACCTTCGTATAAGTCTTATGCCTATTTAGAAAAAATAGTATTAGATATTTAGGAGCTAATTAAAGTACCTACTTATAATAAATATTACTATTATATTTCTTTCCTAGACGTAGGAACCTAATATCTAGAAATATACCTTCTTCGAAAAAAGGGAGAAGCTCTAGATAGGT